ACTTTGGTAGGCTTGCCACTCTACATAGACTTCGACCCTCTTGTTTTGCTACGTTACTATTCTCTAGAATTTCGCTAGACCAAGACAATTCTCTCCCGATGATAGGAGCGATCAATTTCTTCCGAGAGTCTCCAGAGTGCCTACCATTCCTAGACGACTAATATCCAATCGATCTTTCTAAAAAGCCCGGCCCTAGCCCCTTGCGAAGGTAACTTATCCTGAAAAGCGGCAGCAAATCCAGCACCTGAGCTCGTATAGAAGATCCCTGCTCCGTTACAAGTAAGTCTTATGCATTCCCTGTCTAAATAATTTAAGAAGCCGTGGGGAAGTCGGAACAGCGAGTAGAAGAAGGATTTATAAAATTAAGAGTCACTCCTAATATACTATATTAGTAGACCCCGAGCCTTTGTCTATCGTATTTACTATGGATCAGAATTGAAATTGAGCATTGAAAATCGGCCGATGACTGGGCACACAGCCGTGGCCTTTTGTATTTAGCTTAAAGACCTACTGCTAAAGAGTCGCTCGTTCTCAACTGCTGTTGGACGGAAACATCCACAGAGGACATGGATATTAGATTCAAGAACCAAATAGAGGATGCAACCTCCTCGCCATCCCCGCAGCTATTAATGCTGAAAGTGTAGTTATCCAGCTTCGCTTTCTTAACATTCTTACAGACACTTGATACGAAACAACGGTTATTGTACCAGCATAGACTCCAACGTAATCACAAATGCTGAGCTTGACGGCTTGCAGGCTTACCAAGGTGGCCTTGATCAGTAGGCGAGGCGAGACTGTCTGGTTCTCCTGAAGCTTGGAACAGTTTTCTAAGGTTCGTCGATTAGTGTCGACATTAAAGTCTGCTTTTCTTCGCTTTAACATGCGCAGTTCTTGCTAGTCTCCTCTCTGTCTGTTTCGGGTCTAGGTTTCATTATCACTAACCTGCATCATCGATAGCTTTAAGCGTGACCCCTCTCTACATCGCGAACTAGTACGCGCGTTTACTCTGAGATCGGGCACATCGCTTAGACGGTTGAGAAATGTATTTTCGTCCCCCATCGACTGATCACAAAGCGGATGCGGACAATAATGTTGTTCCTCGGATCGCAATCTTCTCAAGAAAGAGAGCTTTCATGAAATTCGAGGGCAATATTTTCATGTTACCGCTTATGTTGAGTGGCGCGAGGCAATGGGTGGCCTCTACGTCCCCATACCGGACCTGCCTATTCAATCCGCCATGGAAGGTCTTAACTCTTTGTCGCTTTCAGAGATATTTCTGGCCAAAGTGCCGGTGTGTTCCGCCCCTCTGACATTGAGGCGGCTGCGAGTGACCAACCACCACGGCCGTCCCTATTCACCGCCACTGGCACAGGGTAACGCTGGGCTCCTTCGGAGCCCTTCAGGCACCACGTTCGGCTCGGCCCGTACCTTAACTTAAACTCTGATCTTCTCCTTCCTTTCTTCTACCTTTTTCCTAGGTAACCAGGGACTTCATAGAAAAGGGATATCGAGAGATAGCGGTGGGGGTTGAGCTCAGCATCTCTCAAGAAGAGCGTTTTTCGAATTTCAACCCCAAGTGTCTTGCACGTCAAAAGCTTTGCCTGTATATAAAATACTTTATTACTTCTAGCAGTGCTCCGCTCGATCTGTTGTAGTCTGCTCAAAACCGATTTCATCTGTCTGTGAGAAGTGGTACCAAGTGATGGAGTTAATCTCATTTCGCCCTGCATGAAGTTGCCCGGCACCTTTCGACCATAATAGCTGCACTTCTGCAAGAACAGCGTAAGTGGTAATGGATACGAAGCGAATGTAATAGCTATCAACGGCCGTTGTGAGTATCGTTCTATCTTTTCGAAGCTTCGCTCTTCTGAAGCCGCAGCAAAATAAAACAAAGCTACCGCGACAGCGATTGAGCAAGAAAACCAATATACGCTGCAAAAGATAATGGCCGCTGATGACACCTTGCACGAATGAGTAATATGACACACCTATCAAGCTTCGAGAATCATCTCATCCTATCGACATGCGCTTAGTCATCGAGTTGAATGTGGAAGACAGAGTGAGAGTAAGAGGAAGAGTGAGGGCATTTTACTCCCCGCAACTGTCGTTTTGACATATCTAGTGACTTGACCCGACGGCTCAGGTGACGTTGACAAGTAGAGGTTGATCTAGTTTTGCGCCGTACATACCCCTGTGATCTACCAAAGGGCGAAAAAGACATGGTTCTGATCGACGTAGTTGCAGTCAAAGAAGTGCATGACGATATATGAATAATATATCTATTTTTGCTTCAGATAAAGCACGCCTGCTCGCGAAGTGCATTTGCGGCCACGATGAATGATAGGTATTGTAACAGAATAGGCTTCAGATTATGTCCTAAGCGTTTGTTGTAAAACATAGTTTAAACTTTCAAAGTGTATATCATTGCGTTAGAAATGACGCTAATGGTTGTTGATGTTATGGAAATGTTACTTGGTATTTACGCAAAAGGGAACGAACGTCTTAGTACACCAACAGTAGACTATGCTCGCGTTTGACTAGGTGACTGGCTCTAGTAAACACCGGCACCTGCGCTCCAAAAGCGATCGCCTGTTGTCAAGCTGATAGAGTTGCATAATGACACCGTGGTTGGCGTATCTCGTACACCCTGTCCCGTTGTGAACAGTCCACTTATTTAAGACTTTGAACGCCAATGTTCTAATCTTCGCACATAGTTTAGTCCGCTTCTCAGTTCGCAAAATCACTTGACTTTCTTCTTCAGAAGAGAATGTCTTTCGTATGCTGTCCAGTCATACTGGGCTGTAGTGTGATAGTGGATTCTATTCGTCAGACATCTAAGGACGATCATGTCGAAATAGAACATTAGCCTATCTTAGAACTATGCAAGTGGGACAGCAGGATTGTTGGCTGAGATACATTCTATTGATGGCAACAGCAATCACTTGGTGCGGATTGCATGTCTTAACTCTGCATTCATGTAATGTTAAGTCATTTTTCTTAGTATGCTGTAGTAAAGCTCCTAAATTACTCCGCTGTATTAAAAATCACAGGTGGTCCAAGTATTGATAGGGTAGACCTGAATCTTCACAGCTGGTGGGGTACACATTGAATCCTCGGGTACTCTTTTTGAGCAGCGATTGCAATCTCTATGCGACGACCATTCCATTGCCTGGAGATTCATCCGATGTCTTGTAGGGATTCCCTCTCCAACTACTCTGGCTACTCAAATTAGCACCAGGGCAACCAAGATCAGGAAGTCGCAATTTAAAGTTAAGGTACGGGCCGAGCCGCCATGACTCAGGTGCCGAAGGCGCCCGTGAGTCTAGCTCGGCGAACACATGCCTTAGAGTCTTGTGAAACTGAATTCATGCTGTTACCAGCGATTGAGTCATAACTAATGATAATAAAACTTCTCACGGTCACGGCGGATATTACGCGAGTAGATGCGCTGGCCACCTCAACAAATGCCCGTCAGATACTCACAGATTCGGCCTTCCTACATGAAAAGCCTGTCATCGATTTTCACGCGCATCAGACATGTTTCAGTACACCTGTCAATGAGTGGAAGATGCCTGCAAGCAGCGATGATATCTCTTTTGACGGGGAGAATACATAAATCAGCCCGAATTCGCAGTGAACGACCTTGGGCAAGACTTATTCTCTGTCTAACACTGACAACCAAATTTTAAATGCTCCTCTGATGAACCATGAGGAAGAAGACCCGACTTTATACTACTAACGCATGCAATTGGTGCTTCATTGATCGTTGTGCGCTTTTCAGAGCAGGTATACTGTGTCTACCTCTGTATACTCATCCTAAGCGGTCGGTGTTTCTGCTGGGAGAGGAAGCAGATTGCTAAACGAGATCCGAGAAATGAATTTCAATACTATAGTGGGCATTAGCAGTGCATAGAGAGCTCAGTTCTGCCAGTTTCAGTAAGCTGGCAAGGAAGAAGCCTGACTGAAAACCAACGAGGAGATGCAGAAGGTGACAAAATGGTGCCGCCAGCTGTGATCCACTTCTCCGTGAATGCCAGGGTGTGCGGTGGTAGAATATGCCGGGTGGAGGACTGGGCCTTAAGTTACACAGCGAATCCATCGCATTTACGCCATTACTGAGTGCTTGATGTAACGTTCCTTAGGGTATCTCTTAGTTCTAGGACCAGTGGGTAGTATTATTGGGTAGAAAAGGAGACTGGCTTAGACGAATTTTCTGGGAACAAAAGCTGTAGCGAAGGCCAATGCCCAATGGTTGATACGATGTCACCTGTATGCGACGTGACCTGGTCCATCTCCCGAAGTTCAAAACGGGTGGGCGGGTGGGGAAGCCGGGCGAGGAACAGGACCCCAACTGCACCGCCAGAACGAGATCCAAGATGAGAATCTACCCTAGCAGACTGAATTTCAAACTGGCAATCAACGTGAGGTTTTTCTTGTCGCCTAAATGTATAAGAGCGCCTCATGACACAAATGCTCCTAATATCGAACACACTTTTTATCTGTTAAGTGATCTGGTTTCGAACCCAGGAACCGGCGGGTGGGTGAGGAGGCTTTTGCACCACGAATATGATCTAAGGTTAAAGCCACATTTCGAGAAGTCAAATATTGTGAAAGGAGCCTACGCAATGCCTGAAAGCCTGTCGAAGGTAAACAATTGCCTATCTTATTTATAATTTTTTCTTATCCCTAACTCCCAAATTCAAGTCAGTCTTGAAATTTGAGAAGAAGATGAGACGAAGAGCGAAGACGACATGGCGAGCAGTGATGTTCTATTGATATGATTTCAACACAGGACACTTTTGTATGCCTCTTGGTTTTTACAACCTGACTCAACAACATTCAGTATACGCTCTCAACCCGACACGCTACTAATAATTTTTTCTAGTCCTGCTTTGATACGGTCTTGGTGACAAACTCTAGGCCTTCGTTTGGAGTGACGACTTGCTTTAGTGCGATTGCCGGACAGGCGAGGAAGAAGACCCAGTATCGCATTCCTATCATTAAAGCATGATTTCATCCTGCCCATCATCTTCATCTCGGCTTATGTCAATCACGTTCTCATGATTCGGGTCTTGAGGATGGTTGTCTCGTTGCTGCATCATCTCCTTATAGAGCAGGCGCGTCTTATACACGAGGGTAAGCGGTCTATCCCTGGAATCTTTGATATCTCGTCTTTGTCTTGAGGAAAGTCGATTGCCTTTCGTCGAAAACTCGAGTCTATCACGGAGACTTCTAGGTATATCCCTTAGGTTGTTATGGTCCTTTGGCTAGTATGGTCCCTTTATTATAGTTCCTTTGACTGGTAGAGTTCCTATAGTTAGTATATCCCCTTTGGCTAGTAATGTGTATAGTTCGGCCTCAAATGATACGCCTAGTACCTGCCTAGAAGCCTCCTTGAAAGGACTCTAAGTAGTTCCCTGGAAAACCAGCTCCGCTTTGGAGTGTCCCCTAAGTCCCCCTAAAGGAGAACAGACACTCCCTATACCATCCGAAGGGTTAGATCTCATCAGACTTCTCCTCGGCCTGCCGAACAAATTCCTCCATGATTATCTGATGGAATTCGATGTGATTTACAAGTTCGTCTTAAGAGAGTAACGTCTGGGCTGTATGTATACACGATGAAACGGGTACTTAGGGAGCCTTGCCGGGCGCAAGTGGTCCCCAAAATGCACGGCGGAAACAAGATCAAATACTTATCTCCTTTTTCCTGGCTACTGGCGTAAGTATAATGTGAAACCACGAAAGTACATCTTATAGATTCGCGAACGCCCGATGTTTCGCATGCCACCCTTTTCTCAACGTCTGTTGCTATCATTGTAGCACAAGTCATTAAGAGAGATGGCTATTGTGGAGGTTTTCTTCATTGCAGAATCACTGGTCTGGTCTCGCGCAACGATCTGCATTGATGCATTGACCCGCTGCGCTATTTGCGTCTGCCGGTCTCACATGATTACCTATCTACGAACTTCAACAAGCGTTCGCCGTGATGACTTCCTCAACGAATGCCCTTTGCGTCAAAGATACCATCATTTTCTATCGACAAATCAAGTCAATCATCTAGAATTAGTATGAGAACTCGTCTTTGCAAGCTCGACGTAATGCTATGTCTTGTTCTCTTCCTGGTCTTCTCTCTTGTCGCATACGCGACTCCACAAAGCAAGTATACCCACTAATCCCATTCTTACCACTACTAATATCCCTCAGCTGCACCCAGCAACTTCTCTACCCCTCTCTCTACCACACCATCAATCGACTGCCCTTACAGTCCCCATCACGACATTGTATACGCCGCCATTAGCGACGCACGCTTCTCCCTGCGTCGTGGCCTTGACGCCATCCGCCACGGTGTTGACGGCGACCCTATCTTCGCCGCCTTCTACAAAACCAACAACTATGCTAACTTACTAACGCATTGGTTTAGCCGTGCAGCGACGTTCAATCCTCTGGACCCAGCCATCCGTTTCATTTGCGTAGGTCGTACGCGCCCAAGAGAACGCTACCGACAAGCTTACCAGTCCTGCCGCGAGAGGGGTGGCGCACTGCTTGTCAGTACAGCTGAGTCGCCCATCACTGGCCTCGGGGTGAATGGAATTGCGATATGTCCGCCGTTCTACGAAAGGTATACGCCGGAAGGGCGCACGCCGAGGCCTAATGCTTGTGCTACACTTGATAACAATGTATGGAGACTTCCAACTGCGTTTTCAACGACGCAGGGTTCTCGTATCATCCACGAGGCTCTCATACTGTATAGACCCCCGAACGAACTACCAGATACGCCCGTTAGTATGGTAGAGTTATTCACATTGGATGATCGAGTGATAGCGAGCAAGTCATCAGTAGCGTTTATTTTCGTGATTGGTAAGTATAACTTGATGAGCGGTGGGAATTGAGAAGACATAAAGTGAATATGCTGACTATGGGCTTATTTAGAGGTCAAGAATAATTGTTACAACCAGCTACCGGATATTCACGCGCCACCCTACAATATCCCTCGAGTTGTGGGGGAAATGAAACAGCTACACACCTCAACGAACGCTAATGCGCATAAAGAGTGAGTATATCAGGAAATGGCCAAGTAAGAGAATGGACAATGTAATGGTCTAATGCAATTCATAAGTACATGGCGTCATGGTTTGAAAAGAAAGCGTACTGGTCTGGTTCAGATGGACTCTGAACAAAGTCATCAATGTTCAATTCTACTGAATATGAGCCTTTAATATTGATCTTAAGTCGGACCAAGTCGCCTACTAGCTAATCCACATCAAGCAAATGGCACATTATCCTTCTTCTTGTCTGCTGGTTCACGGTGCCATATAATTCGCGGAAATAGAACGAGCATAGCATTAATGATTTGTCCGTCATACTGATTCTTACGTGCAGTAGCGCTGACTAATACCCGGGGTCGTCTGCGGCCTCGATCACATTCGCGTCAGCAATGACGGTGACGTGCATCCGTACGCTGAAAACTTGCTGCCTATTCATAATCGGGGAATTGAGATGAACGAAGATGCCCAAACATCATGGCCGTGGTGGAGCTGATCCTTTGAGGTTGCGGCTCGTATTTCCTATTAAGGAGGTAACGTGGGCTCAATGCGGTACTTCTCACCCCATTGAGAAGGTAATAGGCATCCGTCGCAGAATCCTACTGAGAAGGTTAGAGAGCATTATACCGGAGCTGTTCGTGACCCGTCTTGCTGTGATCGGACATTCAATTCATCCGGTCAAGTGGCCCTGGCTTCTAGACACCCTGAATTGTCCATATAAGGGCAATCCTAAGAATCCGTTGACTCGAATCCATGAGTTCTGTATCATCTGTCTGGAACCTGTGGTTTTCATATCAAAATGAAGTCTATTTTGCTGCTTGCTGTAACCTCCTTGGTTGGCTATAGCGTTGCTACAACACCCCAAAGACGAGCTCTCACAGACGCAGGTGTGCCAGACACGCCGCTCGTGAATGCTGCAATCAACTATACCAAGAAATTCTTGAGCGAGCAGTCATTCAACCATGTCATGCGCTCCACAGGGTTCGCCTTTAGCATCGCCAACTATACCTCGGAAGTAAATGTCATCGACAAAGAAGCCGTTGCAGTCGGCGCCATCCTGCACGATCTCGGCTGGGACACATCCGGCACACTCGTCAGCACTGACAAACGCTTCGAAGTTGATGGGGCCATAGCCGCTCGCGTCTTTCTTGCGCGAGAAGCCCCTCACTGGAACAGACATCGTGTGCAACTCGTATTTGACGCCATCGTTCTACACACCACCGCAGATATTGCGATCTATAAAGAGACTGAGGTCTCGGTGTGCAACAGAGGCATCGATGCCGACTTCAATGGACCGGGCAACGGAACTCATCCGGTGAACGGGTTGACGAAGAAGGCGTATGATGCCATTGTTGAGGCATTTCCTAGGAAAGGGTTTGTTGAGGATATCAAGGGGATTATTATAGGGTTCTGCAGGACGAAGCCATTGACGACGTATGGTAACTTTCAGGAAGATATCGGCGACGCTTACGTGGAAGGCTACACCTCCAAGGGCAATACGTAAGCTTCTATATGAATCAATAGTTGTTGACCAACGTTTGACTAACAATGTAAAGAATCGTTGACATCACCGAAGGTATCACAACACAACTGGAACGAAGTTAATGGAGTTGGGGGTTTGATATACCTTTGTCACTGCTTCGTTCAAGCGCATCGATCTGGTGATACAAAGAGTTGCTCCTTGATCATTTTTGTCAGATAGTAACGATAGACTGCAATAAGCAACTTGAACCATGCCTGTTGCCATGCTGGTGCAAATGACCGGCTTGGCCAGGCAGCAATGTTGTTGTGGGTACAAAATGAGCGCGTCATAATTTTTTCCCTGGTGTCCTGCACATTTTGAGTACCATCCCTTATTGCTTCTCAGTCCGATCTTAGAAAGTGCGTGCTAATGCGAGAACACATTCTCATTACGTGACGCAAACGTATACATGTCGTGGTGGCAGAGAAACAACAACATCAGCTTCGTATCAGTCAAGACATTCAAAACTGCCGCACAAGCGACTGCCATGCTAAGCGTTTCCATAGCAGCATGTTCGTCCCTACGTGAACAATGCGTTCACTCAGAATGTATTGTGACTGCTTACTCTTAATGAGACTCCACTTACTCTGGATCTGCCCGCACTCAAATGGGGCCACTACTGCCGTTGTCACTGTTTGCGTTTCTGCCACAATTGCTACTCGCCTCTGCCCTATTATTGCGAGGTAACGTATCGGACATTAGGTAAGTGATGTATATGACTGTTCACTGGCAGTGATACTAGACTAAATACTTGTGCAACATGAAAGTGCTCGAAAACGCATACCAGAATTCTATCATGGCGACTACACCTATGCTGGTGAAGTAGACACCTCCGTCTCGTTTGCGGCAGCAGAGTCCTCCAGCTACTATATCAACACGGAAATTGACATACAACTACGATCCAAGCCGGGCAGCGTTCGAACGGCGCCTGGTAGAAGCGTCTTTAGCTATGTCGGCGAGAAAGGCGAGGTGAAGGTCACATTTGAATGGGTCATGAACGGCGGAGCGCCCTTCACATACGGAGAATGCATCCGCGCCTTGAACCCACTTCTCGAATACTTGGAGGACCATCCCGAAGAGGAATACCACCCGGTGACCGTCACGATTTCAGAGAATTCGAATTTGAAGATTCTTGTTGAAGTCGAGCCAACCAAGGACGGTATTAATACTGATTTGAAAAGCAACCTAGGTCTGATCTTCGACGGCAAATTCTATCCTGGTAGAAGACTAGCCGCTGCACCCGTCAAACGTCTGTTGGCGAAGGTACGCTGCGAAGATGCCGATCATCCCGCGCACGAAGCTACACAGCACGTTATCGTAAGCGATCCGTTCGAACAACAATATGATATAGGGGGTGAAAATCGTCATGCATTTATTTAAGCATGAGGGGCAGGCTTGGCCCGAGTTCTCTTTTAAGGCATTGGCAGACTTGTTGGATGAAATTGATTTGTATTTTCAAGGTCTTGTGGTCTATGGGCCGTTGTATGGAGTGATATCGCGCACGCTTCGTGTGGATCAGCCTAATGTTGGGTATCTGAAGATTGATAAGGAGGATATCGTTGCTGGTGCATCTGGGATTACTCGCAACATGACGAATGTTGAGACCTTTTGATAGCTCAAGAGAAAAGACTCCCTATCACAAGAAGGATAAAACCAAATCTAAAGTAAAAGTACTCTCTAAAATATTAGTGCAGGATGTCTGTCCGACGAGGTTGTGTTTACTGGGATTCCGTTGCTTAATGATATTCTTTATCTAGTTATAGTTGTTGAGCATACTTGTAGTGCGGAGTGGGTAAAAACTCCGTGAAGTGTTGAGCAACGACCCTTGTGCATTGATCCATTGGAGGAATGTGAGTCGTGGAAGGAGTGGCTTGAAACAAAGCAGGCTTGATCAAAGGTCGTTATGATATGAACTCAGAGGCTGAGTCTAGTCAAACATCATTCAAGATGGCTAGAGCATGCAGGACACCGGACGCTTTCTTGCAGACTAAGATATTGAGATGCGTTATGCTACTGGCCCGAGAGATCGTGGCATTGACATTAAGACACATGACCAAACTGAAGGGATCTTTTGAGCTGACGTTCGTAAAGTTAGTGATAGATGCTTGAAGCTTGATCGAGTAGAATAGAGCCGGACAAAGCTGGCACCGAAGAAGGTCCGTGGGTCGTTTCTGACAGGCCGTGTCAAGAATGCAGGCACAATGACATTTTCCCGGTTCATCTACTCCAGACTGGCTCCTTCGAACAAACAAGCGCTGCAGGTGCCACGTGCCAAACACATCAACTATCGATTTTCAGTTCCGTATATTACCGACCCAAGGTAGTCCTACCCCGTCCCTAATATTGCTAGCGTTACGTGGTTGGTGCTCAGAAAATTCGACGGGAAGGACAGTCTTCCTAAAACAAGCTAGCCATCATTGAATGGCAACGCTTTTCTTGCACCCAGAAAGCTTTGATGAGTGCCCTTTCGACGGTACCAGGTAGATTCCGCTCGTTGTCGCGATTAATGTTGGAAAGTCTGAAACGTTCCGCTTGGCCAATCTCCCGGACACTCCTTTGAAACTGGCCCCAAGCCCCTGATCGAGGCTCTCTTGAACCGAAACGTCTGCATGTGTTTCACAACTTATAAGCAGGCTCTACATCTTGCTTGGATACTCTTCCTCTGAGTCTGCCCGGTGATGGCATTCAAGGTTGAGACTTTGCTAAGTCAAACGTCGAACGTCATGCTATCCCTTTCATGAACAATCGAAAGTGGATTGTACTGATATGCCTAAGTTTCACGGAGCATATCAAGGCTCTCATGCTATCGAAATGTCAATGATGGCTACATAGTCTGCCTTGTACTGAAATTGACCAGGCTGACTGGCAGACCGACAATAATGGCCTCGTGTATAAAATCTTGGGCACTTCTGCTCACTCTGGACAGTAAAAACTCCAGACCAGAGCATCAAGAAGAATAGATCGATTTTTACCCTCACCCAAACCACCAACATAACAAACGAGACTTACCTTATCAACAGCACCATGCAGATCTTCTCCAGACTTCAATCCCGCCCCTTCCTCCTCCTAGCAGCCCTAACATTCCTCCGCAACACCGCACTCGCAATCCCAACCTCCTCCTCCCCCCCTCCCTCCTCAACAAACGACAAGACTCAACCCCACCTCCACCCCCAACCTGCCCCCAAAACAGCCCGTCCAACGACTTCTGGGCCTGCGGCACCTGCGCCGGCATCATCGGCACCGACGCCTTCGGCTGCATAATCGAAGCCATCGCATCCGAAGGCATCCTGATCCCCGCGGCGGCAGCAGCCTGCGCCGCTCAATGCGAAGCCTGGGGTCCTGCCGCATATGCTGCGTGCAGCGCTTGTTTCGTGCCAGACCTCGCTGCCGCTAGCCAGACGGAAGCTAATCCGCCTCCCTCAGCCTGTTTTCCGCCGTGTGAGGATTGCCATCCGGGAGGGCCGAGGCCGGGCGATCCGGGTTACTATGTGCCCCCGACCTCAGTGGCTCAGGGACCGGCGAGTTCGAGCCCTGCGCCGGTGCTGGCGGCGCCGGGGTTTAATGGTGGAAGTGGCGCTACTTCGTGAGATTGTGGAGATTGTCAAATGATGAGAAAAGGGTGAAAACGGGGAGTATGTCGGAGGATTCATGCAAGGCTATTTTGTATTGGACGGCAGAGAGAATCGTTGGAGGTGGCAGAGTAGGGTGATAAGCATAACGAGCTCATTTGCCTCTGAACCTTGCATCATAGATTGAAATAGTGATTTTTGTGAATTCTGATCCTGTACTCACATCAATGTCCACCCTCATAGTATCCATCTGCTTGTTCTGCTTTCATGTGGTGTTCATTGCCAAGGCATTTATCTGTCTCCAAGCTGACAAGACAATATATTAGACCCCTTTTCAGTGCATCAAATTCGCATCTCATTCTTGGGAACCTCGGTTGATATACGGCTGCTTCGCTTTGTTCTATCTCGTACTCTCAGCTATATTTTCGCAGGAAACGCCAAGGCGAGCTCATGCCTCCTTACGATGGATCAATAGCCCCAATCGCTGCCCGACCATCAAGACTTCCGACTGCCGAAGCTAGGTATAAATCAGGTGGGATGGTAGACATAGGGCTGAATTTCCTCGTATGGTGGCAGATATACCTGGCTGGGCTCTTCCAAGGTTGCAAGTCTGCACGCGGGTGGTGCAGAAAACTGTCTCAATTCGACGGGCTTATTAGTGATACCGTTGGTGTAGGCAAGACGTTTTCGGCCACGTCCGCATTTCTTCTTCATTAGCCTGCTCCTTAGTCTCCTCCTGGGAGGCGCTGTAAGCGAGGTGTTGCCTCCAGATCCACGGACGCCATTAGAAGACTGACTGTGCGTCGCCGGACGAGGAAACCAAGACGGCTCTTTCCCCAACACTCTCATATACTTTTTGACAAGCGTCACGATGGAAATGAGACAGGCTAGCAGGACGAATCCACATATCGCGTAGAAGAATATTTTCCCAACGGTCTGATCGTATTTGCAGGATTCCGAATTCTCATCTATGTCGCACTCATCGACACCTTCACCTCTGCCTCCATATCTTGTATGTCTTGTTAGTCACATGTCTGAAAAGATGACATGCATCTCATGATCATCAACCAGTCGGACAACTAGCTGATCGTAGAGAATGTGTCTGATGTGGACCTAGCTTACCTGCGGATGATCATGGTGACTATGTGCTACCAATAGGTGCAGCGCATTCGGAGCCAAATGCAGCTCTCTTTGTTCTCAGTGGATATCCACCAAGGCTCTATCGCAAATGTATCAGCTCAGCGAAGTGATGACAGCTATGTCTGACTCAGAATCTTGAGTTCATGAGAGAAAGTGATTGACGGAAAAGATGCAACCTTCTAAAGCCAGGACATCGTAGTAATCTTATGCACTAAATTGAGAGTCACGAGATCATTGATGAGTCTTTGTGTCTAAGTACTGCCACTTCTCCTTGCATTGCTTGGGGTTCCGAGGCAGCGGACAAGGCGGATTCGGCCTATGGAATGCAAGGTCCGGCAAATATCTCGGCGATGAGCCTCAGCCCCGAAATTAGATACTTGCTGATGACCGTTGTACAATTGCTGTGAGGGGTATTGCTTCTGACTTGCGCGATATATGAAATAGGTTGTGGTCGGGTTTTGCACAGCCAGCACAGCCTCAGAAAGCGGTCGGCGTCTTTTGTCACTTCTATGATCGAGATGAAATCTTATTATGATATGAAGGAAAGATTGAATGTAGTTAATCATCATTGAGTCTCTGAACAGGCAAGGGTCGGCTGAGGCAGACTCATCTCGATATGATGGATCAAATGATGCAGTCAAGTACTTTCGAGTACTTATGTATTAGCCTTGGTTGCTGCCCCTTCAGTCTATGGTAGATATGCCCCCGTCTTGAGGCGTGGGATCACTGCAATATCTCTCACATCATCATGTTTAAGCAACCACAGCATGAACCGCTCCATTCCCACCCCCCATCCGACACTCTGGATGGGCTTGTAATCTCTGAGGTCTATGTACCACTTGTAGGTGTCCAATGGCACTCCATGCTGAGTCAAAGCAGCTTTCACGTCGTCTGCCGTCTTATGCCTCTCCCCTAGGCCACCCATTTCGCCAATACCCATCAAAAGGTCGCCACATAGTGCATTTTTGTGTTCCTTGTCGCTGTATGCCTGATAGAACGGCACACTTAAATGTGACATATTCGTCAGCCATACGACACCGCCATGCTGCTTCATAATAGCCCTCTCGCCCTTCCTTGTCAGCTTTTTACCTAACGCTGGCGCCTCGGGGACAACGTATTCCCAAGCCTCGGTATCGGCCCCGCAGATTTCCATAGCTTCTGCAAATGTCATCCTGGGGAATCTCACCCCCGGGGATGCAGCAAAGTCAAGGAGATCAGTGATGTGGCTTGTGTCGCCAGCAATGGATGTGATGAGGCTGCGATGTTTTTCGAGAAGCGTACCAGCGACTGAGACGACGAACTTTTCCATGACCTCCATTCCTTTGTCCATGCCACCTTCGAGCTCGCACTCAACATGAAAGAATTGATTCAAGTGAGACGAATCCGGATCTTCACCTCGAAAGGAGGAGCTGACGTAGTAAGTTCCTTTCGTCCCCTCTTTCAACCTAAGCATATATTCCAGCGCGAATTGCATGGAGTCAGCTAGGTACGTGTCACGGTCAAACAGAGAAATCCGAACTGGGGAAGAATCGGAGCCTAGGCCAACAGGGGAGCTGATGCAATCCGATGTCAAGGGCGACAGGACGTAGTCAAAGCCCATCTCTGTCCTGAAGAAGGTGATACAGGCATGGTAAAATGTGTCTTGGAGTTCAAACATGGCCTGATACCAAGGGTGATTGAGCGCTTGAAGTGAATGGGCCAACGGGTCCTTCCATGACCCTGGAGGTTTCACAGTCGTTGGCTTGAAAAAAGCTCTGATTGTGTCCACAAGCTCCAGCATCTCCCTTTTGTTCTTTGAAAGCGGTCCCAATTGACTTGTGACATAGCCTGGATAGCTTTTGTGGAAAGGCGCAGGGCTTGGGACAGCCTTCATCATAGATATCGGTTGAAGTATCAGGATTATACTGCCATTACTATCAGCGAGTGGGTCGATGTTGATGCCACAATGAGTGACGCCAAGAGATGTCTGCAAAAGCTCAATCACCGCCTGGATGGCTTGAACAAAGCCCCAAATGTTCTTGGCATCAAATGAGCTTTCAGGCTTGTCAGCATGTGCCTTTTGGCGTAAGTTGCATTCACCGCGAACGCTGCCTTCAGGGGAGAGAAAGGCCGCATAGGAGTCACTCTCCCATATCAACCATGAATGATAGTCCTCATGAAGCCCAGAACTTTGTGGGCTCTTGGGAACATGACCATTCGCAAGTGATAGTGAGGTACTCGTGATTTTGGCATGGATTCGACCCAAACGGGCGTCAATACTTGCGCGCCGGGTATGTCCCCGATCGTGTTGCTTTTGCCCATGTGTGCAGTCGTCTTTTTGAATCTCGAAGGGTAGTAGGCTGATTGTAGACCCGCCACGTGAGACTATTCCACACTTTGAAGATCCTATCGCGTGACGGAGGGCTAACTCGATTTTCGCAATGATCTTAAAAACATGAAGCAAAATACGTAGATCCAGAGTACTGATTTCTTTGCAATTCCGAAGTTCAATAACACATTGACCGTGCACAGTAGGGTATCTTGTGAGACCGGCACGCAAAACGCCATCTGCGTAGAAAACGTGCTGCTCGAGGATAGGCACTGTTGTCTCTGCCATGGAAGATCGAGCTGGGGTCAGAGACGTCGAACTCGCTGTGCTGAATATTCGACCTGTTGAGCTACTGTAGAGCTTGCCTCGATGATCCATGGCAAGAATAGCGCAAGGCATACCATCCGACTGCTGTGAGACTTGCTGTATAGCTGTGTCAACGGCACTTTCCAGGGGTACCTTTGATGCAACGAGACTGGAAACAGTAGCTGCCACGTTTGATTCCAGAATGGCTTCTCCGTGCCCGCTACTGTAATATTAAAAAAGAATTAGCGCTGTTCCTTCTGGGTGAAGGTTGACATACCATGCGACTGCGACGTGCTTGTTCACTATCAAGCCAGCACCTATGATTGCAGTATCGCCAATTCTTCCCAGGGGTTTGCCCGTTTTACCACCGGTGGATCCAGCTGCGGCTAGGTTTCCATGAATGTCAAGGGCGATTGCTCCAACAGTCCCTAGATTCTCAGCTTGGACTGAGTGGCCGGCTTTCCAGTTTTCCAGATGATCCATCCGTTTAGTGGTTGTAAAGTGAGTGTTATCCACAATATCCAGGCCAGCTTGATGTGCATAAGTATCGGCAGCTTCGCCAACTAAAATACATAATTTATCGGAGTCAAGCAAAAGACGTGCAGCCTCGATTGGGTTCTTGACCGTCTTTGAACAGGCTACTGCTCCGTAGGAACCTTTGTGTCCCCCCACGATCGCAGCTTCCAGTTCGTGGCCTCCAACCTCGTTTACAGCACTTCCTTTGCCCGCATTAAAGCCTTCATGATCCTCGAGGCATTTAACGATGAACTGAACTACGTCGATAGCATTCCCGCCAGTTGAGAGCTTAAATCCAGCTTGCTCAGCGATTCTCTCAAGGAGAGCTTCTGTCGCAGCCTGAACGGCCGCATTTGCTGTCCAATTCTCCATGGTACCAGCATGTAGGGCTACGGAGTAAAAGTTGGAGGCTTTTGCGAAAGACATCTGGGCGTGAGACGGCAGCGTTATCAATCGTTTGATGTACCACTACCAGTCTGCGCAGAGGAAATAGTCGTTTTCGGCAACAATTGGTCTGATAACAGAGATAATTGAGTGTGTTTTGAGATTGAGGCCGACTTTCCAACGACTTGTTCAGGGTATTACTGGTACTTTCGCTAATTATTAGCAGTTTAACAGATCAAACTCTTTGACGGTTGATCTCTGCCAAAGGCATTTGCGGGTTGAACAATGACCCCTTACCGCCCTTCCAGTAAAGTTGTCCACGTGCTATCAGTGTACGGCTGTGTCAACACTCTGCCACGCGACTTAGACGCGTGATTTAAGGTTCCAGCGGCGACTTCACACATTTGACACTTTTGGTGTGGCAAGCCGATGATATTATAACCATCGCCACCATGCGGGGTAAAAGCTAGCCATTGGACCAAATAGCTTCCTCCTTCCTTGAAGTAAGTACTGTTTACCTCATCTATTAGACACCCATCAGCTGAATTCCAATTACGAACAAGCGATCGGTCATGGCGGGTATCGTCAAGTTTCCAAGCGAAAGCCCGAAGTCGCAATGGACCAGCGTGAAAATATCCCAGGAGGAGAGAAGCTCTGGTTCGACAAGTCTTGAAAATGTTCAACTAGGTGTTGAACAATTCCAGAAGAACGGATTTGTCGTTATTGAGAATGCAATTCCGCACGATCTTCTCGACCAGCTTAATCAGAGGATGGTTGAAGAAACGGCAATTTCATTAGCTTGGCCACGAGTACAATACAACCATGGTGTCAAGCATAAGAACATTTCTCAGACCCCACCCCTGTCCCAAGATTTCGTTCACGAAGATATATGGGCTAATCGCCACGCAATCGCAATAATCGAGAACATTCTTGGTCCACGTCCCGAACTATCATTCATCAGCAGCAACATCGCCTTGCCGGGTGGTATTGGACGACAAGCCGTCCACTCCGACGCCTACCACGACCACCTTCCATTCCCCTTCTCCATCGAGATCTACATCTTCCTTTCTGACGCTTCTGCTCACAACGGCGCCACGGAGGTATGGCTCGGCACCCACGAAGGTTACGGCAAGAAAGATCACATTGGCCATGAGCGAGGCTGGATTCCGAAGCACCTCCTCAATCAACGTGCTGAGATTTCTCCTCCAATCCAGCCCACAGTACCCAAGGGGTCGGTCTGTATGCGAGATCTACGCCTATGGCATGCTGGTATGCCCAACTATACGCAAGATCCGAGAGTCATGCTGGCATTCATTTACTTTCCTCGATGGTATAGATCCCATATGCACTTGACATTACCTAAGGAGGTCAAATCGAAGATAGAGACTTGGAATCATGTTGCGGTTAAAGCAGAGTACGTCGATGGTCCTATGGACCATCTGAAACATCGACTCAAAATGAACTTCACCCAGATGCAGAATAAAGGCTTGTTTGAGAGTCGAGTCGAGACGGATGAGAAGATGGGAAAGCCAAAGGAGGTGGATGTGGAGCCTACGGAAGAGAACTATTGGATACCAGCCGGAGCTGTGTAGGAGGAATGGCAGATAGAAGAAAAGGCGAGTGCCTTTGTCGTCAAGAAACTCTGTTTCTTACTGTCGGACATATCATAGACAAGGGTATCGTAAACTAAACACGCATGACTCTCTATCATTCCTTCCAAGCTTTGCCTCACAAAAGGCATTGACATCTCAGATATCTTCACTTGCTTCCGGCGGTCTAGAGTTATTGGAATATGATGAAGCCGCCGGAATCGGATGCTCTTTCATTTGAACCTCTTAATGGTCTATGCTCTTGCTCTTAAGGCGTGCTACACATATGTTAGTAGATGACGAAGAAATTCGTTCTCTATAACACTGACCATTTGCCTGGGTAACGCGGAAAGGGAACGCATTCGCGAACAGTGTGTCGCTTCAGGATCCACGCAAGAAACCTCTCGAGACCCATGCCATAGCCTCCATGAGGTGAAGATCCATACCTAGAAGCACATTATCTCAGTCATGGACGACATTCAACATGAGTTGCTTCAAACTCACTTTCTCTGGTCCGCATAGAATGCGTATGATGCCAAATCCCACTTGTTCTCTTCCATGACCGCAAGTAACTCTCCGTAGTCATCCATTCGCATTCCAGATCCAACAACTTCGCCTACACCGGGGACCAGCACATCCACACTCTCGGTGACTTGAGGGTCTGTCGGGTCTTTTTTCATGTAGAACGCCTTCAGATGGACGGGGAAATGCGTGAGCATAACAGGGACACCGATCTGGTCCGTCATTGCTCTCTCTGCAGATTCCGAAATGTCTATACCGAAAGCATAAGGCTTGTCCTCATCGGTGGTGATCTTGTGTTCCACTAGCCACTCGATTGCTTCGTCATATCGCATGCGCCTGAATGGTCGGCTCGGAGTCTTGAAGCCAGGGTTCAGACTGAGGATGTAGCTAGCACTTTCTGGATCCGCGAGGAGTATGTTGATGACACCACAGAGGAAATCCTCGATGTGTTGAAGCAGATCTCCAAATGTGATGAAATCCAATTCACCCTCAATGTGCGTGTATTCCGATAGATGGCGGCGAGTGTGGGAGTTCTCGGCGCGAAACGATGACTGGATAGCATAGCAGTCGCCTAGCACCGGCAGTTGCGTCTCAAGGTATAGCTGAGAGGTTTGCGTCAAGTATGCTTTGCCACCGTAATATGGAAGGGAGAAGAGAGATCCGCCTCCTTCAACTTGAGTCTGGACGAATGAAGGCGCAGAAGCCTCACGCATGTCGTGCTCTTTGTAGTATTGTCGAAACGCAGACAGCGCTGATGCGCGCACTTTCATCACCCTTGACTCCTCCGTACGCCTCAGAACAAGATGTCGGAAGTCAGGCAGGGCTGCTTGATCTGCACTGTTGGGAACAATGCTCGTAAAGGCCTCCAGTCCCCCTGGCGCTTCGCCAATGATCTTGTAGTAGTCGACATGAAGCTCACGATCTCCTGGCGCCTTGTTCTCTGCTGGAACCTCTTTCATTTCACCATATATTTCGAGCGAAGCTTGTTTTTGAAGCAGGATAGGCGCAACAACATTGACGGAGCCAGAGAATAGGCACAACAGCTCGCCACGCGTGTCTGTCAAGTACACGAATGTACGGGTCTTCGAAGCTCGAATATTTGCGATTCTCCCAACCACTTTGACTCGCGTTCCTGTGACGGTATCGTTGCCCAGTATCAGTCCTTCAGGCTGGAGTTCCGAGATTTTGAGCTTCACAGCAGCTGGAAGACTAGCGTCCTGCTCAATAATGACTTTCCTTGCTTCCGTAATGGCGGCTTTTCGTTTGATTTCTTCGATATTTTGTCGCTCTGTCGTCTTCAGCCATTCACCGAACCGTGTGGCAGTCTTCTTCAACGCCGACTTGGAAGCCTCCTTCCACGTTCCATCGCCGTCCTCAGGGTTCTTGGCGCGAGTGTAGTAGATTGGTGTATTGATACCCGACTGCGGAGGGAAACTGATATGTGCGGCCAGAAGGGTTCGAAAGGGATCTTGTATGGTGCCTGTAGTCTTTGTGGAGTCATCACCGGTGTCTTCATCAACATAGATTGCTTTACGATCGTGCGTGGCAAGGTCCTTGGACGGGGCGTCTAGACTCAAGGAGCTAGTCATTTTGGCTGAGATTGATGATAACGCCATCTTGGGGTTGGTAAAAATGATGATGGAATGGGGGAGAGGCAAATGGTTCGAAAGCCTAGTGAGTCAGACGTGAGGCAGACGTGAGCTGTTCGGTGTCATACGCCCAGTTTGTACGACGCCTTGGCATGACACCAGAGTATCAAAATACGCGCGTTTCGAAGAGAGAGCGAATGAGGAGCACTATAAAAATTGGAAAGTGTTGAGGTGGCAAATTGGTAACATTGTTTTCTATCGCCACCGAGCGGGGTAATAGATAGCGACCAGATTCTTTACTCTTCGGTACACACACTGTTCACCATATCTATCAGAAAGCTGGGCCGATTCAGTGAGGAGCGTCTTCCTCTCTTTTCAGACAGGGGTGACTTATCGTATCTATGCATACAAGCGCCACGCTCAGCCTGTAGTGCATCCCCATTCAATTCATCTTAATGGGAGATATGCTGGCAGGGTTGTGCAAACACTCGTTCCATGCTGAAATGATCCTCCAGTCGTGATTTCGAATGTAGCTGACCGCCCTCTCGCTTCGAATAATAGCGCAAGCTCAAATAGGCCCGCTATCTGCCTGGTGTAGCCCGGATGAAAATCGAACGCGCAGCTCCCCTTTCTTCCAACCAAGCTCGATGTTTTGTTGCTACATCGTTCGAAACCGTCGGAAACGATCCACATGACTCGTCCCTCGACACATTCAGATCTCCATTGTTGTCAGAAGTAAGCCCAGAAGTGGTCAACCTCCCAGTGTTCCCCGACCAACATTGGAAAGAGACCCTACCCTCCTTCGGCCGCATCCTCTCAGCAGAACACCCCGGCCTAATTCCCACCCTTCTGAAGCCCTTAGTATCCTTGGAGCATTGAATTGGCCAGAAGCCTTCAAGTCAAACAATCCCCTCTTTCGCTGTGGCATCGCCATTGTTGTAGCCACCGAGACGCGGCCTTCCTTCCAACCTTGGCGCCAACCGAATTCAATCCCATGCCGATGGAGCAAGAGGGTAGTGGGGGTGTTGCATAGATTTTCGACTGATAGCGGCGGCGGACATCATGGAACGGGAGTAGAAGGGTCTATGGGGGAAATAGTGACTTTGGCGTACTATTAGTATGACGGAGAGCGACGGCACGAAAATTGGGAAGAGAGTGAGTCTGGATGAGATATTGTGTGAGGGCAGGAGAGACGCGGGGGAGGATCTCGGGATTGCTTGGGCCGATGAATGCTCATTGTTTATGAGCTGCTCATAAATCTTGCGTCCTCTGAATTATACGATCGAGGGTGATTGCGAGGGATTACCTTCAAAAATCTTTGTCTCCATGTCATCTAGAGCATTCTGTTTAATCAATAGTAATGTTACGAGGAAGAGCACTGTCCTGCAATCGAAACGGAATGACCTTCTCCGTTCTACTCCCCACCAGCACCCTTCTCCCCGACTTCGCCTCACTCATCATATAACTGACCTCCCCCCATAGTTCCTCGGTCCCAGGGAATTCCGGCACTAGAACCATAACCTCATCCCACTCATAGGTCCACCCTTCCAAGAAAGCCTTATCAATCGCCCCCTGAAAATCCAAGCTCAATTCCGCCCACTCGAATGTCTCAGCCCGCGTGTAATACTCCGCAGGTTTTTTGTCCACAACATCGAAACGGCCAGAGTGGTAGTTGTCTGTGGAATAGACCGTAGTATGTTTGGTGTCCAGGGCCATGATGGCGATGTGGTCGAATGCTGCGGAGGAGCGTGACGAGGTCGTGGAGGGGACGGCGATTACTGCTGCCAACCCGTAATTTCGTGGGACGCCGTGGGTGCGGAGATACTGGACTCCTGTTGCTACCTTCTGCTCAAAGACGCCGTTGCTGGTTGTCTGATTATTAGTAGCAAAGGTGGTGTTCTTGGAATCTTGGAGTCCTTGCAGGCGTTGGGGGAGAGCGCTGATTGCGGTCGCCCAAAGAAGGATTGAAAATATTTTCATAGATGTGAGGCATGTGATAGTTCTTTGTCGTTCTCTTTGATACGTGTGCCTGTAGGTGTTATCACATCCTGTAAAATTGTTGTCGAGAAGAGTATCAAGACCATTACAAATGCACGCATCATGAAAAGCGCAAAGAAGCCTTCGCCGCCCACCGATGTCTGTTTCAGTTGCAATGTCGCAGTCTGAATGTGTTTGATAGGAGGCGAAGTCGCTATATCCGCGCTCGCTCTCGCTGGTAGGCTCTCGCATTTCCCGCTCTTGCATCAAGGCACTCTTATTCGTGCGCGTAGGAATGTCCATACCATTATTAATTACAGATTGAACAACACTGTTGGAAATGATGTCGACAACATATGGCGTCGAGACTGCCATCAATGCTGTCGAAGTCGGTATGCAAAATCACAGCCGTCAGGGGTATCTAAGTCAGCGAGATCGGCGATTTGATTTTCTGTGTCGACTACATCTTATAGACAGCGACGATATTCTTGTTGAGGTGCAAGGTCGAGACGAGTAACGGCGTGTAATAGGGACCGGGAAGCTGCTAGGCGTAAAGGATAATGCTGCACTTGATAAGGATGCCGCATCTATTAAGGCCGATGGGAGCGATGGGATTGTTGCGCTGGAGAAAGATGCTGAGCTGGATGAGACCGCTAGGCTTGATGGTGAAGAGAGATGCTCCGTTTGACAATGCTAAGTCTCATAAGAGGGGATTAAATGATCTCGAGGAGCATTGAGAAGACAAATCACCCTATCATAAAGGTAGTATTCATGCAGTTCTCGTGCCTCCCTCTCCCCTACCTAAACCCCTTACCCTCCCCAACAGCCCCTCCTCACCCTATTTCAACTTCCGAAAAACCCCCTCCCCAATCAAAAACCTCGCGTCCCACGCGGGCGCGCTCTCGGTCCTCCACGTCCAAAAGAACCAGCCATTACTCTTCTGCGCGAACACCTTCGCCTGCTCCGCCAGGAACTGACTCACATTACCCCTCAACCCCTGATCGGCCTTGAACTTCTCAAAATCATTCTCGCCCTCGGAACAGGTCATGTTGATGCCGGGCCCGGCGCTGAATTTATCTTCGTACCGCGCGCCCTCGTTGCGGCCGTTGAGGTATTTGGCGCAGTCGGTCAGCGCGCCGCTCCATTCGCCAATGATGGTGGGGTGGGTGGAGTTTGTGACGGCGGCGTCGATGTCGAGGGTTACTTGGGCGAGATGGGCCTGAAGGGGTGTTAGCTAGCTTGTGGGGTGAGGTGGTGGTAAGGAGGAGCACGCACGGTTAGGTTGAGGACGAGCAGGTTGACGTCGAAGACTTGGTAGTCGTGGTGATCGATGATGTTGGCACCAGGGCCAGTCTGGACGTATTCGTCATTCCATTTGAAGGCGTTGACGAAAGCGTCGCTGATCGTCACTGCGGTGTTGGGGCTGCTTGCTTTTCGGACGACTTTGGCGCCGCAGTTGTGGTAGTTGACGACCTTCGTGGTTGTGTACTCCTTGTATCCGAGCTTCTCTGGGAAGGGTTCGTTGAGGAGTCCGATGGCTGACACTGCAGGGTTGTTGCCGTATTTTGATGAAATAATCTTGAGGACCTTCAATGTGTGGTCAATGTTTCCATCCTTGGTCCAGTTGCCCATTTGCGCGAACTGTCCAGAGTTGTCAAACCCGTTTTGGGAGCCGGGGGCGCCGTGCAGGTCGATGATGACTTTTAGGCTGTACTTCGCTGCCCATTGAACAGCCTTCTTTAGGTACTCTGCAGCGCCAGTGATGTATGGGTCGCCTTCAAGCTTCTGAAAGGACCAATCTGATTGCTGTAAGATGCAGCCGACTGGAAGCATTGAAATACTTACAACCAACACCAATGCGGACCTGATTGAACCCAGCATCACTGATTTGCTTGAAATCACTTTCCGTGATGAACTTCTCCCAATGATCTTCCAACTGACTCTGAGCATTGGGATTCTTCTGGCAGAAGGTATACTCGTCGACGTAGTCCCCACTTGGGAAGAGCGATGGAGTGATCCATCTGCACAATTTAGATTAGTGATCCAGGTGATATTCAAGCTGACTCACGACTCCAGGAGAAGCCACCCGCCCAAGTTGACGCCTTTCACAGTGCCCTTCGCGCCAACTTGCCAAATGGCACTTGCTCCACCTCCTGTCGATTGATTGCTGTATTTTGCTGCTCCACTGTTGTCTACCCCAGATCCACTCGCGTCGTCCCCGACTGTGATATCCACAGGTACCTCACCGGCATCTCCAGTACCTAGATCAGAGCATACATCACAAGGCAACCTGCGGTGATCAGTGGATGTCGCTCGAGACAAAGGGATAGTACTCACGCAATAGCGCCTGAAGCCGCGAGTATTGATATGACGAAATTAAAACCCCTCATGATCTGATGCCCTATCTTGCACGAGGCAATAAAGAAGGATGATTTATCACAACGCAATTTATGTACAGTGGTATATATGACTATGCGACCAGCGCTCGCCGGCAAAAGAGTGATGCGCGACTTGGATAACGAAAGGCGTTACAAGGCAATAGTAAGCGACTGTAAGTAGTAATGTAGATGCACTTCAATGAAAGACTGTAGGAGAGAGAACAACCCAGTTGTCTTCCGCATACTCCTTATTATCACTTACGATAAATCAACATTGAAATTGTCGGCGCCCGGACCATGCACTGCCGGTTTCAGAGCCTAAACTTGACACAAAGGTGAACGGGACGGGAACATCAGTGTCAGAAGCAGCGTTGGCTGGTTTGTGCGGTTGGTGTTAGGTGGAGGGCAAACCGCTCTTCATCTGCGAAGATTCGACCGTAGAAGGCTGCTCCCCAGATCGTCTGGATTGATCTATCTCGTGAAGACCCCATGATGCGATCTTGACGACGCTATTCCAAGACACGGAAGAACCTTTTCAGTAAGCATAAAGGCAGATGCGACCCTGCGATCGACACTGCAGACCACAACGTGACATGAAAATGCGGAGACTGGCGCGCATATGAAGCTTAGCAAGGCTGAGTCAATCAGTCGAAGGCAGACTACTGATTCAAGTATTCAAGTATTCCATCATTAAAGCGGACTGAGGCGGGTTGAAGCGAGGACGGCACGCGTTGCGCTTCATCTTACGGAGATTAAGAACGAAGCTGCTCCGCTTCTTGCAGTCTTCCGGTACTCTAAATCTCCGTCATGCAGCGATTTCCATCGAATTCGGTTGTGATGCGTTGGATGAAGATGAAAGGTTGAAGATGAATGTAAGCAACAAAATGTTGATCCGCACCAAGCGCAGATCACAATGTGCCCCGTTTCGAATGACGGTGACCCACGGTAGAGGTCTGAAAGGTCCAATGCAGCAGGGCTTTGCGAATGACACATGGTTCCACGAAGGCTCGCCTCGAGATTCGTTCCACGTTCACGAACTCCTTGGGAAATAGCAATATAGCATGCGTACAGCAGAATCTGTGTGACGGCAGATGGAACTCCCACATGTTCAATCCTGTTCTTGGGCCAACTCGCCTGACTCCAAGTGGTGACATGTCCAGGTCACACAGTCAACCCCTTTCCAGATGACTTGTTCAGGCTCTGCTTACATCTGATTTTCAATGGTAAATTCACACCATGTTGGATCTCGGATGCAATCTATCCCGCACTTTCGCAACCAACACCCCCTCCACCCCCTTCCAGGCTCAGTCCAACGACCATTCTTTTACCTCTTATCTTGTTGCCTTACTATACCCCTCCAAGTCTTCCTGGACCAAGTATCCCCTGACAACGCCCGAGGGTTTCGGCTGCGCAGTTGTTGATGCTGTGCTTCACAAGTTTCACTATTTCCAGTTGAATTCAGGGCTAGGGTTAGAGAACCCAGCAGATTTCTAATAAAAGGCGTATCTTTCAGAGAACGAAGCAAATTTCTGGACGGAATAGTGTCGGGTCCAGCGGCCGTTGGATTCTGCCTCTCAGGATGCTGCTGTGGACTTCAAAATTCCTCGGGTCAATCAATGCGAAGAGTCTGTTCGCACTTTGACGTATCACGGCGGATAACGTTGACTTCTTCCTCACTCGGGCCTGTCATCTCACTTTCCACACCCGACCTGCGAAGATCACGCACTCGACACTTCGAATTGATCGATCGCCCCTGACAATTTGGAGGCATTCGGTACAGAGCAAACCACGGCCAGCGACAGAAATGGGTTTTCATAATGACGCCAGATCTTGACAACCTCTATGCTGATCCTCTACACTTGTTCATGCTCTTCATGTTTCCTGCAGGGAAAATGACGAGGGTAAGATTCCTACGCGACAAAACGCGAAAAAGACACGCCAAGACCACTAGCGCCAACGCGTCCATTGGGTCACGATAATTCTTGACTTCGCCTGTCATCCACCCAGTCCCTCTTCTCCTATATGCAAGCTGAACATTTGACTCACACCATATCTCCAACCTACATGAAGCTGAAATGCTCAGCGCCTCGCAACAGCCTCTTGGAGCTTTGCACGCGCGAAAGCGCAATGTGAATTCACATCAAGACTTGTTGCAAGGCACCGAGGTCGATCGTCGCATCGAGCTTCCTCAGACTCCATAGTGGGATTCTATTGTGATGCAATACTCATCTTCACTTGGTGTAGGGCGGTGTGTCAGGGGCCACTAGCAGGAGACCAAGGCCTGTGGCCTCAACGACCTGTTGATTCACTTGCCATCGGTGAACGGCCACCTGAGCTTGAAGAGGCAACTAAATCCTGGGTGAAAACGTGCACAAAGGTCCTCGTCGCAGCCTTGTGTGGTGAAGAAGGTCGAGTGGTGGCCAGCGAGTGTCAGCCCCATCACACTGTTTCATTGTTCCCCCTGCCCATCCCCTTTATTCATTCACGTTTCTTTGTGCTGTACGACAACGATGACAAAGACGAGCTTTCTTCAGCCTTTCTGTTTGCTATTCTCTTCCCCACTCCTGCACTACATTTCTCATTAAACCCTCGCGCCCAACTCTATCATCTCAAAATTCTTACTTTCCTTGACGCTCAAACTTTACTTCTTCATCACCTCACTAGCCATCATGCTCATCTCAGCACTGGCTAGCCTAGCGCTGGCAGCTACGGCATCCGCGACCAAGCTCTACGTCTCGTCGTACACCGGCAACATCACAACCCTCGACCTCGCCCACGGCAGCAATGGCACCCACAAACTCTCCCTCATCGACAGCACGCCCGGCTGCGCAGCGAACGCCTCCTGGCTGCGCATCGACAGCAAAAACCGCAACCTATTCTGCATCGACGAGGGCATAGTCTCCGCCAACGGCTCCCTCAACTCCTTCAAAATCGACGCCCAAGGCGCGCTCAAACAAGTCGAAAAGGGGCTCAAGACCCTCATCGCACCCGTCAACGCCGCCATCTTCACCGGCACGAACGGCAGCCAACTAATGGCCGTCGCGCACTACGCCGACGCCCTCTCGACGTGGCACATCGACCCCACCACCGCGAAAATCACCCCTGGCCAGACCTTCAACTTCACCCTCTCACACCCGGGCCCTGCACCGCAGCAAATCCGCGCGCGACCACACCAAGTGCGCTTAGACCCGACAAACAAATACTTCGTCGTGCCGGACCTAGGCGCGGACCTTCTCCGAATCTTCTACATCAACCCCCTTACACTCGAGATTTCCTCACGGCCCTCCATACCCGTAACGCCCGGTTCAGGGCCCCGTCACGGCATCTTCCACGCCGAGGGCGTGAACAGCACATTCTACTACCTAGTCAGCGAGATCGCGAACACTTTGACAGGGTTCAAGATCAGCTACCTGCCCTCCTATGGGGGCATGACGTTCGCGCCCATAGTCAACACCACGACCACGGGCTCCAAGGCCAACGATACGACATTCACCGGCAACGCAGCCGCCGAAATCGCCATCACGAACGATTGCAAGAGCTTGTACGTCAGCAACCGCAACGCCAGCGTCTTCAACATCGCCAACCCGGATCCGGACAAGAAGAACACGACGCGCATACCGTCAGATTCGTTGGCGACGTTCGATCTCAACGACGCTACGGGCGGGGTGAAGTTCGCGGGCTTGAGTCCCGCGGGGGGCACGTTTCCGCGGAATTTTGCGCTGGATAGGTCGGATCAGTATGTTGCTGTCGGCTTGCAGACGAGTGGGCGTGTGGCGGTTTATGAGCGGGATTTGAAGACGGGGAGACTGGGGACTGAGTGGGTGGCGGCGGTTGAGGGGTTGGGGAATGTGACTAGTATTGTGTGGGGGGATAGGTTGGCATGAAGGGGGCGGGTAAGGGAGGGGGGCGTTTTCATTTCTTAGCTCTGGGTGAGGGTACTATGGTTTACTTATACATGCGAGATTCCAGAACATGGGCTGCTGGAAGGATAGCGAGGCGTCGGCTTCGAGATCTGGCAATTTCAATTGATTGTATTTACTTTTCCCCCCTGCGCTTGATCGTTTCGTTCTGATATCAAACCCTGCCAAACGAGTTGCTAGTGTCACTCGCTCAACTCAACAAACCCTCCATTTCTAAGATGCTTTCTCGCCGTCGGCCATGTTCCCGAGTCGACGGATGTATTGCCCACGTGCTTCCATCTGAGATTCAACGGCGTAAAGACTCCGTGGCCAATCTCGTCAATCGCTGAAACACAAACAACATGCCCATTTTCCATTCCCTCCGATCCGTCGTTGCTGCATTGATGTTACAACGCCATTTGACTTTCTCCCTAGGAGACGCGTCCGCCGCGTTCCATAAACGATATCGAAGGGCTGGTGGGACTCACGGGATGCGGCCGAGTGCATTATTAACAGGTTTCCCCCCTCCCACCACCATTCCCCCCTATCCCCTCCCCTCTCCTCCCCCACCAGCCCCTTCCACCCCCTCTTCCTTCGTCTCTCCCATCAAGCTCAAACAAAACACCCCACCCCCCCCCCCTTCTCCTCCCGCTCCTCCCGGACAGCACAGCGTCTCCTCAGGCTGGCCATTAATATAATGCACATTCAACGCGCCCGCTATCGCGAATTTATCCACGCTGATAGTATGGCCGTCCTCGAAATTTCTGCACGAGATTTCAGAGTTATTCTCAGCGGTGCAGGTGTAGATGTCTGCGTCGGCGCAGTCGGTGGTATTTGCAGGCAGGGTTGGAGGGGATGGGGCGGGGGATGGGGCGGGGGCGGGGGCGGGGGCGGGGGTGGTCAAGGCGAGAGGGACAGCGAGGAGGAGGAGAGAGATGAATGTTGTGAGGTATTTCATGACTGGAACCTTGTAGTGGTGAACTCCTGTTCGGGCGAAGACACGGGTGTGGAAGACTGGGGTTATGTTGTATAGAGGTGGGTTTTGCTGTAGACAGTATTTCGTTTTTGAGCGGATGAGATTGAACAACGGTAGTAGAGGAAAGCGATGGGTTTATTTATATAGACAGCATCTACTCTCTTTGATGACAGGAACAAACAAAGGACGCGTCGGCCCCCACGTTTGATGGATGGTGAGCCGCGTCGCACACCGAGACCCAGCCAGTCGAGCGTTCGAATCTGAGGTCTGTCGCGCTCGAGGTTGAGACAGAACGAAACACCAACATTTATTGAAAACGGTCGATATTGACTTATCATGCCGTTCGGGTTGGCAAGAGCCCTCTCCGCTGCAATTCGGCTTCTCATTGGTTGTACTTTCTTCTTCTACTTCCTGGCCATTGTCTTCAGAATTATTGAATGTACTCAGTTGCGAGAAATGGTTTGGTATATGACGGCGGTGTAAGTTTCCTGATCGGAGTAAGTTATACTTGACGTCGGTGGAAAGAATCTCAAAAGCGTGCCACATCTCTACCAGTAATGCGCTGTAATGCAGTACCTTCCTGGATGTGGACGAAGGGCTTTCCATGACTGGTGTCTTATTTAGAGAAAAGCAATTAATGAGTCGGATTGTTGATCAAGAATCAGGCATTTCATGGGGTGAATAGTGCTGTTTCCAAATCTCTCTTGAATGCTGGAGCTCTCTTGCAATATCATTTCTGGGATCCATCGTATAAATTAGGAAAGTCTTTCAACCCCTCTACCACCACCTAAGCCACTTCTTCTTGCCTTCATGACCCACGTCACCCTCCTCCATCCCCCCATGCTCCCTCACCACATTAACAAAAACCTGATCCAGCGACGTCTCGCCCACCGAGTAAAACTTCACCCCCAACGCCGCCTTATTACTCTCAAGAGTCCTAAACAAATTCGCCACGCCACCACCCTCATTCTCACCTCCCTCCAAACCACCGATACCCCTACGCGCGGGCACCGAAAACCGTAATTGCCCACAATACGTCTTCTCATCCAGTCTGGCGCCCTCAAAGTGCGTGCGCACCCACATCTTCAATTTTTTCATCTCCTCCACACCCGTGTACGGTGCGCTGTTCGTCACCAGATGGACATGGTAAACATCACCCCATCGCCTCCTCAGCGCATCGCACGTGTCCATCGCGAGAATGCGGCCGGACATGATACCCGCGCGATCAGCCAGCGCGTCTGCTTCTTCCATGCTGTGCGTCGTGAGCAGAATACTCCGACCCGCGGAGACGGCCGCTAGAGTCTTCCACATGGCGCGTTTGCTAGCTGCGTCAAGGCCACTGGAGGGCTCGTCGAGGAGGAGGACGGAGGGGTTGCCGGCCATGGCTATCGCGAGGGATAATTTGCGCTTTGTGCCGCCGGAGAGTTTGTAGGCGAGTTGGTGGCGGTAGGGCTCGAGGCCGAAGACGCGGATGAGTTCGTTGGCGTTGTGGGTTGGGGAGGAGACGCCGCGGATTTGGGCGTAGAATTTGATGTGTTCGTAGACGCTGAGAACGTCGGTGGCGTCGAATTGGGGGCAGACGCCTAGATGGGCTCGGGTTTTGTCGCGGTGGGTGAAAAGGGAGATGTTGTCGACATGAACGGCGCTGAGAGAGCTGGAGGGGCGGATGTCGCCTCTGATGAGGGAGATGGCGGTTGCTGTCATTATCAGTAAGTGATAGACAGCAACGAGCAAGCGACTTACATTTTCCAGCGCCGTTAGGACCTAGCAGCGCGAATACTTCAGACTGCTTGATATCAAAAGACACATCATCGACGGCAACATTACGGCCAAACGATTTGGACAGGTTTGTCACGCGAAGACCTGTCATTTTCTCCCCTAGAGTACGAAGCTCCATCGACTGTGACACGCTACCTGCAACCGCATCTTCAGCATGACGCTGCTTGCTGTAACGTTTGAAGAGCATACGCGGCGAGAACCCTGAGTCCCAGAGAAAAAGGATAGCGAAAAGAATCAAACACTGCAAGATCAGGTAGAATATGGGTCCGCCGTAGAGCTCAAACGCTCCAGGAGAATCTAGTTTGCCACAATCAATCAAGAACTGATTCAAGGCGACAAACACCGCTCGCTGGAGATTAGCGACAGGCGAGATAAAGCCGATAGAGTTTTGAACCTTTCCCAGCGTCGTACTCAAGTCTGCAATGCCAGTCCTAGTCTGAACACCTAGATAAGCGCCAAAGTAAGCCAGGCACATAACCACTTGACCACTGGCACAAAGCGCCCAGGCAGCCAGCTGTGACTTGGCGAACATCGATATTAGATATCCTAGAATTGTAGAAGCGAAACCGTAGAGCACGAGAACGACGAAGATATAGCCGAGGTGAATCCAGTGCTTCGTGCCAAGTGAAAGTAGCGCGGTAGATATTACGCTGATGACGATCACGTGAAGGGAGTCGAAAGCGAAATAGGCTAGCCACATGGGCTTTGACTTCACGCCATTGGAATACTGTAGAGCGCGTGCTTGGCGGAGCCGCTCGACTGTTGGGTACAAAGCGTAGAATGCTGGGTAGATGGCAAAGACGAGACAGAAGTAGATCGAGAATAGCAAGGCGCTGAATGCGTAAGTGTCGGGCTCAAGTGGCAAGACGAAATCAGAGTATGTCGTGACGATGCCAATGTTGCTCAGAAGATTATTCATGACGTTCTGCGTTACGACTGATTTGAACAACGATGCCGAGTAAGCGTTCCACGCAATGACTGGAGCAGACGTAGCATCCCCAAGCCAGAAGCCGCCGCCATCTAAGTTCTGTCTTTGCTCGGCGACGCGTGCGTTAAAATCCTGAAGACTGCTAACATTGTAGAGATTCTGGAAAATCGTTGGGTCAGGTTGACCTCTTCTAGTATAGACCGAAGGATAAAGATCGTTAATGCGGGACAGTGATTGGCTATATCCAGGAGATGGCGGGCCTCCAACTGCATTGGGTTCATATAGCGTAGCGAAAGACGATAAGTATCCTGCAGAGGGAGGGGCATACTCCTTTGTCTTTTCGCTTACGGCACAGTTCATAGGGTTAAAGTAGTGTAGTAGCAGGGGCGACACGCCGGCACCGATGAGAGCCACAATCAGAGCACTCAAATGAGGACCCCACTTCCTTCGAAAGACTAGTAGACGTTTGATAAAAAGCAGCCACATTTGCTTGCTTGCGTGAACATGGCTGCCGTTGTGTAGATTGATGTCTTGGAGTTCATCTACGTTGACGATTACTTCTTGTGATTTCTGATGACCGGAATCGCGTTGGTGAGATCCTTTTGCATTTGGATCCGACGATGTTAGAGTGACTAGTGATGAGCCTGCTAATCGCAAAAATACATCTTCGAGGGTTGGACCAGATATTTTGCAGTCGTGGTGTCCATGACTGCTTAGATTGTCGACGAGGTTTGCGGCTTCTGCAGCGTCTCTAGCATGAAGGGTTTGAGTCGCGTGACTTTTCTTCTGTCTGTCAGATGCGAGATTTCCTCGACCTTGTTGCAGGGGTTGAACGGTCTCAATAACGTAGCCGTTCCCGTAACGTTGCTTAAGCTCCGCACTAGATCCCTCAGCTTTCAGTGTACCTTTCGAGAGGATAGCTATGTGGTCCGACAGGAAGTCCGCTTCGTCGAGGAAATGCGTAGTCATGATAATAGTCCTTGATGATCGTTGGGCAAGAAGGATGTCCCAGATCTTCCTACGAGACAATGGATCTAGTCCCGAGGAGACTTCATCAACACAGCAGACTGCGCTTCCACCTGCAAACATCATAGCGAGTTGTACCTTGCGCTTCTGGCCGCCAGATAAGGTCTTCGACTTGGCGGCAGCCTTGCTATCAATATCGCAATCGTTTAACATTGCTCGTACATCGGCTTCTGTACCGCGAGAATCTGTGGCTTTTAGATTGTGAAAAATTTTTACGTGTTCTCTAACAGTCAAGTCATCCCTAATCAATTAGTCCTCGATCATTTTGCCTTAGCGTATAACTTCAACTTACCAGAGGATATTCTTCTGTGGCGTGACACCCAAACCACCAGATCCATCTACCTCGATCTGGCCGTTGCTCACTTTGCTGAGACCCGCAATTGCGTCTAGGGTAGTCGATTTGCCGGAACCATTCGGGCCAAGTAGCATGAGAATCTGCCCTTGACGAGCGGAGAGGTCCAGATTCCGAACAGCATCCACTTGCTTCCTCTCACTCGTGAATAGTCGAGCGAATAGACTGGGTTTGTAAGTCTTACTGAAATCCCTTAATTGTACAGTAGCGTCGAGCCCCCGGTGACCTTTATGCAAGATACGTCTGTTGCTTGACGTAGCGAAAATAGCGCGCTCGATACCCACAGCAGCGAGAGGATACACTATTATTTGAAGGACCAGAAATATCCAAAAATTAGATCCATGAAGCTTCCACGGGCTGTCTGGGGCCGAAGCATCTAGCTTTGCTCCCAGATTCTTGTACTCCCATCTCAGGATGAATACCAAGAAGTATGTGTAATTGGACGACGGAAAGAACAGACTAAGAGCAAAGACTGTTGCTGGCGTCTGCTTAGGGTCCGATAGCACCTGTGGAATGATCGCAAGGACCACCACGACCACCACCACGCAGATACCGCTTAATTGAGCTCTCTTAAAGAAGACCGCGCCAAAGATGGAAAATGAGCATAATGCGAGACCTGCGAGAATATGATACACGATCGTAATTGCCGGGTCCGTGAATGTGAAGACCTTCGCAGCAAGGATGATACCAATAGCCAGCCAGCTTGGGAAGTAGAGGATGGAGAAGCTGAAATGGTAGGTGAACAGGCGTAGGACCTGAGGTAGCCACCGCTGGGTATTTGGCATCATTGCTTCAACCAATTGCGCAAGGCCGGATTCCCGCTCGTAGGCAATAAGGCCTGTAAGTTGATAGACTACGCCAACCATACCCAGGAAGTAGACGACGCCAAAGTAGCTAATGCCAGATTGTAGGTAGCTCTGGCGGGTGTCACTCTCTCGTTGCTCCTCCGAGACTGTGGTGAAGGGATACTGAGTGACGGTGGAAAGGTCTCTTCCATGGTATTCTGGTGTCTTCACGTCAAGATTTTAGAGTCAGCAGCCATCTTATGCAGGTCCGTCACACTTTATACGTACCTGTGTAGTAATAGCATGATCAATCGCTTGTTGAAACGGCATAAGGTAAATCTGAGCATCGTTCTTCTGCCGTGTGACATCAAAGGTCTTGCCTAACGAGGAGTCTGCCCTTAGCGTGTAATTCCAATTTCCCCCTGATTGGGGGAAATTTGGGCTGGAGTGGAAAACAACAGCGCCGTAGCATTTGGATGTGCCGCGTACAGAAGCCTCGCACTTGTCCGACAAAAGTGTCTCGTCAGAGGCTTGAAATAACTGCTTGCCAGGAGCACGTTGTACTTCGTCAGACAGTGATTTGACGACCTTTAGCATGTCATCGCTTGCGTACGCATCGACGATGATGGCAATGGTGTTTCTTGACGGACTGGACCGAGAAAGCGCCTCTGAGAAGGAGAGGATGGGAGTGGCTGTACCTATGCCGAATTGTTGTGGTGGATTGAAGAAATACTGTGCATAAGTGACCAGCAAGACAAGGGCGAGAGGGAAAATTAGTGCCCTCAGCAGGGTCGAGATCGGACGTCTGACTGCTGCAATAAGGAGGTTTTTCTGAACGAGCACTAGTACTTGCCGGATAAGTAGAGCCATGCCGGGTCACGGGGAACTTGAGCGCAGATTCAGACGCCAAATGTTAGATGAACACCAAACAAAGCATTGCAAATAGTTGTCCAATGTAGGGTTTGCCTGTTCAAGCATTCTAGAGTCTGAAGGAAAGGTTGTAGAACATATATATTTGCAGAACGCTTGAGAGGCGCAGCGACAAGAGTTGGTGCGCAATTCTTTACATACATTTTGTGAGGGGGAGCTCGTGCTTCGTGCAGAGACATGCCATGCTGCTGCCTGATTTAGCATTTCAGTTTCGAGGTCAAACGTAGAGTTTGAATGTCGCAAAATTCTAGCTGTGGTGCACTGCCCGGAATTCTCAAGCGAGACTACCGAGCGTTTATGCTGTAGCACCCAAAAGAGCAGTCGTCGGCTCCAGCTTCAGATATTAGAACAGCAGTCATTGCGTCCGATGGAAGACCCTAGAGCGCATAGGGCGACCACTCTTTCCTTACTTGATGCAACAGCATCCGGGGGGGGAGGCCAGAAGACTTCACCAAAAGAGCAGTCGTCCTAGGCCGAGAGGCAGTGCAAATAGCCCGAGCCCATTCGCGGCAATCTGCAATATCGTAAGTTGGGTGCTGCCCCGGAGGTGGAGTGGTTTCAAGCTTGTGTCAAGCATGAAACGAGAAAATATAGCCGCGGAAACCTCTAGACTCAGAGTGAAACGAGACTCTCGTCAACATGGAAACATTCAGTAACAAAGGCTGTCAATAGCTAAAGATATACGACTATAAGTTATTGTTGGAGTTGGCATGACCCTTTAGCGCTCAAGATCTGTCCTGATGAAGAGCAAGTCAACAGCGTCGACACTGGTAGGGTTTCAACGTCAACCAGCTTAATATATCATCTTGTCGCTTCTAGGCCATAGGTTGTTATCAAGTTGTGTTGATCTTCTCATCAATACAGAGTCTTGTGGTCCAATACTCCAATGATCGGCCGCTCAGGCGTGATATACCGTGATGGTAAAGCAAGCCTGGCCAAAGCTGGATCAATATGGATGAATCCGGATAATCTCGCCCAGTCATCAATATCCAACAGCAACCATCAAGGGAGGTCGATTTTACCCGCCCTCTTCGCATTGTCCAGCTTTTTCAACCACGCGCAAGTGCACAGACGTCACCCTCCTCAAGGGCGCGGCTTCTTTCGAGAAGTGACACTCGCCATTCCAATAAGCCGTAAAGACCCAACATCTTTGCGGACGTATCCCTATCTTTATGCATCTCTTCTTTTGACACATCTGTACCATGCTTACACAGCAGTGTTCTCCCTCTCTCGGAGTAACGGCAAATGGTCGTAGGAAGGTCAAGCCCTGGTGTAGCAGCTCCTCTGCCTCAACACGATTAGTGCTTCCACATGTGCGCCAGCACCATCGTATCCATCTCTTAAACCTCAGACGGTCTCGTCCGGCATACAACTCTAGTAGCGGGGGGAAGGTCGGGAGGTCGCAGGCAGCTCTTCGAACGCGTTGGAACAACTCCACGGAGATGCGTCGGACTCATGCGTGCTAGCGCATGTCGTACAATCTTCGCGGTCGGACGATCGATCTTGAGCTGGAGACCCTCAATTAGGGCCAGGCTGTATGCTGTGAGAGGTAGAGGATGGCAGATCGAGTCAAGCAAACAAAGGGAACACTGAAAGGACCGGATCAATGTTTGACCGGCCACCGATTTCAAAAAACCTGACGAAGCGAGCGAAGCTGATGACTCTTGCCCAGATAGTCAACGGAATTCTCACAGCACTTTAGAGCTGTCCTGTTGGTATTGTCCTGTTGGCGAAGGCTTGAAGCAAATCGTCTCATGGGGCTGTTTGGGTGTTCAGATGGCTAATACGGTCATGAGGAAGTTTGGCGATGATGAAAACCAAAGCTCCTTTGTCACTATGCATTCCACTATACCCGTTGATATCAACACCCACATCCTCCACTATCACTCCGTCGCCCCCACCCCCTCCCCCACCCCCTGCACCATCGTCAAATTCCCCTCCCCCTCCTCCCATCCACCACCACCACCACCACCACCAACATTACAATCCGAATGCCCCCCCTGCTGCCCATACACCCATAAGTCCTACTAATCGCACTATCACTACTCCAAAAGAAGACGCCCAGGCTCCTCTTCCTGCCCGCATACCACGCCGCCGGCAAATCGAGGTTCTTCAAACACCAGCCATTGCGATTGGCAGCGTCGTCGATTTCCGCGGGCATGACTTCGTCCGTGGGTTGCAGGGCGGCGGGGTCCGGGACGAGGAGTTCGGGGAGAAGACGCGTCTGGCTACTGCCGCTGCGGGTGGGGATTTGAAGGAGCATTACGAGGGCGACGTGACATGTGCCTGTCATCCCTCGTCAACAAGGTGTTCACTCCTGCGATTCTTTTTGGCGAAAATTTTACAGGTGCTGAAATAAATGGTAAGGGGGAATGAAGGGGTAATTACGTACCGTGAACCATACCCAGCGGCGTCAGCTGCTGATACGGCGTCTTCGGGGCAGGAGCCTGGAACCAATATGTCCATCGGCGCTGCTGCTGGTATTGAGGGGTGATGATGAGCCAGAGATCCTTATATGCTGATAGGCAGTCGTCGTGGATGAGGCGGGAACCGGCCCAGTCTGGGTAGAAGGGGTGGGGGTCGACGCAGAGGGTCTGTTCCTCGCCGAGGGTGGCGTTCACGGAGAAGTCGGGCTCTGATGAGACGGGATCTGTTTGCGCAAGGGTAGGGGAAACGGTGGAGAGGAGTGCGAAAATGAGGAGGGTGAGGTTATTGAACATTCTGCTAGGAGTCGTAGATTCGAGCTGAGTGTCGTGTGAAGGCCTTTTCTGATTTATGGAGGATGTCGACACCTACACCAGACTCAAATTCCATGCAGCCCAGTGAGGCCATGGTAAAGCATTTCCACCATGTCGCACTCTAGCTCGTGTCTTTCGGCTTTGGCCCCGCCGATGTCGAAGTCTTGAGTTGGTCCAAAAATAGCTTTTGCATTGAAATGAGACCTATGTTTGAAACGACAACAGGCCTGAGCTCCTTTCAGTGAGTCCACCCGATAAAACGAGTCGTCACGCTTCACATTCGAAGTATAGATCCATTGAGGGACTCTGTCGACTAAGTTGGGCTTGATGTTGAGGATGAAGGATTTGTAGGCGGCGGATTCTAGGGTTACGGGCCAGGTTGTGGTGGAGGTGGTGTGCAGGGCTTGGAGTTGGGCGACGGTGAAGTCTGAGGCGCGGGTAGGCTTGTTGAGGTTCTGCATGTTTGCTGAGGTTCGAGTGATAGTGACTTGAGATGGAGGGTTGGAAATGGTGAGGATTTTGATGCAAGATGCAACATTTTATCGTGTCTGTGGGTGGGCAGTGGATGGAAGGGAGAGGCGGTGGGTGGAAAGTACGTATTGAGGACCGGGATCTGGGTGTATGGCGATGTCTCGGGATTACTTGACAGCACCTACACCTCGCCACTAGCTTCAGTTGACTTGGTCTATTGAATTGAGATCGCTGGCGTCGACAATGCGAGTGAGTATTTGCAGTAGACGTGGGCTATAACCCTCAAGACAGAATTCGTTCATTGTCATCCAAATGTAAAATATATACAGAATGAACCCCCCATATCGTCGTGTATGCCGATCATCAAGATCTCAATGCGCAATGCAAAACACCGTCCATCTATCCAAAGGTCCCAGATCCTGTCCTAAACACCATGCTTCGCCCCCCAGCCACACCCAAAAGATTGTGCAACCTCCTCGCATGAATCCCCCTCTTATGCTCATGTCGATGTCCCTCCCTTTTTTGCACCTGCGCATTCGACGTGTACGTCCCAGGGTTGTTGTACTGATTCCCATTGCCACCCGTGACGCCCTGGTTGTCTTCCTGGGGCCCAATAGTGCACTCCACATACCCCTTCTTCGGCAAGCCAATGAACGTGCTCTTCCCCGCCGTATTGTCCTGATACCAATAATTGCCTCCTTTGGTGTCCGTGAAGAATTGATCGATAGCGCTTCCGTGCCCGTTGTTTAGACAACTCGTGCAGTCCTGACCCTGCTGGCAGGGCGTCTTGCAAGTGTGCAAGTCTGACAGGTCGAGTTTGCCGCCGATGTAGGCTTCTGGCGTTCCCTTGCCTGAAGGGTCGCCAGAGGGGAATTCGCCGCATTGGACTGCAAGACTGAAACCATCGACGAGGCTGATGTCGCACACGGACTGGCCTTGTGCATTCGGGGCGATTGTGCATTCGATGATGGTGTTGCCGTACGTGCCATCGCCTAGGCCGCGGGATATAGGAGAGACAAACATTGCGCCGGAGCCCTTGAAGCAGCAGTCTGCGTTGTCTTGGCCGAGTTTGCCGTTCGTGGTGCCTTCACAAAGACCGCGTCGCTCAAATTGCCAATCGGGGTTGTTCGACTTGAATTTGAAGGGGACGCAGAACTCCCCATTGCTGCCACCTGGGCTGCCGCTTGGGGAATAGCCTTGGTCGGCGGTAGTGAGAGCGAGGAGGCTCGCAAGGGAGAGGAGCAAGGACTTTGTAGAGTAGGAGGTAGGCATGCTGAGCTAGAGAATGAAGAGACTGGTGAAGATGAGAAATGAGCGGAATAGAAACAATCAATCGTGATAGCACCAGGCCAACATATAAAGAAAGGAGAGACTGCGCCTGAAAGGCCAAAGGATCGCGAGGGCAATGATAGAATGAGTGAACTGTCTTTGCTAGTGAGCGTAGACGGCAGGCAGTGCGCTTTATCTATCCCCCTCATGAAACAGGTGGTTGTGCAACGCCTACCTTGTGCCGTAAGCCGGGCCACCACCACCAACCTGAAACGTCGCATAGACTGCGTATGCCGCCCTCGTTACTGCACAGTTTGTACGACGAGCTGCATATCTTTGTTTGTTGGGCTTACAAACAGGAACCTCACGCCGCACTTCACGTGGCGGAGGTTTCGCTGGAGTTGGTTGTTTCGTGGCACAGCAAGGCTAATCTCTGCCAAGACGCAGGAAAGCGCTTCGACAACAGGGCGATGCGAATAGGAGTCCATGGGATTGTGGCCCGTTCCAGACGTGCTTGCGGGCCTCCGTGAAACCTGTGGGGCCTTACCTGAAAGCCGTTTCGGTTTTCTCCAGATTTAAGAATCATGTGTGAGGCCCCAGAGGTCGGTCCATCACCCAAGATTCTCCATCAGAGCCTTCTTACGACCATACTTCCTATCTTGCAGGTACATGCGGAAGTCCTATCGTCTTCATCTTTTTCACCTCGTCGTGTGCAATGCCACGGGCGCCTGCATTTTCTTTTTCAAGCCTTGTGTAACACTTGCCGAGTCATGTCTCATAATCACCTCTTCCGATTGAATATTCAGCTCCCATGGCAAAACGCCGAGCATACATCGCACGAGCATATCTTCAGCCTGTGGTACATATCCTGAGAAACCCCTGTTGACGATCGAGGGCTCCCAGAGTGGCAACGAATGAGAGGGACATAGACAAAGGCGACGGTGCACAGTATTTCCGAAATTCGCTGTGCTACCGTTACTTTTCTGTGCATATATGTGTATTTGGCCCAAGGGCTCTTGCTCGTGGCTGGGGCATGGAAGGCTTGGGTGTGGGAATGTTGTACGAGAGTTCTAGTCACATGGGTTAAGAGAAAGATACCACTGCCAGAATACCGGATACGGCTTACCCAGGTTTCAATAACCCATTGCATCAAGAATGATCACAATACCACAAGAACCCCATTAATCGTTGTGTCAGCTGCCCATGCGAGAGGGCTGCCAAAGTCCGCCGTGCTGCTCCATTTCCACAGGTCATTGTAGACGATCAGAAACCCGTCGGCGTGCTTCTGATAGTCCATCATTGCTCAATGCTTCTCTGAGCTAAGACACCTGCTGGTCTACAGTTGCGACGCTTCGCAGGAATAGTAGAACGCTTCAAGGACACGAGACTTCCGACTATAGAGCTGGGAGCGTCTCGGATCGGAAGAATGTTACGCCTCCCGGAGCTCGTAGCAACGTTAGTCCGAGGCGCCTGAAGTCTCTGGAAAGTCGAAGGATCAAACACTCATTTCCAAAGTGCATCAGTGGGTGGCATGAATCTGCCACCCCTGCATCATTAGTACTCTACACTGGGGCCTGTCCTTCAGACTCCAGCATGACGGAAAACAGTGAGACATATGCTCCGCCACGTCTGCACACTTGCAGCAAAGACTCATTAAGAGTAATTGGCCCAAAATTACAGGAAAATCTGTCTAGCCACCATTGTGCATTCAATCTGCCAGTCAAGACAACAATGGATCGTTCTCTTCCAATAGCTCAAGATCTCATCTGTTGGCTGTCTGAAAGCTCATCAACGTTAGGCACGGGGCTTTATGGCCTTTTGATCCTACCATTACGAAGCAGATGGCCTTTCCACTCCTCAAACTTTGCAAAATTTCGCCAGAGTTCATGACAAGCAATGATAGCAGGTGCTGTTCGAGCGTTGTTGAAGGGTGTGCGCATATCATTTCATGTCGTAGCATGTTATACCCATTATGCTCGAAGTTTCGACATCCTGACTCGCAGTGAAAATGCCGGCATTGCGCCTAACAAATTCCTTCGGAGAGCATTCCATTCGAGTGAGATATAGGCTCTTTAACATGCGTGTCATTCCGTAGCTAAAATCGAGTTTAGCTGCCATTGTTGGTCGCTACTTATATGTTGAAGGTGGACAGACTTCATACTTAGACGATGACGATAAACCACAGTACGCGCCTGGTCAGTCATTCAAGATCTTAGCCTCCTTCAAGCTTTTTGCTAATGCTCATAAAAGAAAGTCAAACTTTGTCTCTTGATTTGTCAAAGGATTGGGACAACTCCACCGCAATCTGGGCTTCATCAACCAAGCCGTCCGACGCCCCGTTTTTGAATAAAGGCCTTCTCTGGTACCACAAGGCTGACGAGAAGCTGTATACTGGTTTCGTCGGCGCTTCGTCGACGTACGATCGGGACAACGTGCCCAAAACCCCACTCACCCTTTGGTCTTTTGCCCTGGATCAGAAAGGGACCGGGTCCTGGAGCGAGATTTTGAAGCCTGGGGCAAACAACTGGTACGACATACTGCGATTAACTCATGCTTCCACCGCCCAAACCCCTGAAATTGGATTTGTCCTCCAAGGCCACGACGAAGACCTCAACTCCAACCTTGGCATGCTACAAATGAATTTCGCAGCTTTATCCTTTACAAATGTAACATCGACGACGCCTTTCCCCAGTCCCATCATGGGAGGTAATATGCAATATGTCCCAACTTGGGGCTCAAAAGGCCTCCTACTGGCGATTGGAGGGGGCGGCATACGGACGGGTAATTGGCCCGACTACGACACAGTCCCAGTGTTCGACGTCGCAGCACAGAAGTGGTACAATCAAAACGTTAGCGGTAAGATACCCGAAGGACGATACGACGCCTGCGTCTCTGGCATCACTTCAAGCAGCCAGACGTTCGAAATATTCTTTTACGGGGGAGATGCCTTGGTAAACGCGAGCGCCATCAATTACGACCAAATCTACATCCTAACCCTGCCCGCCTTCCATTGGATCCAAGTACCCTACACAGCTCAGCATCCCCGATTTTGCCACAGTTGCGATGCCGTTGGTGGAAGCCAGATTCTTGTTCTAGGCGGCGCAGATCCCGCAATTCCAAGATCTCCGGATAATTCTCATAAGCAAATGACGAGCCCGGATCCGTTCAAACAAGGACTCGGAGTCTTCAACATGACGAGCCTGCAGTGGCAAGATCATTATTCTGCTTCACCATCACCGTATGAACAATCTAGTCCCATCAAGCAGCACTACCTCGAAGTGGGCCAGTAGGTTTCCCTTCTCATCCATATTATCCCAGAAGCCAGCTTACACATTTCTAGATCCTACATACAATCACTCCATCCCAACCTCGTGGATCTTTTCAAAGGCAGCGACCCCATCTCCTGTAAGCCAACAAATATCCCTCGAACCTGTTTTCTCTCGTTCCGCTCCACCTCCCTCTTCTATAACCTCACAAAGCTGACCTTTCCAGCCATCCAAGCTGCAGACTCGACTGCAAACTCGAACGCAAGCTCGAACGCAAGCTCGAACGCAAGCTCGACCGCAAACTCGACCACTAATTCAACAAATCAAAGTCACAGCTCATCCACCACCTCGTCAGACCCAGCTCCCCCTAATAACCCCACCAACACAGGCGTGATAGCAGGCGGCACCGTCGGCGGCGTCGTAGCACTCGCGATAATTGTCACCCTCGTGATCTTCTTCCTTCGCAAGCGTCGATCACCCAAAGCGACACCATCCTCCAACATCGACGAAATGGGCGACCGATCAAAAAGTCAACTAGCGAAGATGCACGAAGATGCTCGCCCTCTGGAGTTGAATGAAGTTGGTGTTCAGGAACTGAGTGTTTCCAACTCCGCATTCCAACGCTGGGAGAGAGTAGAGATGGGTTGAGCTTTGCCATCCGCATGCGAGTAAATGGAGAAAGGGAATTCGTCTCACTTTGTGGCTGTAGCTGAATAGGATGGGGACTTTTATTCTGACAAGTGATGGAAGCTCCGGCGAGCATATCATAAGCCACAGACTTGAAAATAACGAACAAAACACCCGCCGTAGCAAGACGCAGACTTCTCAAACCCCCCACATCCCATTCTTCTCTCCCACGTACGTCCCAATTAATCACCAACCCCCTTCCCAGCCCCTCCCAGCACTCCCACCGCAGCAGCGCGGAACGCATCCGCAGTTGCAGATCGCCCGCCTTCCCGCCTTCCAAAAAAAAGATCACACAAAATTGAAGCAAAAAGAGCGGGCTGAACTGGGATTTGAACCCAGGACCTCTTACAATTGTCATTGTGATGACCCAAAGCAAGAATTCTGCCACTGAACTATCCAGCCAAGATATTCATTTGCTTGGTATTTGTATATATATACTACAAATTTTGTGGGGAAAATTTGTCGTTCTCGAGGTGCCTTTTCCCTTGAATCTAGATCTTTTATCGAAATTGATGCGCGGTTTCGCATACCACCATAGCTATGCATGCAGTAGCGTACTTATGTCACAAGCCTCTCTGGTCTCGCTGTGCTATCAAATCTTGATCATACAAACAGCGATTTCTATCAAAGCGCACGTAAATACACGCGTGAGCAGATTGCCTCGAATATCACTCATACCAGTAGCTAACGCTATTCGAATTCTAACGAAGACTCTACTTACTCCCACGAAGTCTATCATCCCATCCCCCATACTCAAGCCGGTAACTCCTACGTCCTAGTCAACAATCACATGAAGTCTAGCCTTCAACACTCGCTCACTATGCCATGGCACCCAAAATCGCGCGAAAAGCCGATCAGCCTAGAGACCATATTTGCAGTGTTTGAGTATCATCTAACTCTCACGCTCCGTCTCTCATTTTCGAACTTCAGAAGCGAATGACACCACAAATCTTCCTATCGCATTAATTCTCTGGGTCGATGAATACAAGTCGAGTCGGTGCGCCATCGGCAGCTAGTCTCGTAAGTTGCGGAGGCTCGAGATTCCGCATTCTAGTCCGCTATTGATCGCTCTCGTTTGAAAGCTTGAGGTTGCTCTCGGGAGTTTGTCTTGCGTAGTGTGAGACCGATAGCGGAGAGGGAGTGCGAAGATTCATATCCCTCCCTGTACTTGCTCCACACCCTGTGCAATTTGGCACGGCTTTCGTCGGGGTAGATAGTCCCATGTTCTGTATGAAGACCGATTTAGGCTGGTAGGTGTCATGTATGTGGTGAGTTGAGAATGTGGGCGTGGGATTTGCCAGTGGGCAAGACGTGTTTGTCAGTGTCATATGCGGGAATAGTTACATTACGAGTTTTCTGCCCTTGGCCGTTGTGGCCAGAAGAATTGGTGAAGGAGCGTTGGCTTTCGTCGTTGAGAATTTGCTGGAAGCTGGTGGCTAGCCGGTCGCTGTTTTTCAATGGAATTCAGAGCGCTTTCACCTTTTAGAAGCTCTGGTCTCAGTAAGGACGCTTTCGATTTTTTTGCAGAGTCAATGTCAGGAGGCTTAGACTTTTCAAGGATTTGCACAACTTCGTCATGATGAAACACTCCCGCATATTGAATAGCCGTATAGCCATCGTGATCCTTTAGTGTTGTATCAGCACCATGTCGCAGCAGCTCGCGTACAACATCGACCAGTCCCACTTGCGAAGAAGCCATCAAAGCTGTTGTTCCGTGCCCGTAATACTGCTTATTAACATCCATGCCAGCTTCGAGGAGTAGGCGCACGGAATCAAGTGACCTTCTCGCGGCGATTAGGAGCGGACTAGCACTCTTTGCATCACTTCCATCAGGGTCCACACCATGATCGAGTAGCAACTTCATCCCCCTCAAGTTGTCAGTTTTCGTGGCATAAATCAAAGCTGATGCTCCATCGGAGTCAGTCAAATCGAAAGTTTCTTTGTATTCTGGCTTCAATAGATATGTCAACGTCCGATCTCTGTTCTCGCCCGGTGGATCCCTCGATCTCAAAGCATACATCAATGCCGTACGTCCAGTTTTGGATCTGATTTTGTAATCGGCCCCATGAGTGAGCAGCACCCTGACAGTGTCTGCCTGAGAAAGTCCAGAAGCTAGATGTAGAGCGGTCTGTCCATCCTCATTTGCAATGTCTGTCTTCGCGTGGGCACGACATAAGTCTGCCGTTAGCCACTCATAGCCAAGGTACGCAGCGTACATTAGGGCTGTATACTTATCCGCGTCTTTACGGTCTATATCGGCACCAGCCTGTAAAAGGTAATTGACAACTGCTCGGCAATTCTTGGACGTTGCGTGCATTAGGAGTGTCACCTCTTTCAAATCTGATGCATTGACATCAGCTCCCCTACTTACCCAAAGGGCAACAATTCTCAGCAATTTGTATTCGTCGAATTGGTAATCTAATTCGCTCATCAGCACAAGTAGACTATATTGACTTCCAGTGTCAATGGCGACTCCTTGAGCGATGAGGTAGCGCACTAGACCTAGATCTCCTTCTTTGCATGCCCAGCTCAATTTCACTTCAAGACTCGCAGATTTACTGTATCTTTGACTGTCTTCTGAAGCTTCCTTGCCAACAGCAAGTTTCGAGTGTGTTAAGTTAGATAAGTCCGTGGGTGTAAGCTTAGACAGGTACTCATCGTCAATAGGCACAATGGTTCGACCTACTTTACGATTATTGAAATTGGAGGTCGACTGCGATAGGATCACGAGCCTTTCTCGTGTGGTTCGCGAATTCGTACGACGAAACGGATCTTCGACTGCCTCAATTGCAAGCCGCGATGTGTCAGGCAGGTCACCCTCATGTACAGGAGAACGATTTGATCTGCGTAAAATCTTGTGCATGGATCCATCTGTTTCTGCAAGAGCACCATCGTCGAAGGTCTCTCCCTTGCGAGATCTAGCGTCCCCTTGAAACCCTAATGCTTCTGGTTTTGCCCATACGGGTATTAGTCGATAGAGCTTCATACGAATCAATTCATCTTACCCCATCCCCACGGGCTCTAGTCTCCATAGCATCTTCAATCAGCTCGGCGATTCCACCAGCGACCCTCTCATACCCAAGCTCACTTGCACTCTTGAATTTGCACATCTCCGAATGATTCGCGGGAATCCATTGTTTACGTTCGCATGCAAGGCCAAGCGAGGCAGAGTCGTCATCAACTATCTGTGTTGGTGTAAGTCACAGAATTCTCATCCTATCACTGGGCCAAAAACATGAAAGTGGGACATTACCTTGCCAGATGCACCAAACGCTATGTCCTCAAAGAACGAAAATATCTGGATTCGACCTACAATGCCACAAAACGAGTCTTGAAGACGTTCGAGGATTTCGGAACCTAAGCGCCGAATGTCAGCAAAGCTGATTTGCATAGGTCATCAAGGTAGAGCTGTCGCGTTTGCAGTTTGGCGTACCTCTAGTGAGAGCATCGATGATTTTGGTATTGTGATCTTTGAGAACCATGGTTGCAAGGTTCGTAGCAATTTTTGCCCAAGCTGTGTGATTACCACCTCGGTGTGGCGTCCCTAAGAATACGATGCCGTACGTCTTGCCAGATATGGCCGCAGTACGTGGATTTCGTCCGTTGGCTCGATTTTTATTGGATTTGATAAGCGCGTCCTTGATGACGAGACCGCCCAAACTATGGCCAACAAATATAATGGGGCGGTCTCGCTGAAAGCCGTTGTCACTCGTATTCCTGCGGAGCAGAAGCCACAGAACTCTTTGACTCACCTCTTCGGTCATCCGCCGCTTTCTCTGAAGGTCCTCAAGTAGATTTATCGAATGCTGGAAAATGCTACTCTGACTTGCGTTGCTGAAGAAATTCATGACATTGGCTGCCCAAAGCTTGATTTCAGCAACATTATAACGAACAACGCTCATACAAGCTTGGGCTCTAGAGAAGTGATCTTGACGAGAAAGCCAAGAAAAGACTAAGCATCATACCATCATAGCCGTAAGACATAACCCGAACATTTGGAAGCTCTACTGGCAAAAGATCTCGAGGCCAAACGACCTTATCAGCCTCCCACGTCTTGATCCTGTCGCCACGCAAACCATGGACAAAGACGAGGTCGGCCTGTATGGGCTGTTCTCCAGCAGCGACCACTTCCATACTTCGCGCTACTCAGACACTAGAAAGCTTCGAGAAAGAGTTCACTCGTGAGGTAAACAAGAGAAGTCAAAACGAAGTAAAGAGCTGATGTCCACAAGGCTAAGCGCCATCCTTTCTGATGGTGGGTGACTAATTTGGATACGGTTAGGTCGTGCTGCAAGGTGATGATCCACGAGGAGTCTAGACCAAGCCAACAGGAAACCTATAGAGCAGAGATCTAATGACAAGAAATGACGACCACCCAAGGAACCAGGAAAGAGGATACGAAAAGTGATCTCAGAAATGGAAACAACGATGGCTCCCGATGCTTGAGCAGCGTCACAAAGATTGTCGATACCGACACTTACACAATCACGTCCGATACCTAGGACATCCACATCGCTGGGTACTCGACGACAAGACACATTTGTAGTCATATCCACCTTCGATAGAACATGCCTCAAGGTGAAGAAAAGACGGGAGCAAAAAGGTTGAACAAAAACGAAGATTTCAGCGCTAGTGTAACATTCATCGTATTTACACCCCCAAAAGCCCATCAGGACCCAAACTCACATCAACATAAGAAAGTCATAAATGCACAATCCTCAAACAAAGCTCTACTCATTACTCCCTCAATCATCAATCCTATCTCATGTATATACATCTCTCCCCCCTCCCCCATACAGAAAAAGAAAGGATAAGGGCAATCAGCCCAGGGTATCACAACAAGCAAGCAGGCAGGCATGTAAACACCCTTACAACACCTCCCCCAACAGCTCCACAAACCGCATATGCACCTTCGCAAAAACCTGTCGATCGCCCGTCATCTCGGCGAGATTCCTACCCCTCAAATCCGGCGCGTGCGTGCGTATGCCAAACATATCCTTCCCTCCACTACCCCACCCAGTTCCGCCAACACCGCCTCCGCTTGCTCGGGCGGTGAGGAATGAGCTTGCCATTCCTCCCCCTCCTGCCCCTCCTCCTCCTCCTCCTGCTGCAGGCCACCCCCCTCCCCTTGCTCCTTCCCGCCCATCTCCACCATCAGTGGTATCTGCAGCAGAGCCTAGAAAAGGGGAGGGGGAAGACGAAGGCGCTCTATCAACCTTCCCCCCAACCACGCCGCCAATCCCATGAAACGCCGCCACAGACCGCCAGCCATGGCGTAGATCCTGCCCCCATCCCCACCCCCACCACCTTCACCGCCCCGCACCAAAGCAACAAAAGCATACAACCTTGTCCCGCCCCTCGCATGCTGATCCCTCAGACGGAAATTATAAGCGACCACGAAGCCCTCGCCTGGCGTGCCGAAAAAGAGCGGGCCGGACGTCATGCCGCGCGGGAGCTGCTCGCCTGAGAGGGCGCGCACGATGGCTTGGCGGAGAGAGGTGTAGGTGGAGGTGGAGGTGGGCGCGTGGGTGGAGAGGAAGGTGCGTTCGTGGGAGTGCGTTGGGGAGGAGGATGCTGAGGTGGAGGTTGTGGAGGGGAAGGATGCTGTTGCGGGGGTGAGGTGTTGGGGTTGGGGGGTGTAGCTGTGGGGGTGGTGGGGATGGTGGGGATGGCGAGCGGGAGGGGGAGGGGGGAAGGAGTCCGTGGTTGAGGAGCAGGAGGACGAGTAGCCGCTGTCTGGGTCGGTGGGGACAGAGAATTTTGTCTTTGTGCGGAGGGTGGGAGAGGTGGGTGCGCTGAGCGGGGAGGCGGAGAGGGGGGTTTCTGGACGGGAGGGGTGGTTCGCTGCTGCTGTTGGGGATGATGTAGGGGTGGAGAGCTGGAGGGAGCAGTTTATGCAGTCCCCATCATTCTTGCTCGTTCGGGGTCTTTCTCGTGTTGGGCCATCTGAGGTGGTCGGTGGATTTGGGGGCGGGACCGTGGAAATTGTAGTTGTCGGTAAGGTTGTATTTGTATCTTTATCGGGAGATGTAGATTGGTGGACATCAGCGAAGTCGAAGGAGCCAGTGTTGCTGGACTCTTGTGTAGCTTTTTTATTTTCAAAGCTTTTTGGCGCGCTTCGCAAATCGTCAAAGCTTGATGCAGTTGAGGGCGGGCTGCAAGTGAAGCAGGAGAGAGGTAGGGCTTGGGTGCAGATGATGGAGGTAGGGCCGTGATTATCGCAGAAGTGCGCCAGAGAGAGCTGTTCGTCTTTTGTCAGTGACGGTACGTAATGAGATGGCACGCGACATGCCGTCAACTCCATTCTCGAGATCCTCCCCACGCTACAAAGACACACTTGCCCGCATCACAATGTCTCTGGCCTCTGCCGTCCTCGACTCGTTTCTTCGTCTTGTTCTCGCCGCTGCGCGTCTCAGCAAGCGATGGTTCGGTGTTGTTGTTCTTCTCGGTAAAGGGCGTGCAGTAGTTTTGCCCCGGAGAGGCCGTAGGCGAAGATCAGGCGACGTAGATTGATGCCCCTTTTTATGAAGCGGCCAACATCGCCTATGGTGATCGTTGTATGGTCAAAGCTCTTTCTGATCTGGAATACCTCGTGGTTGGTGGTTTGCGCTCCAATCGCTCCCTGCGGGTATCAACGGCGGATCTTCCGGGGTTTGATACGGTCGTCCTGTCGCCACGGACCGCAACGTGTCAATTGGCCCCAGTATGAATAGTAGAGATGTCGCAAGAGTATACGCAAGGCTCAGGATGCGCAACAATGGGAGCACATGAACTTGCACGATGGGCTGCGCAGAAAAAAAGTCGGATCAGAGCTTCACCGTTTTGGCGCTATCAGAGACGTATTGAGGCTTTACCGCAATTGTATTAGCCTTATCGACGATCGAACAGCCAATCGGTAGCTTGCCATTTGAGATGCAGATCATTGGCATAGATCGTGGCTGCCATGTGCTCTGTCACTCATACTTTCAAGCACGTGGAAACGGTTGGGCAGGTGCCTTGATCCTCGCTTCCTTTCAGCCACCTACACACCATCCGACGACACTGCCTCCATTGGCGCTGGTCCGTGCCTCGTACCCTCTGGCTAAGTTTAGGACGAAGGGCAGCAATGACAATGCTGATCCCCCTGAGACTAGCTGCGAAGGTGTCTTCTATCGTCGTACCATTACATACTGGAAGCTAGAAGAGAGCAACCTTCAGCTCAGACGTTCAAGTTCGTATGAACGTCTGCATCTCCTCCTTGGCGCACGCCAAAGTCTTGTAGCCCTCACATCGTACGATCGATGAATCTATCATGACTGCGAATCTCGATCCTCTACATGGCCATCCATAGAGCAAGAGATCACGAGGATGCTTTGCATTGCATTCATACCTGACCAGGCTACGACGAGGCTGGCCCACTCGGAAGGTATGGACCGAAGGGCACGTTGGTCAGGTACCATACATTAGTGTAAGGATGCTGTCTCGAGGTAGCTGCAGGGGCCCTTGCTAGTAGAAGAAACTTACTACCGTGCTAATTTTGAAGAGCATCTTGTACATTGGAAGTCATCTGTTGACGTCCCGCCATCTTTAGGCAGCGAAGGTGGTACTGAGGTACTATCCCAAAGTATTGCCAAGACTCGGCGGGGAAAAGTGAGGCCGGTCCCGGAAAATCCCAGCAGCCAGTCATGTTGTTCGTTTCTATCCTCACGTCAAAGGGTCTCGTATAAGTTTCTTTCAGCTGAACAGGCGCATGGCCCTTTCTCCATCAGTTTGAAACTTCGCGTCAGAGGCACAGCAGTGGCACTGCGGTAGACGAGCTCCCCTACTCCGCTCCCTTCCCCTCTTAACATGGACCTGACACCTGATCCCGTTGAGACGATGTCATCTCGATCGCATTCGCCGTAAGCGACAGACAATTGCTTTTTCTTGACTCCAAGAACTCTTACCTTGGGCCAGACCATCTGATGATGGTATTGAGTGACACTGCGCCTTCTCTCTACGACCCAGACCGCTAATCGTGCATTCTCTTTCGGCCGGCTCAGCTGTCTTCGAACGACTGAGGCTTGTTGTAGGATGAAAACAGACCCTTGCTGGCTCTAGATATACACCGACTCTTGGGGATGGCCCTTGACCGTCGATGAAAATATTATCGCCCGCATGCTGCCGTTTCATCCAGCAGTCTTATGAATGTAACCCTCTGGACAGGATGTACAATTGTTAGTGAGGCTCATGCAGGTGAGCGTCGGCGAGCGGCGTGGAGACTTCCTGCAGCCTACCTTTCTCTGCAGGACCAGCGTCCAATGACTGATGCTGCGGCTAACTGGTGCAGTAGTCGCTTCGCGCGCTCAGCCGAGGCCAGTGGTGAGTCTGCACTTGGGTAAGCAGCCACGTGTTTGTGAGAGACCTCCCTGGTGTGAACAATATGCTTAATATTTTGCGAATGTAATGGAAGGCCGGCGGTCTCACTGACCCTTGCAGCATGACAGAATACGAGGCCTACCGAATTGCTCTCCTCGGCCAACGCTCAGCCGCATGAGATCAAGCGAAGGCTAAGCCTAGGAAGCGAAAATGAATCATCGTGGGTGAAATATACGAGTACACGAAACAGTGGCCTCTCTGTGCGTTTCATCAACATCTCGGGTGATCGACAGGAACAAAGCCAATCGTCAGGCGCCTCTAAGCTTTCGATTCCGATCCATGAAACTGGCTAGAGCTAGCCTGGGTGGACCAAGCCCCTGGAGTTAACGAGGCTATATTCTCCCAGACAGATGGCTCGGGCTTTAAGGCGGGAGCTCCCAATCTAGCTCACGCACTGTGTCTGCCCTATGTCGTATTGTGAGCAATTACTAGTTCGATCTAGCCCCCTTTGCTACCCTAGTTGGTCCAGACACGCTTGGCGACCACTTGTGGCTTGCAGCATCGACTAAAATTCCCCAGTCCGGAAGCACCTGACCATTCAGCCGGGTCACGCCAAGGCCACAGAATCTCCCCCTTTTAACTATTACTGGTTGAACCTCCGCTCAGCATGGCTACTTGCCATGCTTTCCTTGACTCAAATTCAGCCTTATCGAAGTCCCCATTCTGACCACATGCTTTACATCATTGCTTACAGGCAGCAATGTCAATCGTGACATGCAACGCTATTTTTAGGGGTTGACATCTGTACCTCGACGCTTGCTCATCGACCGGGACGATTCAAAAGGGCCTGTATCGGCCTTTGACACCCTCAGATAAATCGTCCAGGCTCACAAATCAAGATCTACATTGAATCAAGAACTATATCAACCCATTCTGGAATCATTCCCACAAGCCGATAGCTTCCACTACTCTTCTCGATTCCACACTTCACCATCCCTATGGATCGTCGGTACCCTCCTACGAGTATGCCTCAAAACACTGACGGAAGTTACAACTGGGCGGATTGGCCTCAAGGGCCTACAGTTGAAGGCCAAGGTTATCAGCAAGCCAGTCCGTATCAATCCTTCGATCAGTCACACTCTCCAAGCCCTGGATACCCAGTGAGCCCCAATACACAAGGACAGTGGATAAATCCAAGCCAGGCAGAACAAATGGCTTATGCAACAGCAACCACTGCTCCGCAACTCCAAGCCCAAAGTCTCCACCCATACAGCCAACCATCCCGGACTAACATGATGAACTACGCGGCGACTGACGCAGCCTGGGAAGACCCAGCGGTTAAGCAAAGCCCTATGCCCTCTCCTGGTATGGACTGGGAGTCTTGGATGAGTCACTCGCCGACCCCACAAGACGATGACGTTTCCACCAATGCCTCTTACTTCGGAGACGAGGCTGTCGCAAGGAAACATCCCTCCGTCCGTAGCCCAACGGGCAGCGAAGACAGCAGTTCATCACCTGTATTGAACAAGAAGAGAGAACGAGCACAACACAACATCGTAGAACATAGGTACCGGGAAAAACTGAACAGGGAGATATCACAACTCCGCAATCATGTTCCAGCCTTGAGAGATGCACAAAGCAGCAAAGGCGATTCACCTGCGAAAATCGGCAAGTCCACAGTCTTAGTCAAAGCCGGCGAATACATCGAGAAATTGGAGGAGGAGAACGAGAAACTGAAGAAGAGGAATGAAAACCTAGAACGACACCTTCACCGCGCAGCGCACGAAAAGAAGCGCTGATCACCCAATGTCTAGAAACTGCAACGCTCATGAATTTTGATAGCGATTTCTGGTGTCGGCGTCAACGAATTTTGGGAATCCTCAACGTTCCTTGCGAAAGGAGTTTAGTTTACCTGTACCTACAGACAGACTCGAGGGAGGGCAGTCAATGCTGATGATTGGCGCATCTGGCATGTCGCTTGTGTACGATATCATAGACCCGAGGAGATCGATTGAATGTACGATACAATACCCATCAAGGCCAGTCTCATACGTCGTACACATAAGCTCAGCGAATAGACTTCCCCTTAGCCCACCCTCCTTCGCCAAGAAGGGCCCCAGCAAGAAGGAGCGGTGAAAAAAAGCCTGACGTGGCTTTCTGCAAAGCCTCAGCGTAGACAATAACAACTCGACCGCCTGGCTGTTGATGACTACTTATAGGCCATAAATTCCGACGATGCGTGCGGAGCGCGATGGAATCATGCCACCTCTGCAGGCGCCACCATAGAGGCTACCATAATGGCGCATGAGCTTCAAGGTCTAGGCCGTCCCCTATTGGTGACACTGGTGATGCCAATTTTGTGGCTTCGCTAAGTCCTGCCATTTGTTAGGAAGCTGCATAGCCCTACGCTCGGCCTACGCTTGGGCCAAGGACCCCTTGGACCCTAGATGAGACACCAAAGATCTTTCTATCTGAGTCTTATCTGTTGACATCGGTCTGTCGATACCGTGACGTCGCTAGTAGGACGACGACCGTCAAGTCTCCAAAGAGGAAGCATCAATGAGTCATAGCGGGCATGGCCAGTGTCGATGCTACTTTGACGCAATATTGAAGCATTTCTTTCACAGTCATGCCTGTGGAAACTTGACAACCCCTACCTGAGAGTCATAATAGGCCAAGTCACTTCAAGAATCCAGCTGATGACCTCAACGCTTCGACTCACTCGTAGTCGAGAAGTAATACCGGTCTCGAAGTAACATCAGTAACGACAGACCACCGATAGAAGCGCCCGTACGCTTCATAATACTCGAAGCGATCCGATGAATTTATTCTGCGATAGGAGATTCTTCCAAAGACCGCAAAAATTTTACTTCTAGGATGCATTCTTACAGTATAAGCGAATATGCAAACGCTTACATAAAGCTTTTTCACAATCTAAAACACGACCGTGCATGAATCCCATGTTATTCCATCAAGAATCTCAACTAGACTAAATACCGCAACTTCATCTCACCAACGTGAAACTGTCGATCGTTCACTTTCATGGTTCATGAAGCGCTGTCAGCAATCACAGCTTACATAGAGGAAATCCCTCAATGCCGTCAGATGTGATTACACTGACACTTTGAGTGCTCTGAAGATGTCATAAACTCTAATAAGCGTAGCCAATGCCGACACATCTCATATTCCAGAAGCAGTACGCCGCAGGTCTGTGATCATCATCTGGATTCCGCAAATACCAACTCAAAGTACGTCAGTGACCTCATCGTCCCCACAACACTCATCGCTCACGCAAACCGCATTCCTCCGACCCCCAACTTTATCTCCTCATCCACTGCTCCCCCTCCAACCCCAGCAACGCCAACGATTCATTCCCCCTAAACCACGCTCCTCCCTCCCCCGCCCCATCTCCTCCACCTCCACCCCCACCACTTCCTCCCCCACACCCCCCTTCCCCTCCCCCATCCCCCACCCCCACAACCCCCGGTCTATAAACCTGCACATACCAACCCCCCTCATCCTCATCCACTCCAGCCCGCCTCGTTTCGGACAATCGACTTTCATCTGCCGATACTGGCTCTCGACGTCCTGGAGCGAGAACATGCCGCGCAAGCCAGCCTTGGCACAGCCCAGCACCACCACGCATTTATTCCCGTCGCCGTACCACCCACGGTAGTCCCCCGGCTGGCTCGCTTCCCAGTTGTACCGGTGCGTGAGGTAGTCGGTGTCGGCGCGCATGGCGGCGATGGCGGGGCTGCAGTCTGTGTAGGTGAGGGGGGGCGCGTTTCGTAGCAGTGCGCTGAGAGGGTGAGGGAGGAGGTCTGGTTTGTGGTGTTAAATACGGAAGGGGTGATGGCTGCGGATGAGGCGAGGAAGGGGTGAAGAAGGAGGAGAGAGAGGAGGAGTGGATGTTGGGGCTGGGCTTGGAGTTGGGGCCACAGCAACATCGCCGGCAATTAATATTGGTGACTCCACAAAGGACAGGCTGTGGGTGTGGTGGGTATCGATAACGACTAGCTTTGCTGTCAAACCTGCATGAGATGGAGCATACTTTTTTCTTCTCACACCCCTTCATCCCACCCACAGACGCACACGCATGCACATGCATAACATATATGCCTCCCCCCTCCCTCCCCCCCTCCTTCCCCCTCACCCCACGCATATCAGAAGGATTCACGTGCGTATCTGCCCCGTCACGCCTCGCCAGATGCGTTATCGAAACACAAAGTCTCAGCGTGGCCGCCGTTGCTATCGAAAGCTCTTGGATGGCCGCGGCTATACTTGCCTGAGACAGGGTATTGGGGGGGAGGTGCGAGCGCGCGTGTCTGGAGAACATTTGTGCGCCACGAGGTATAATTTGAGATACGCGGGACGCATATAGAGCGCCTGTTTTGAGATGTGTGTGTTGTGTTGGAGTGGGCAAAGGGCAGGGTGTGGCAGGCTTTTTTGTCGTAGGTTTATTGGAATCGAGAGGCTGGGTATGACGGTGTGTTTTATGACTAAAACAGGGGGGCCGGAGAAGATAGTTGAGGAAGTTGCCATGGAAGATTGGCTCGCTGGAACTCTCAAATCGTTCATTCTGTATATCATCGACGTTGTGAGGGATGGACTGTTGCAGCTGACCAGTGTTTTGGGGCTGTGATGGGAGTCCACACACACAGCACTCGGTCTGCTTTTTTACTTGCACACACCTGCTCAGTTTCTGCAACGTGCGTAAATACAGAGTCGGTGTGTTAGTTCATCGATTGGTAAGACCTTTGGTTTCCAAAGTCTTGCCTTGTGCTCAATACTTGAAACATCTTGAATCGAAATAGCATGGCAGGCCACTAACAATTATGAGCGTGCGGCTATGGGTATCTGTCATCTTGCTTTGAGATGTACAGACTACTAGATGGCTTTGCAATTCAACTGTGAAGATTGATAAGACACATATTCCCGCAGTAGAATAGGGACAAAGATATTGAGAGGGAGAAAGATTTTGAACGGCGCTTGGTATCAGAAGCAATTGTCAAGAGGCTGGAAGCTAATGAAGATTCTAGTAACCCGTGAAAAGGAGGCAGAGGTCTTGCGTTAGTCATTCACTGACCTAAAAGATTAGGGTTGAAGCTTTTGATTTCTATCATCATGAGTAGTTTGATCGCAGCTCTACCTCGAAGCAGATTTCGAACTGAGCCTCTCCACTAATCGAGGACTTAGTCTTAGGAACTCTGAATTCGCACCGATTGCTGATCCCATAGCTGATAGATCAAAATTAACGGTACCTTCCTGCTGTCGGATAGTGCCGCATGGAAGTCTCCGTCTTCGTGTAGAACTCTCATCTTGAGACCGCGACAAAGCGTTCCAGTATGTGAGCGCCCTCAATCCACAGAATAGTGAAATGAGAAGACGAACCAAGCTTACAAGAGGAATTTTGGCATGTATGGACAACAGAAGCGGGAGGAGGCCTTGTTAGACGAGGTGTGAATAATGCGAAAGTATTGATCAGAATAAATAAGGAATAAAGCAGTCTGGAAAACCCCAAAATGAGGTCGGCGCTGATTTTACCCCTCAGTGCACGGAATCTTCGACACTGACACCTTCAGCGGGGTCCTTCAACACACCCTCTACCCCTCCACTTACATCCACTAGTAGCATGTCTTTACCTACAACTTTTACCAAACTTCCTAGGTAATTCAAACCAATTCTAACTCGCCGTAAAGCATAGTATCGGAATTCCAATTGCCCAATCGAAGCTGTAAATGAAGCGGCAAATAGAATCGATCCACTATTATTAGCATTGATCATATATGATAATCCTGAGAAAGAGCCCGTTAAACCTCAGTACAGACCGACGTCCTCTCTCATTAAAAATTAAAAATGGCGATGTAAATCCAGAGCAAAACCCTCAAATGCAAGAAACGTTGGTAGAACGAGTGACGAGATCACAGCCATAATAGCAAAAAAACGACAGATTGTAATCATTATTTCTTCGATCATTAAATAACTGTGGTACCACTGACGAAGGGAGACACAACGGCTGTGCTTGAGGGCAAGATCACCATGATTCCCGAGGTTGTAGAGCGTAGGCTTACAGGTACACAAAATACTAGCACAATGCAAGCGTGCCGTTGACATCGGCTGATCACCAGATAGCACACCATCCTCGCCACTTTTCTTTCAAAGCCCGCAGACACAACAGATGCTACCAATTTCTGCAGCTTGCGCATTGGTATTGTGAATACCCCCTCACAAGTCTAGACGGTCCTTTCCATCATCAGAGTTCTTCTACAGACATCAGCAACAAGTAAGCAGCCCAGTCCACTGATCACTAACAGCATCACCCAATACCTCACCCCTTCCCTCAGCACCCTCCCCTCCGTCCCTCATCCCTCACCCTCACCCTCTCTGCGGCCCATGATTCACAATCTGATCAACCGTCATGAAAACACCTCCATTCGCCTGCGTAACCACCCTCATCCCCACATCTGCCACCCCCATCCCTGGGCCTGAAGGATGCTCTACTCTCGTCCATTCCACTTCCACGTGTTCCCCTACCCCTCCCACCCCTAACCCTCCCCCTTGTCCAGCCACCTCTCCTACTCCTCTCCCTTGTTCTCCCGCCTGCCGATCCCCGCGCCGATCAGGGTCATCGAAAGGATTAAGCCAGGACATGTCCAAAATGTCGCCCAACCCCCCCATCCCCATGTCGAAAACTTCTCCGAAATCTATCCCTGCCCGTCCCCCTCCCCCTCCCCGTCCCCCTCCAGTCCGTCCAATCAACCCAAAAACCTCTTCCTGCGCCAATCCACCCATCCCCATGCCCACCCCTATCCCCATCCCTACCTGCTGTTTATCCCCCCGAGGAAACGGCCTATCCCGACAAATCGGACACCCATTCCCGCGACCGGGCACGAGCAGCCATTTCGCAGCGCACAGCAGCCCGAACTCGTGCCCGCATTTGCTGAGGCGGATGGGCGTTTCGGGCTCCGTGCCTGTGTGGTAGGGCGTGGTGCAGATGGGGCATTCGTTGTCGTGATCGTTGGCGGGGGCAGGGAGGGTAGGGAGGGTAGGGAGGGTGGAAGGAGGCGGGGCGGCTGCTGCTGCTGGTTGGGATGAATTCGCTGGGTTTGTTGGATGGGGCGAAGGACGTGGAGGGGCTGGTGCTGAGGCTGCTGTGGGCGTTGGAGGTGGAGGTGTTGGAGGTGCCATGGAGCAGGAGGGAAGAAGGGGCGCTGGAGCTGAAGCTGCTGGAGGGGTGTTGCGGACGGGGCGGCGGTATGGTTGATATGGGAGGGATGGACGGCCGGTTGTTGAGTTGCGCGTTGTTCGAGGCATGGGGGTTGGTTTGTTGTGGACAGCGGATCGAGGTTGGAGAGTAAGGTAGATTGAGTGCAGAGATTGGGGTTTGTGGGGTGGAAACAATCTAGTGTTTGGGAGGGTCTGACGTAGAAGTTGAGGTAGCACAACAACAGTAATGCCATGAACACTTGTACAGAGCTTTTCAATGTAATTCTTTGTCTATTTGATGTGACTGAATCGATTTGGGAAGTGTTGAAGACAAGATCTTTGTTTTTCCTGTTTGCGATTTTTTCTCACAACACTTGCTTAGACACTTGGACGAGGGTTTGGATCACGTGTTGGTCCTGTGTAATGGCCAGCTGCTCTCCAAGCCAGCCAATCGAACTTTTCACCCATATTACTGACACTTACAAATGAACGACGAAAGATCGGTTGATATGATGCTATTTTTGATCGTCTTTCTCCGTTGAAATAGGAGGATCATTAGAATCTTCCAACGTTGATATCTTTAGCTTCAGATCTGGTAATCAGTCCTCAACACAGGTATCAAACGTTCATTCTCTGTACAAGCCTCTTGGTCGTTGGCTTAGAAAGATCCACTGTTTCCATGCTCGGTGTGTTCCTATGTCAATAAGAATTCAGCCTGGCTTGAAAGCTAGATATTGACAATCCATTGCTGGAAGGTACTCGGTATAATCTGCAATGTGCATGTCTTCTTCGGCCCGATGGCCTACTATCAACAACTCTCTATTAGACAATAGCTAAAGGTTAGTTGGGCGTACGATGTGTATTCTGATCTAAACGCATGTCAGCTCGGCGCCAGTTTCCACAAACGGCAATTGAGTCAGAACAAAGCAAAAAGAAAGATAGATATGGAAACAACCCTCCAGGCTGCAAATATATACGAATACCTTACCAATACTTGCCATTCCATTGTGCTACCCTCGTCGTACGTTGAAAATTTACTCTGGCTTAGCGGATTCTCTGCCTCTGCCGTCGGGATTCTTATACTCCTTATCACTTTCATCCACTGATGGTCACATTCTCACACCCCACATCCCACTCTTCCGGCTTCCCCAACCTCAACTCTCCCTTACCACTATCCCCCAACCTCACCAGCGTCTCCGTCCCCATACCCTCATACCTCGGCCAGCCCGTTCTCTCCAACCCCCCGTCCGGCTGTTCCACAAACGCCTAGCATCAATCAGCATACCCACCCAAAACCCCTTTCCCACCAACCGTATCTCAGGAAGGAACCACTTACCGCCCATGCCTTCATCATAACCATCTCCATCTTCACCTCCTCCGTACTCTTCGGTAGTCCGCTAACGTCCAGACTCCCCCCGAACACCATCTCAACGTCACTCCCATGATACGCGCCACTATCGGGATAAAGGCGGAGATTATCCCAGTCGCCGAAATAGACGAAACGATACACAGGGACGTGGTGGTTGACTTTGCTTTGGGCGGTAAAGGAGGCAGGGCAAGTGAAGTCTGCGAGGTTGAAATGGTCCCATGCGGATTGCGGGAGGGTGACGTTGGCGGAGTAGGCAGGAATCTTGTAGTAGCCTGCTTCGTTCGAGGTTTGGCCTATGAGATAGGGCTATCCCGCCAATCCAATAGATCAGCTAAGAAGGAAGGAAAAGAAGGAAGAAGGTCTCACCAATCGTGAGAAATTGCCACTATCAGAACGTGCCTTGTAGTCATCGAAAACACTGACCCCATCAGGCGTTGGCTGGAACGTCGGCGGCGGCCTCGCAGGATCCGAGCCCGGCACCAGTGGAGGCTTCACCTGCGCCGCCGCGGCCTCAATGGCGGTCACGTTCTTGACAGCGCGCATGCACGGCAATGTGTCCCCACTACCACCACACCCCAAAGCCTCAGAAACTTCATACCAGTGCGCCGTAGCAACGTCGTTACTATTAAGTCCGAAAGAAAACGCATCTCCAGAATGTTCGATATACCCCTTCACAATGGGATCGTTGACGTGCGAATAGGACCAATAATCCACAGCGACACTCGCAGATGATTGGCCCGCTATGACGATATGATTGGGGTTGCCGCCAAAGCCGTGGATGTTGTCGCGGACCCATTCGACGGCGAGGCGTTGGTCGAGGAAACCGAGATTTTGGGTGTTGTTGGGGGCGCCGGGGAAGCCGAAGATGTTGATGCGGAAGTTGACGGTTACGACGATGATGTCGGTGGCGGAAGCGAGGTATTGGCCATTGTAGAAGGGCGTATGGCTTGTACCGATTGTGTAGCCTGTGGAGTGATTCAGGGTGTGGACTTTAGGGGATAGGGAAAGAATGGACGGGGGAGGGGAGCTCACGACCCCCGTAGAAGTAGATGACTACTGGTTTTCTCTTCGCAGACGTGTCTTTGGCCCAGATATTAAGGGTCAGGCAGTCTTCGCTGCGGTTTTCGTCGATACTACCGGTGAAGGCGGCGATGATCTTGGGGAATTGGGCGTTTGCGTTGGGATAGGGTCTCGAGGGAGATGGTGGTGCGACTGGGCATGAACTGGAGGATTGTCAATTGTGTATTGGTACAAGCCTGGAGAATTAGATGTACGCTGACTATGGTTTCAAATATTAGTCATTGATGGCTTATTCCATCGTGTTTGGTACACTTACGAATCTTGAAGCTTCAAAGGTGCTCCTCTTATTCCCATCGTATTTCTTGGGGCCAGCAAACCGAAGATCGCCTGTAGGAGGTTGTGCGTATGGAATACCTAAATACTCGACGACTTGCGAGACATTCGAGGCTTTGTGGCCAAGTATCAGGCCATTTGAGGTTTTTACAGACGTCGCGTAAACCAGAATAGTGAAGAGCGACAGCAAAGCATATATAAAGCGCATGAAATGCATGATGGGGCTAACTTTTCAAGTACAGAAGAAACAAATGCTCACGCGCGCAGTTAAAGATATCCAACAGCAGTCCAATACGCGAAAAGAAGCAGTCAAGAAATCGCATGGAAAACGTGGAGAACGCATCTGCAGGGTAGATCAACATGCGAGAAACAAACGATGGATGGCATCCTTCGGTCGGCCCATCCAAGAGTAGGATCGGTTAGCTAGAGTGAAAAAGCAACCTGCATGAGGCTATCCAGCTGCCCCGCCCCTCCTATTGGGCTGCATATGCGGAGACCTGCAAGACATCAGTCGTCTAGGAAGGTGCGGAAGAGTTCGGACCAGCCAAGACTTCCGCACTCCCGTGAATGCCCGAGGGGGCTAGCAGCCTTGCCAAGACTTTGCGGCCTCGAGCTCCCCCCTTCCATGCCTTCTCCTTCGTCACTCATCCCCACCACTTCCCCACCTCACCGGCGAGCCACGAATTCACAGATTCCTCCACCACCTTCAGAAAATATGCCAGCGCCCACCTCCCCACCCTCCGCTCCACCAGCACCGCCAAATCCTCAACGCCCTCCCCTCCCTTCACCCTCAACTTTCGACTTCCTCCCCCCTCTCCACCCGATCCTCCTGCGCCTGCTCTCCCCGCCCCCACCCCCGCCGTCACTTCCCCTCTCATCATCACTACCACCACCAACGCCCTCTCCGAACGCTCTCTCCCCCCACCTCAACCTCTCCCCAGCACCCGTAAATCCGGGCGCAACAGGCTTGGGGGAAGGGGTGGGAGTGGGTGTGGGGGCATACCTCTCACCGAAGGACATACCCACAGCGACGTCGAGTATAAGGATGAAGATCGCTAAGGCGAAGGTGGTGGTGAGGGGTTTGGAGGGCGTGGACATGGGTGTGGAGGAGCAGGAGGAGGTTTTGAAGGAATTGGAGGGGGAGGTGGAGAGGGGGGTAGGATATTGGAGGGGTTGAGGGGGATGGCTAGGGGGTTGGGTGGAGGGTTGAATGGGGGAGGGGCAGGGGAGGGCGAGATGGAGTTGGGGGAGGGGTGAGTGAGGGGTGATGGACATGAAATAGGGCTGATTGGAACATATGTGGGAGGGAGGGACAAGTGAATCGAAAGAGCGTTGATGCAGCATGAGTGGGCCGAAAACAAAGATAGACCTTAAGCGGGGTGGGGTCGGGCGAAACGCGCCGGGAAGAGAGGTGGAAGTGCATCAGGGAAATTTGCAGGGTGGCGGGGAATGGCTTTCGCCCTGTTGCTGCTACGAGAGCACTTGGGAAGCAGTATGGATTCAGACGCATGTTTTATGAAAAGTGAATGTTCCTCGACGTCTACCCATGAGCTCAAAATTGACGAACGTAGGCTGCATGAGCTACTTTTCGGTGCCATACAATCTATCTACAGGATATATCACGACGGCATCATTCATAACAATGACCGTCACACGTGTTGAATCAAGCCAGTCGCCAGGCTTCTACCTCTGGTTGCAGGACTCTTGTCTAACCCAAAACGCCAGGCTGTGTACAAATGTGATGAACAGATGCTCTAGCCAACCACACCTTCTTCAACCCCATTCTTCCACCACACGCGCCCCAAACATCATACCACTCATTTAGCGTTTAAACGGGCAGGGGGAACGTGCTCGCCCACATCGATATCTCCTTTTTCATATCATTGATCTCTCCCACCTCACCACCAGCAACCTTGGCCTTGAAGTCCTTCAACTTATTCGCCTCCTTTGGCAGCGCCTTCTGCACGTTCTTGCAGATCTCGATGCACTCGTGGATGTATCCCGTTATCCGCTTGAAGTCATCTTCGCCCATACCCCTGGTCGTCATGGCGGGCACACCGACTCTGATACCGCAAGGCGTAAGCGCCGACTTGTCACCTGGAATAGAGTTCTTGTTGCAAGCGATGTTGACCTGTTCAAGCACAGCCTCAACACGTGCACCATCCAATGAGTGCTGTCGGAGGTCGAGCAAGACCATGTGGCTGTCTGTGCCATCGGCAACAAGTCTGTGCCCGAGGCGCTTGAACTCAACTTCGCACGCCTTAGCGTTCTTGATGACTTGCTGCTGGTATGTTTTGAACTCAGGCGAGACGGCTTGTTTCAGGGCAACGGCGAGGGCGGTAATGGTGTGATTGTGTGGTCCGCCTTGATGGCCTGGGAAGACGGAGAAGTTGATGGGTCCTTCGAGATCGTAGAGGATTTCCTTGCCTGTCTTGGCATCGACTTTTCGCACGCCTTTTCGGAAGAAGATCATGGCGCCTCGTGGCCCACGGAGGGATTTGTGGGTAGTGGTGGTGACGATGTCGGCGTGTTCGAAAGGGGACGGGATGACGCCTGCGGAGATGAGACCGCTGATGTGGGCCATGTCGACCATAAGGTAGGCTCCGCATAGATCCGCTATTTCGCGCATTCTCTTGTAATCAATCAGGCGACAGTATGCTGAGGTCCCGGCCACGAGAACTTTTGGTCGGTACATCATAGCGTTGTTTTCGAGGGCTTCGTAGTCGATGAGGTCGGTTTGGGGGTTGACACGATATGGGAAGGTTTCGAAGTAGGTAGAGACAGCGGATATCCTGCAACCTTTAGCAAATCAAGCCCGGCCAATTGCTTTGTTCTACAGACTTCTTTGCGGGTGTTTGATAACCGTGACTCAAATGACCACCGTGTGGCAAATCCAGTCCCATCAATCTCTCGTGTGGTCGCATTATGGCTTGGTAGACCTGTAGATTGGCGGGACTACCGCTCAGTGTCTGTACGTTGACGCCCCACTTGTCTGCATCCACATTGAATGCCTTCAAGGCTCTTGCTTGACATGTGAGCTCAATTTGATCAATGAACTGGTTTCCACCATAGTAACGGGCACCCGGGTATCCTTCGGAGTATTTGTTCGACATGGGTGAGCCTAGAGCATCATACACAGCTCTTGATGTAATGTTCTCGGAGGCAATGAGCAGAATAGATTCTCTTTGACGCTGGATTTCCTTGTCCTTACTGAGGATTAGCAAGCTTCTCTTCGTAGCAGCGGTGTCAACATACCATTATAGCCTTGATTTCCGGATCCAGCTCGGGCAAGGACTTGTGCATGATCTATGAAATGTCAAAGACCAATTCATTCACAGGCTTTTTGGTACTCACGTCCTTGTGGGACTCTGGCAGAGCGTAGGTCGCCATGTCTCCCATTTCGGCGGTAGTGTCGAGATGTCTGAGTGTGCAATGGTAGACGGAAGTGGTTGTGAGGTTCAATGATCCAAAATGCCTTTCGGACACCCAGAGTCGGCGATATGATCTGTATATATAGCGACAAGGACCCGAGTAAAAATTTACTCCAACATGTCCAGTCGGGAAGCTGCACACGCGGGGTGCCGCCCCCAGCGGGCGCTAGAGCGATAAGATTAGGGGCGAGATCTTAGGGCAAGCTTTTATTCTCACTCGCCTCATCAGTCCTTCACTCTTCCCCAGACTCTTGTCAAATGCCTGGTTCATGAGAAGCTTTGCAGCCTGCAGGGCTTCTCCGCATCTTCGAAAGGCCAGTAATCACTTGAGTCATGGCCAGCTATGGGACTCCTCACAAGCAACCCGATTCAAGCTTCAAACAATCAATCAACGACGGACTTTCTTCCCTTCGACCACGAGATCGCGTGCCGGGAAATTGCAGCAGCTCAATTCCTATATGAAAGAAAGATATGGGTCCAATGAAAAGCAGGAAAAGGCAATTAGAGACGCAAAGAGTCAACGATGGCATATCACCATTGGACTCGAAATCCATGCTCAGCTGAATACGGCGCGCAAGCTCTTTTCGAGTCCGTCTATTCGAGGGATTACTAGCTTGCCTCGATACTGAATTACTCTAGATGCAAAGGCTTCTGCCGATGATGAACCCAACACCAACGTCGCGCTTTTCGATATGGCTTTCCCCGGTACCATGCCCGTATGAGCCTCTAGATACAGACCATAAAACACTTACTGACCGGCACTCACAGATCTTTCAAAAAGCTACCTTGATACCTGCTATTCGCGCCGCGCTTGCTTTCAATTGCGCCATCCAGCATGAGAGCACATTTGACAGGAAGCATTACTTCTATCACGATCAGCCCGCAGGCTATCAGATTACACAATACTATTGTATGAAGCATTGACTATGCACAGAGCCTTGCTAACCCTTGATAGCGCCGTACGCGAAAAACGGTGGTCTTACACTCACAGACCTGGATGGGATGGAGAGTCCAATTACTATCCGCATCAAGCAGATACAAATGGAGCAGGATACCGCCAAGTCTACGATGCAAGGTACACTTGCCTTGCTAGATTTCAATCGTGTCGGTCAGGCTCTCATTGAGATCATCACCGAGCCTGATATGCACAGCGCGAAAGAGGCAGCCGCTTGTGCCAAAAAGATCCAAGTCATACTACAATCAGTCAATGCAGTGACGACAGGCATGGAGCATGGAGGTCTGAGGGCCGACGTCAATGTCTCTGTCAGCCCTGCTGGATCCTCGAAATTGGGTCAGCGGGTTGAGATCAAGAACCTGAGCACCTTTCAATCAATTGAAGCTGCAATCCACGCCGAAGAAGCCCGTCAGATAGCTGTCCTAAAGTCAGGTGGAGAAGTCGCTGGCGAAACGCGATCATGGTCACTCGGTAGCACAGAGACAAGGAGACTTCGGGGTAAAGAGGGCGAGGTGGATTACCGATATATGCCAGATCCTGATATTCAACCTCTCACCATTGGACAGGTGCGTCACATTCCCTGGTGGGTGGTTATGAACCCGCTAACATGGTGGCTAGGACCTGATTGACAATATCTCGGCCGAAATGCCTCCCTTACCAGATGATATAGTGCACGATCTGGTCGAGAACTCAGGTCTGACAGTGAAAGATGCTAAAACCCTAATGACTCTCGAAAACGGAGCGCGACTAGATTACTTCGACGAAGTCAAGGCCTTATTGGCTCAACTGCGAGGCAATGGCGTGCAAAAAGCCGAGCAAATCGACAGCAAAGATTCCATACACCCACCTGCAACGACTGAAGAAACGAAAACCACTGATCGAACAATCGCTAATTGGTAAGACCCAAACCCCAACCTCCCCGCCGCCATGTTTTGTTTGCTAAGACCCACCAGGACCCTCCAAGAAATCGGTCATCTCCTGTCCACCCACCCCCCAAAGCGCTTCTCGCCCTCCCTCGTTCCTCCACTAAGCTTAGCCAGCATCCTTTACGCTGTGCATATATACCTCATATCTCGCTCGGCCGCGAAACGGATCCTCAAGCAGATCTACAACGGCGACGAGAGAAGTGTTGAGGTCATGATCCGCGAGGCAACTGTTCACACGTTATCAGAGAGCGAGTACGGCAGTGTTGCAGAGGCAGTGCTTAGCGAAAATGCCCAAACAGTGGAGAGCATTACGACGAAGGGGAAAACCGGCAAGGTACAATTCCTGGTCGGGCAGATGATACGACAGGGTGGAAAGGAGCTGGTGCAGCCGCAGCGAGCGGAGGCTGTGTTGAGGGAGAAGCTTGGTCTCTCGCCAAAGGCTTGACCGTCAAGAACAAGGATAGCTTCTCTATTGATACGACCGTGAATCGTATCACGGATATCGTGCCGTTAAGATCTTCTCAATCCAGCTCCATCGAGCCTCAAAGTACCACTTATAATCCTCCCACTTCCTGCCAGCAACATTCGCTTTTCATCAGATACCCCTCTGCCCCACTCTCCTGCCCACAACTAAGCAAGTACCTCAAACCCCCTCCTCACCACCCGCTCGAACTGCTCAAACTTCACCTCCTCCCTAACCGTCGTGCCCTTAGCCTCATTCTCCTTATTAACCGGCACCCTCACATTCCTCTCATCGTACCCCCAACCACAAATCTCGCCCACAAACCCCTCAAACTGCGCGCCCCTCACATTCAACCACCCCTCCACCACATCCCGTTTCAACTCCCTCGCAATCTGGCCCACCGTCACCGCAATCCTCACTCTCATCAGCTCCTCAAAGCCCGCCACGTCCGCCGTCAGATCCGCGTACAAGTCATCGCTCTCCAGCACGTCCCAGAATTTTGCGTATTCCGCTGACTCGAGCAGCGTGTTGAGGTAGACGAGTTTGTGGATTGCTTCGACCAGGGGTGTTTCGACGGGAGCGGGGCCCCCGTTGGTGCCGTTGGCGTGCGGTTTGGGGTCAGAGGAGGAGGATGGGGTGGAGGGGAGGGTGAGGGGGTTGGAGGGGGAGGGTTGGCCGAGGATGTGGGGCGGGAGGAGGTGCAGTGAGAGGGAGAAGTCGGGGGCCGGGAAGACGGTGAGGCATTTGATGAGGATGGAGGTTATGGTGTCGTCGCGGAGGAGGTGCGGGTTGAATTGGTATCTGTGGTGGAGAAAGGAAGGGGGAGGGTTAGTCGTTGCGAAATGGTATAGGAAGAGATGGGAGGGTAGAAAGGGGGGTTGTCAGATAGAGCTAATAACGTGACTTCAGGCTCGCAGAGTGGTGCGAGTCAGGTAATAGGAAACGTTTACGTTTGGTTCATCATTGTGGTTTCAGGGATGAGGGAGAGAGGAGAGGATGGGTCACGAACAGCTTGAGGAGGGCGAGGTTCGCGTAGCAGTCATACGTCCGGTCTTCGCATTGCTGTGTCACGTATTCTTGGAATATCGTCACGGTCTCTGGGTTATATCTGTCGAGACCGTTGAGGATTGTGTCGATGTGAGCGGGGCGGTCGGGGGCGTAGTCGAAGGCTATGCCCATGGCGAATTGGCTCTAGGGAGTGTGGGTATGATGGTGGAGCAGAAGTAGGTGAAGTGCTCGAACTTTTGCGGTGCGATTTTGCGGAGCAGAGTTTAGCCGAGGCTTTGCCGAAGACTCTGTTTTCCTGTAGATTTTTTAGCCAGCTTCATCTCCATCCCTTTACAGTACAACATACGCTCCTCGATGTGAAGAGATTGGCTATGTACCGTAACACTACTTTCTTCTCGTCCCAAAATCTCGAGCAGCTGGTCTCTGCAATGGCTTGGCCATTCGCTACGATATCGAGGATGACGACAGAACGATCTGCCTCATAGTATTTCTTTAGGCAACCATTGATGTCGTTATTCCTTGGGTCTATTGATGACGCGTTCGGGTTTCTGTACAGTCTACGATACCGTCTCACATTCTAAGCTAGAAACCTCATCATCACCTGCATTACTTTCTTTACTGCTCGTCTCTATTTGGTAGATGCTGCCTGCGAAGTCCTAGCCTATACCATGACCGCGAATAGCGATTACGATCAAAAAGGTTTTGCAAGCAGGTATGGTGATCAAGACAGCAGGTATGCCACTTCAAAAGCAAATGACATTGAAGTGTGAGTCAGGAGCTGCAACCAAAACTCGGAATTCTTAACCTGCATTCGCAACTGTGGTCAATGTGGCACTCATCACTTATTTGCTGATTCTACTCTGGCTGTAGGTCAAGCTTGCAAGTGCAATAGGATTTGATTTCGTACTTGGGTTCAGCCACTGTTCACTTGAAGGAGCTGCGTGGAGAGGATTTTCACAGGTCGTCTAGCTATTTACCTGCTCACCACGGAATGACTCTGCATAATTTTACTCTGCTTTGAAAGACCGGCGAGAAAGGTTGTGGAAAAACTTAGAATTCTCTAGATTTCAACTCTGCAAGGTCGGAACCACACTCAAATGCACAGATGATCGAGCTAATCGCCACAGTGGCCGGGCTCCATACCTTGTGTAAAAGGAGACGGTAATTTCCAAGCCGAGCGAAGATGGCGGCGGCTTTGACAAGCACAGTATGAGACAGTTTGAGGTTTGCATACGATCGTGATCATTGTGTCGTCGACTCGAAAACACCATGCTCAACCAATAGGCGACTCTTTCCTTCTCCCACCATCTAGAAGCGAAGCCCTCGGGCAATCTCGCAGGGGCCCCTAGTAGGCGGTGCAATTTTCGGTTGAGTCGCAGACTGCATTCAAAGGGCTGCGATTGCTTTCAGTCATCTCTATGGCGAGTAGGGCGTGAGGCAACAAGCTTTGCGAAAAACGCCGAGATCACTCAAGAGGATAGCCTTGTTTTACTCTCACACATCTCCCAAGATTCGCATCCTGCCGTCTGCAAGCCACCCTAATCCAACTTGAGGTTGGTGATATACTCAATCCCAGAGCTGTTCATGGTAAGCACACACTTTTGAACGAGGAGCCCATATCCAATCGTGCTCAGCCGGCTACGGGTATCCTATCCTTTGGATCTTGTGAAGCAGAAACCGCACCTCTTCATCTTGGTCCAGTCACCATCATCACGTCGAGCACCAGAAGCCGGCCATGAAACGATAGCTGAAAGAGCCATCCTTAGCGAAGACAAGAAGGTGTCTGAGTTTTGGAATCATCCGACCGGCCCGTTTCCTAATTTAGGACGTGCAGAATTCCGTGATCGACTGAAACGCTGTCAAAGAGCTAGATGTTACAGAGCCTCAGCCGTACCGTTAGTCTAGTCTCACTGGATACCTACGTTCCACAGAATGAAAGAACCTATACCGAGATCATCACACCCATTTACTGAGAGGAGAACAAAGACACAAAACGATGCTAGCAACCCGATGGTATTTCCGTCCACTGGTCTTTACTTGCCACGATTCTGTCTAAGTGTTATAGAGGAACATCTCTGCAGGATCGCATGAGAACCTCACGGTATTTCGACTTGCCATCGAAAATACCTGGAATGTTAGCAATCCGATCAGCATCTCCTGTTAGAAGTGCATCGATGACCTCATTCATACGGTCACGGATTCCTCATCTATTCCTCCACATCTCGCCGCCCGACACGTACTGTCTCACCCCATACTCAATCGCTCCTCTGTGCGCACCAAACACATTACATCCCCGCACGGCGGAAGTTTTGACATGGGCGGTTTCAAGCTCCTCCTTTCGGCTCATATGACAAATCCCTTGGCAATGATGGTTTCACGTCTTGTAGTGAGCAGCCATAGGATTCCGTGACGTCTAGTTGCTTAAGTATAAGAATCCTGTTACTTCACCGTTAAACAGGGGCAGCAACTCATAGTCGATCGTTCACTCGTTGATCAGAGCCGGTCCTCCATCGCAAAACCCCTCATTCAAAACACTCGATCTCTACGTCAAGTCAGCCAATCACATCCCTCACCCATACTAAATCCACATACCTATCATCACCTCAACCCCTCCCCTTCAGTCCACCCATCAGTCCTCCACCAACCCTTCCCCCGCAAAAATGCAACTCACATCCAACATCCCAACCCTCTCCCTCCTCCTCCTAGCCCTCAGCACCGTGTCCCTCAACGCCCCCGTCCCAGACGCAGCCCCCCCATCCACCCTCATCAAACGCTGCACGTCAACCGCCAACGCCTACTCAACAGGCGGAGACCAAACAGACAACGAACACTGCAACGACGACGGCACCCCCTCCACCACCACCGGCACCGGCGACGGGGGCTCCGGCACCGCGACCGGATCCCACAGCAGCTCTTCGTCTGGGGTCACCCTAAATCCTCCCCTGTTACAGGGACGGGGACGACGACGGTGGGGCAAGGGGCGGGGGTGGGTACGGGAACTGGTACGGGGACGGGATATGGTACTGGAGCGGGAACAGGTTCTGGGGTAGCCAGCGGTGATATGTTGAAGGCCGCGTATCAGTGGTGCCTCACGAATTCGCCGGATAAGACGGTTTGCGAGGTCTTCAAGGGGCAGACGCCAGGGGCTGGGGGTGGGCAGCCGCGCTTCTGAGGGGGAGATGTAGCTGAGGGAGGATGGTGCTGGAGTAGGGAGGGGCTGAGCTTTGATGAGGTCGCGTGGACGCTGTGACGCTCGAGATTGTTTTTTTTTCTTTTCATTTTGTGGTAGAGAGTGTGGCGAGGTGTGTTTGCCGGTAGGAAGGTAGGCATGGAGGTAGGGAATGAACGCTCGTCGTCAGATCCGCGCTTTGGACGTGTTCATGAGAAGGAGGCCGCGACAGGATTCCCGGAAATTTGTCCTTTGCTGGTAATATTCCTCTAGTCCACGTCGTTCATGTGTATTCCCCCTTTGAATATCAAAATATTCATATTCTTCACTGTCGCTTGAAAAGCCTCAGTCAGATCGTGTGTTCTTCTTGTGTTTACTCCCGAGGTTCAAACACCGCGCGCAGCGTGCATTAATCCGACGGTCCCGCAAGCAAAGCCGTCGATGTCGTCTTTGCAGATGGCGAACCATCTCATGCGCATTGGTGGAAAGGGTGAAGCGTCGACGTCGTGGGCTGAGGCTAGCAACAACCACCCATCCCAAGAAGCGCCGTTCCCTCATATCTTTCCAAGCCGACGGAACCCCTTCACGTGCCCATCTATCCAGCATGCAGCGCAATTCCCAAATCATCTCGAGAAAAAACAACCGAACATATCAAGTTAAATTTCAGTCAAACGAACCCGGATGCGGTAGGTAATTCAGGATGATGATGAGGATATTAGATCACCGCTTTCACACAAAGCTGCTCCTGCAGGTCTCAGAGTGGTTCAGGGAGTTTAGTAACATGCAAGGCTTTTCGGAGGATATGTCATTGATCTAGAAACTTTTGGAGTGGCTGTGGGGATCTCAGATGCCCCTTTTTGGCCCCCAGGGCGTATAATATAGGCGCAAGTTTGAGGCTCGTTTCAGCCATCTGCGGCTTTGGTGAGGCTGCTTTTGAAGGTCTTGTATCTTTTCAGTGGGGAGGGAACAGCTCTTGACATGCTCTGAGAGGATATGTTTGCTCTTGGGTAGGTTTCTGACTCTTGGTGAGAGTTGGGGTTGATGGGTTGTTGGTGGAAATTGCAAAATGTGATGATTACTTGGTCGTTTTCAACATCTTGACCCTTCGGTGTATCCGATGATCTGACCAGACTTTCACATCTTGCATCGAATGAACAGCGCCAGTGTATGAATCCACGTCGCAATGGCACGAATCTGCCTCATGCTATCCAAGAACACATCTCAACGAGGCCAGGACCCGGCCTTTGTCAGGGAAACGTGACGGGAACGGCACATCCATGTTTCAGGGTAAGATATTTTCAGGACAGAGATGCCGCCACGAGGCTCCCACGAGGCTGAATATCAGGTACGATCGTGGAGGAAGAGGAGATACGGGGAGACGGTCCCGTTGTCTTCTATGTATATATACCTGCATCTTCCACCCACCAATTCCATTCTTCATCACATTACATCAGATCTTGAAGCAGGTCTTTGAGCGAGCTTACTTTCTGCCAATCATTAAATTCTCACCTGCACACATTTTTTAAAGCAAAGCATACCATACCCCCCACCATCTTCCACTCCCAACCCATCTCACCAGACCCAACAACGCCCCACATCCCCCACCACAAACCAAAACTTCACGATGCACTTCCTCACCCCCCTCGGCCTCGCCCTCTCCCTCATCACCACCACCACCCTCAGCACCCCCGCCCCAGCCCCGATGCCTCAAGCCTTGAACTCTCCCCCGACCTTCGTAACCTTGTGCGCAGGCCCCGTGTTGGCAAACGGCACATGCTCCGTCCCCGTTCAATACCTCCCACTTCCGGACGACTTCAAACACCAGCCTGGCAAGCGAGGCTTAGTACCGCAAGCCACCTATTACACGGGGCCGATCTGCAACGAAACGGACGTGCTGGCTTCGTGCCTGTATAATTCGGGGGGTGATGCGGGCTGTAATTCTATCCCCACGTCGGAATCTTGGACGAATACGTGGGATCCGCGGTGTCCAGGGAATTGAAGGGGTGAAGGGGTGAAGGGGGGAAGGAGGGAAGGGGGAGTGTCGGATGGGGCGAGGCGGGGCGTGGGAAGGAAGGCTGAGGGATGGGGGAAAGGGGATGGGAGAGGAGAGCAGGTTAGGAAAATGGAGTTGTGAGTGGGAATAGATTAGGAACCGGGGGGTGGAGGATTGTACGATAGATGCATAGACTTAAATAGCAGTTTTGCCCGTGATCTCGTTCTTTTTGGTTTTGTATGCGCGCTCGAGACTTGATGTGGAATAGATGAGGAAATGGTTTCTTACCTAGAATATCGAGTTGCCTCGATGATGACTCTCCCGTATTAGACAACGTGGAAAGCCTCGAGATATGCCTCGAGTCCTGACAAGTACGCACACGGTCTCTGCGCAGTCTGGACGTGGGAGGGATACAGCCAGCCAGCCACTTACACTCCGGAGATGTACATGGACCGTGTCTGCCTACTACGCGGACGGTATATGTTACCCCAGCTGCATAGAGTCTGATAGGCCATACCGGGGAGTCGTCAACGCAGTCGCTGGTTCGAGCGTGTGAATTATGCCCTTCGCTCTCCTTCCTCTTCTAGAATTCTCACATACGATCGTACCTATACCCTCCATGAGAGCGATGTCTCACTCTCCACCCCTCCACCATCCAGCGAAGTGATGGGACTTCACACCACCAGCACCTACAGAAGGAGTTCTCCATAGATATTTCCAGCGTCATCACTGTTCCGGGTTTCCAAATCTTCGATGTGAAGCTCAGAATAGAGGCTGTCGATCTGAAACCATAGAAGCGCAGGACAGGGGTTCGATACGGATGTGGCCTTAATACGTATCATGCTATGCTTCTGAAACGGCTGTGTGAGCCGCACTTGCATGGTCAGGCTTTTCTCATCTGGGAATACTGATAGTAAAGGTCTTGGTCCTGGGCTACTCCCGGAATTTGCAAGCTACATAACCATATTTCGTTCGTGAGAAGTCATTAGGAATTGTCAGATAGCTGCTGCTTAAGTATTGAACAGACAGCCAGAATCCATCCCACATTATGAGGCTCGTTGATTAAACTCGAGAGTTTCCATTGTGGATTTGTAGTACTTATTCCACGCTCTCTTGATGCTGAACGTACGTCATGTGGTATGTATGGCTCTGAAAAACACGATTGAACCCGGTCGAGCAAGTTTAAAAGTCACCGTACACCGAAGGATACAGAGATGTCGCTGGAGGTGGATATTCGACCTTTAAGATGGGACAATGGCACTTTAATGGGCGAGTAAGGGAAATGGCTTGCAAGGGCAAGCGACGGATGTCGGCAAAACTAATTTCCGGAAAATCACCACTAATTCTTATCGATTAGGGCTGCAAAAAGTTCAGTATCATTTCATTGCGCGGCGCGTCGCACGCTCATTCACTGCACCAAAATTGATCCCATGCATGCACGCCAGAACTTACGCCTCAAGTCAAAAGCATGTGTGCTGTTCTAAGTCGCCCTTATCATCGTTAGCTCGCGCCCCCAGTCCCCCAAATCCCCTCAAGACGGTCGACTCTGAAATAGCTCTCTAGCCAGGAATGCCAGCTGCTTTAACACGTGACTCGTCGCTCAGGTTCGGAGTGATGAGGAAGAGCTAGGATTTGAATACAACGATAGTCGCAATGAAGCAACTTAAGCCGGTCATCAAGAGCGCGGAATATGTCGAAAATTCGGACAGTGAGGAGGTCGAGCATACCACAAGAAGAGACCATGAGAAGCCTAGACAAGCCAATGATCTCAAGGCGAAGTCTACGAGAACTACAAAGTCATTTAATCGCGCTTCACAAGGACCAGGAGGCCGACAAGATCAAAGGACGAGTGGGTCAGACACTACCAAGTCTGACAGTAGGGCAACACAAGAGACCCCGATCACAAGCAGGAGCTTAGGAGACTCGAGTGTACGGGGCGAGTCCGATGCATCGACTAGCTCAGAAGTCGAAAGCCCTTTGCATCATAAAACAATCCAGGCTAGATTGCAAAATCATTCGGCTCCAAAGCATAGCTTAAGTGTCAAGCCACCTAGCGGAAGAGCCTCACTCGAAGCATCAGTCTCCAGCGATGAACAGCTTGGGAATGAGGCATCGTCAGATGAAGAGGAAGCGCAGCGAGGTCGCAGCGAAACCGAGAGCAACAGCTCAGAGACAGGCTCAGATAAATCCCCACCAATATCTAGCAGAAGCCCATCACACGCCGCGAGACAAATGGTTGCTTTTGCTCCACCACCATCATTTGAACCAGCGGATATCGCGTCACGGCCCCCTTCTAAGCTCGAAAGCGCATTCTCAAGCGCTCAATTAGATGGAAGACAAATATGGCACATAACTGCTCCCTCCTCAGTACCGTTCTCCGCCTTGAAGGGAATCACCACAAGAAATATCACAGATGGCTCGTCTGTTCTAAGTCATGCGGGGAATGATCATGGATTGGTACCTCGTCTAGATACCGACGCGACTGGTTCCGATATATTGCTTGTCGCCTCGACAGAAGCCAATGAATACGTACATGTGAAGATTCCCATCTCGAACACTCTCAACCTACAGCGGGTTGTAAAGCTGCCAAGCCACGTTCCGAACCAACACGACCAAGCAGATCAAAATATCGCAACGATTCGTAAATCTACTAAGCCAAAGAATGAACAGCCTGAGGGTCTCAGAATGCGCTATCAAGCATTTGGAATACCCAGTGCTAGTCCCTCCGGTTCGGAGTCAAGACATGTGCGCCCGGTAACCCAGAAGCCTCAGTTCAAGATCCCCAAACCCACAGAGCAGGAGGTCCAAAAGAAAAGAAAGCATGCAGTGACTCAGTCTCCATCTAACGAACCCGGCACAACACCTTCCGCGAAGAAAGCGAAAGCTGTCGCTATGGACGATGATCATGACTTACTGAAAATCAACAGAAGTCCCGAGACCACTTTAGATTCGATAAAGATCAAATCCGCGAAGAAGGAGCGAAGAAGAGAAAAAGCTAAACGAAAAGCCGAAGACGACCAAAACAAATTATTGCAACCCTTCAACGTGCCGCGATCTATTTCATCGGATTTGCAGGGTTTGAGGAAGGCAGAGGTTATCGATGATTTACAAGCAGTAGACGAGGGGATCCATATCGAGGATGCTGTGACAAACGTAACAGAGGACATGGACATTGATGAAGACCGTGCGAATGAAGCACTCACAAATCACAAAGACGCCGATCATTCGCCCAAGTTTGATTTTGAACAGGACTTGGCAGATGAGCCATTCGTGAATGATGTCTCTTATGCATCGCTAAAACAGTCTTCGCCTCTAAATATTAGCCAGGACGCGAATCATGTGAAGTCGGAGACCAGAGAAGAGAGAAGGCAACGAAAGGAAGAAAAGAGGCGCCGAAAAGAGGAGAGACGTAGTGTGAGAGCACTACAGCATACCGATGCAGAGAAGCCCAGCTTTGATGCTGTGGAAGAAGCAATTAAGCGACTACCGCCAAGCAAAAGTACGTCTCCTAAAGTCAAGGCACCCGTTGACGAAGACGATGAGCTAGAATATGAACCTATTGCACCATCGCCGCCGCAGGTGCGCAGTCCCTCCAATAGCCCAGAAGCAAGCCAGCCCACTCATAAAGCTGCTGATGAGGTAGAAGAAAAGGCTCGACTGAAAGAAGAGAAGCGGCAAAGGAAAGAGGAAAGGAGACGCTTGAAGGAAGTGAAGAGGGCAGCGAAACGAGAGACCGTAGCTGAAGAAGCTGAACATAAGGGGACGTCTCTCTCCAAACCAGAATTGACTACGGTGATACCGGCAAAGACGAATACGTCTGCCGCGGTAGCTGCCCCTAAATCAACTCAGAAAGAAGAAAAGCGGCCGCATCGACCTGTGGAGACTCTGAAGCCGTCTCCAGTCACTAAGGCTGAAGATAAGATCCGCCCTTCAACGGAGAAAGACAGATCTTCATCGAAGCCAGCAGCAAAACTTCCTAGCCAGGCGCAGTCGAATGTGAAGAACCCGTCTCATGGAATCGATGCAACTATCAATGAAGCAAAAGCAGAACACACGCCCCCCATCACAAAGAAACGAAAGCGGCAGACTATCGCACGTCCAGAGCTGATGGAGCCAGTGACACCAGCCGTCGACGACGCAGACAGCGCCATTAGTAAGCCCAACCCGATCACTAAAGACAGCGACAAACCAAAGCCCAAAAAGACAAAGACTATCAACCACCCCCCAGCACCCCGATCATCTTCACCTCAACCCAAGTCATCTTCTCCCCCCATTTCAGCCCCTCGCAGAACATCAGATCCCAAACCCACCCCCTTACCTTCCTCAGCACAACCACCATCATCCACCAACCCCTCCAAAAAGACACCCAAACCCCCTAAACCCTCCGAGTCAAAAGCACCCTCAAAAGCACCCTCAACAGCACCCCCAAAACTCGAACCAGAGAAGAAGAAATCCGCCACCAAAAAACGCAATACTTCCACGAACAAACCCCCATCGTCCTCTCTAGCGACATCAGCGCCCCCCAAGCAGTCTCCCCTTCAACGTCACGTCCATGGAAGGTTTGTTCAGGAGGAACAGCACGGTTTCGTCAGGGGAACAGCAGAAGGTCGAGAAAAGGCGGGGCAGTAAGGGTGGAGATGGTGATAGTAAGGTGAAGGGAAAGAAAGGAGATGGGGATGGGGAGGGGGGGAAGGAGGAGAGGAAACCCGTGGGGATGGATTGGTACGCGAAACTCAACCCTGCCACCTCGGAATGGAACCGGAAGAATCGATAGTGTAGGTTTTCGTCGGTCGGTATAAAAAGGAAGTGTGGGAACCGTGAGGTTGGAAGAAGGGTAATGAGAACCAGAGGGGGCAGGAGGGGGAGGGGATGAGGGAGGGTAGTATTTGCATTGCATGCAAGCCATGGCTTGTTTGTGAGAGAGAGAGAGGGGGGGGTGGGGGTAGGGAACTTGGGGGTGGAGACAGAGTCAAAAACGGGAGGTGACGGAGGGAAGGAAGATGTAGCGCCAGGGACTATGTCTCAACACTATATGTGTGTGTGCGAGAGGCTTGTATTGTAATGATACCCTGATCCCTCCCAAACTATACGTAAAACACCTCGTCTTCTTCTACAGTCCACCCCGATGTCGTTCACTCATCCCACCATGCAATCGCCACCCAGTCTATACACATACCTAGGCGCCCTACTCCACCCTAATCCTGACCCTGACCCGAACCTCCCTCACGATTTCACGACCTAACCAGCAAACTCCGTCCCGTCATCTCCTCCGGCTGTCCAAGCCCCATAAGATCCAGCACAGTAGGGGCCACATCCCCCAGCACGCCCTCCCCCTCCCCCTCTTCCTCAAACTAACCCCCTCCGGCGCATTCGCCAGCACAAACGGCACCCTATTAGTCGTATGACTAGTCTTAATTCCCCCCTCCTCATTCAACATCTCCTCCGCATTCCCATGATCGCTCGTCACAAACAGACTGTACCCCTCTTTCTTACAAGCCTCCCACACCGTCCCAATGGCCTTATCCGTCGCCTCCACCCCCTTGATTGCCGCCTCGTACACGCCCGTATGGCCCACCATATCGGGCGGCGCGAAGTTTAGCATGAGGAAGGAGTAGGAGTGGGAGGCGATGAAGGTGGCCATGGCGTCGGCGACCGCTTGCGCCGACATGGACGGTTGCAGGTCGTAGGTCGCGACTTTGGGGGAGGGGATTAGTTTGCGGGTTTCGGAGGGGAACTCGGTTTCAACGCCGCCATTGAAGAAGAAGGTTACGTGGGCGTATTTTTCGGTTTCCGCCGTGTGGAGTTGGGGTGTGGGGGGCGTGGTGCGAGAAAGGTATTCGGCGAGGACGTTGCCCATTTTTTGGGGCCTGTGATGGGGAAGAGGGGGTTAGTAGGGGGTGGGAGTACGGGATGGGAAAGGGTGATGAGGAGATGAGGAAATGGGGAGGGGGAGGACGCACTCGAAGGCAATGGGGAAGGTGTATTTGGGGTTGTAGGACGTCATTGTTGTTAAAGAGATGGATTTCGGGTAGGGGAAGTCGGGACGAGGAGAGCGGTCGAAGTCGCCGAGGAGTTGGGTTACTTCACGGACGCGGTCGGAGCGGTAGTTGAAGAAGAAGAGGGTGTCGTTGTCTGTGACCATTTAGTCACTGGAGGGAGAGGGAGGGAGAGGGGAGTAGGGGAGGAAAAAGACCTTGTACTCTACCGTTTTTGCCATTGACGATAATAGGTTCCAAGAACTCATCCTTACCACCCTTCTCACCGGTCTCATACCGTTCCTCTATCGTCTTCACTGGATCTGAGCTCTCTTCTCCTTCCCCAAGCACCACGCCCTTCATCCCCACCTCGACCCTCTCCCACCGCTTGTCCCGATCCATGATATAGTATCTTCCCACCACCGTCGCGATCTTGGCCACACTTCCCATTTCGTTGATCTTGTCTAGCAACTGCCGCATGTACCCCGCCGCGCTCTTAGGATCTGTATCTCTCCCGTCGCCGAAGAAATGTATGTAGACTTCCGGCACCTTCATCTCTTTCGCAACTTCCAGCAGTGCAAACAAATGCTTGATATGCGAATGGACTCCCCCATCACTGATCAAGCCCAGTAGATGTAACCGCCCGTTGCCATCAACAGCTCGTTGGAAGCAGTCGGTGAGGGTCTTGACTTTGTTCAATTCGCCTTTCTTGATCGTCTGGTCTATCCGCACAACATCCTGCCACACCACACGTCCGGCTCCGATATTCAAGTGACCGACTTCGCTATTGCCCATTAAGCCTTCTGGCAGACCCACAGCCAGCGAGCTGGCGTCGAGCTCGGTGTAGCCTTGTGCGGTCTTGCTGTTGGGCTCTTTGAAAGAGTCCATGATAGGAGTCTCTGCGGCAGTGATTGCATCGCCTTTGGAGCTTGAGGTTGGAATACCCCAGCCATCGATCACGACTGCCTTCTAATTAGCTTCATGGGCAAAGGATTTGAAGATAAGGAAGATTACTGAGGACCGCCTTCTGCCGCGGGTCGGAAGACATGGCTCAGATAGAAGAGGGACACTCAGGATGTCGATGATAGCAATGGACCCTAATGATTGTGTTATAGGAGGAACATAAGAATATCCAATGGATATGAAGTGCGTAGTCCGGCGATTAATTCGCAGGCTCAAGTAGAAAGGTTTTGTGAATTTGACATTTGAGTCATTTTTCGGAATGCGGCGAGATCCCGGGGTTGCCCCGCTATGAGAGCTAGTTCCAAGGGGCCAGATCCGCCACTATTGGCATGGTTCTAGGGGAGCTTTTCGGGGGTGCTACCCCCGAAAATGCCCATTTGATAGGGGTTGTTGAAAAGCATTTTTGGCAAAACTCACCAACAGCCAAAACATACAAATGACTCGACCACGAGTTCTTCACCTAGCGCCATCGCTCAATAACAAGATACTCAATCAAAAGTACAATCCCTGCCGTAGGTCCTCCCTACTTCGACCCGCTGGCATCTCCGGCAAAGGCTTGTCATTCCCACTCCGACTAGCAGGCATCTCAGGCAGAGTCTTGTCGTCCGGTAACTCTGCTATCCACCTCGCTGTTCCCTCCTGGTTGCCCCCAGCCATCTCAAACCTCGCGTTCATACTCCCATACTGATGCCCTGCCGCCTCAGCGATAGGCGACCCATCAGTCTCAGCAACAGGTGCCCCCTCCGTCTCAGCCGTCCATCCAGACTCCGTGTCCTTCTCATGCAAACCATTTGGCCCTTTCGCGTAGTCAGTTTCTTGCTTCACCTTCTCTCCCTCATCTTCCGCTTTCTTAGCTTTTCGCTTCCTAAGAACCCAAAATATGGCGGCGGCAGCACAAGCGAGAGCAGCGACAACCACACCCACAGATATCCCAGCTATCGCACCTCCTGAAAGCGCATCGTTGGCTTTCGCTTTGGGAGGAGAGGCAGCGGGCCGGGCAGGCAGTGGTGTCCAGTGCGCGGACCAGCTCTGCGCAAATTTTCCCGCGGGCGATGAAGTGAGGGTTGCTTGATCAGGAAGAATACTCTGGATGTTTGGTGCATCTGGTTCTGGACCTGGCGCTTGTGCGAGGAAGAAGGTCGATTGGTTGAAATTCATTGCCAAGAAAGTCGATTGTAGGAATGCGCGACCGAGGAAATAGCGGCCGGATTGATCAAGAGCATTGAAGGGGTAGCACGGGAAGTATTGCCTTGGGGTTGGGACGATGGGAGCTTCGAGGGTGAGGTCGAGGAGGGAGAACGGGACCTTGATCGTGATGTTCGTGGGTGAGATGTTGTTTGCGGCGGTGTCGGCCGTGGAGGTGGAGTGGTTGGTTGTGCTTTGTGCGGGGAAGATGAAAGATAGGTAGGTGGGTGAGGTGGTGATGCGTTTGTATTGTGGATCGTTTACGTTCCACATGTAGAGACCGATGCCGGGTTCGAAATTCACGGGTAAGAGGCGGGCGATGTTGGTGCAGGTGTCTTTGGACATGTAGAGATATGGGAGCACAGCGTTGATTTCTGTAGGTTGGTGGTAGCCGAACGTCTCATTCAGGGCGAGTAAACCAACATATGAGTCTTGAGGGAAAGGAGAGCCGCCCTTTTCGGTGCCGATCTGGATATCAAGAAGGTTGGGCTCTATTTTGCTATCAGACTTTGTGATGTCGAACTGGCCCACGGAGCCGATAATGCGGCTTTGGTCATATCCTCCCCAGACAAGACTACCTTCTGGCCCCAGGTTTGCCGAGCCGTAGTGCAGGCTGGTGGATGCCGAGGGTATAATGTCCTTGCCGGCAAGATGATTGGGAATGATCATGCCATTTCCACGCTGATACTTTCTCTCTCCATCTAAGCCCCCGAGCGCGAGAAAACCAACTTGTGGAGAGTAAGTTGCTCCATTGGGAAGAGTGATATCCTGCTCATGGATGGAATCGATAGCACTGTTCTCTACGGTCGTGAGCCCCGCCGTGGTGTTGAAGCTTACAGAGTCCACCAGGATCGATGCGTTGCCTGTCGTTTTTTGAGCAAGATCGCTGCCCTGCGATTGAACGACACCAGGGGCATCTGTGATATTCTGGTTCGCGGTCGTCGAATTCTCAGGATCGTAGAGACCAGCAGAAGCTGCTGCACACGTTTGCTGCTGTGAGTTGCTGCAGTAGTCGGTCGCATAGAATAAATGATATGCGAAGCCTCCTGGATAGAGATCAAGCATATTCAGTGGCTTCCCAGTCTGATCTGTTCCAACGCTAGCAGACACTGCCTACAATGGGCATAATGTTCAGCTTACAGCAGTGACGCCAGGCGGACGATAGTATTCCTACCTGCCATGGACCGTCTGGTCCATATTTCTTGCCTTTGCTCCATTGCACTACCTGTGGTGTGCCTCCGGCCGCGACAGACACAGCGAAAAGAATGTAGATGATGACTGAAAGCATATCAAATAATGCAAGTGGGAAGAGCGATCAGAACATGATAGTCGAACTGCAAGAAAACGTCCATCAACACGGAATTGCGTCTGACTTAGTACTTACCAGGTGCATGACCGTAAGGCGATCAAAGTGCAGCTATTGCTCGTGATGAAACCAGGTACCTGAGCCAAGCAGGGCGCCACATAGCACTTATGCAGGTTGGAGGCATCGCGATACTTCTGACCGTTGACACGGCTTGATGAAAGACACGCCGCTCATCGTCAATGTCAGCTGGCTTAAGCATCATTGGCTGCTTTGGAGTCTGCCATTTCAAAAGCGGCATGATTCGTTTGATGGTGATTCGCTTCAGACGGCAAAGTATTTTCAGTGCTGACGGTCTGACGCATGGCAACGCAGGGCTGGCAAGGGGCTGTTATACCTCATGCATGTCAGCATACCTTAGGCCTCGTTTCAACCCTAAATTCGTCTCTTATTGGCGCCTATCTTTCGCTTCTTCCACCCAATGAAAGAAAGATTTCGGGTGTCAATTTTAGGGAGGTCGAGAATTAATGCAGGTGCTAACATTCTTCACAGCTTGCCGAATAAATCGATGATGGTTGACAATCAATGGATTCTGTGGCGATACTTGGTGAGTCCTCGGCGAACAGTGCTGGAGGTTACCGAGAGATGAGTTGAACGGACAGCTCATATGACTTGAATGGGATTGTGAAACCTTGTGCATGCCGCGAGAAGTACGTTGCAGAGTCGGTTTCCTATTCTATCGCTGGAATTACTCGGTGACATTGTCCGTTGGCCTCAATGTAGGGATCCTTGCATGTTTCTGCCGTCAAGACGATTTTGCGGTTGAGTGGCTGGACTTGGGTGAGGCTGCAGCTGCAGCCTGAATCCTTGATAGGTTGTGGAGCAGTGAACCACAGCTATTGGCGAACCAAAGCTTTGAACATCTCATATCAGGATGATGGCATAATCTGCAAAACTCCAGCCTGCTGGGTAAGCAAATCTTTCAGTTTGAGTGAGCCTTGTTGGGCAATGCCTCACACGATTCGTACGACCTGTTCTATTGCACTTTCGAACCATCTGTTATCAGACAAGTGAGCAAGTCCTAATCGGCTGTAAGTTGAAGTGTCAATTATTCCAAGAACCATGACGTAGAATCGTGTGTCATAGAGCTGATCCGGAGATGGTGATAACGTCGACGATTCAGAGTGGGAATCAAGAGTGGCGTCTTTGGTAGGGGCTAAAGCTACATGAGATGTCCCATTTTTCTTGGAGTCATTGCCCTGTTCATAACCTAGTAGTATGCATGGGAGAGGCTGTGAGAATGGTAGCAATCTGTCTGTTGCGCCAGCTCTTTGTATGCTTCCACTACTCTGTGTCAAAATGCAATCTGGGTGAAATACCCTTTCAGGATCTTTGCCTAGACTATATTTCCAAGCTTCAGTTGGCTCAGGGCAATTGATCTCTACGTTTGATAGCAAGGCTCTCAATTCGAGACAGCCCTTTGTCACATGGCCGTATGGATTCAACCCCGCAATTTCACATTTGATATCTTCTACAGTCGCCAATGAAGTAAACGGATACTGACCAGTTTTGTCGACTCGGTATTCGGCAGATTTGATGGAGGCCCATGACCAAGACGGTGCAATGTAATCGGCTTTGCACGTTGCCAGACCAGGGCCTGACAAAGGATTCACCCAGCAGAGGTCCATTATTAAGTTCTTCTCCCAGAGCCCTGCGACGTATTCTGATTTCAACAAGGGTTTAAAATTTCTGGCCGCGCCGCTCAATGCTGGCAAGCGGTCAGTATCGTATGTCAATTGACGTGAGGAGAATTCTGCAACGATATCGTGCCATATTTTGTGCGGTTCTGACGTGGACTCACACTCCAACAACTGCTGCGGTAATCCTATTGAGTGACGTTGAAAGGGTTTCAGCCCGTCCTCCGCTCGTACCACAGACCTACATTCCCAGATAAGTTCAGCACGTGTAATATGTAATGTTCGGCGAGATAGCAAAGCCTCCTGGAAAGCCCAAGCACGAGACGCAAGGGGGCCTGAATTTCCCCGTGAATTATTTGGGGAGCTTAGGGCGTCACGTCGGGCGATCACATCTACCTTTTGGCATTGGGGCAAATCTAGCACAAATTTTGATGGCAACCACATTTCATCCCTGGCAGAGAGCAACGGAACTGTGCCATCTCGAGATGCATCAGCTGCTATTGTAACATATGCGTTTTCGTAATATGCGCCCATGTTCGATGATTCTCGTTCCCAATCTTCCGTGTCGTCCTGCAGAATGCAAAGTGAGTCGATCCAAATGTATTGTAGACCAAGCTCGCGGCAAATTCGAATGGCGTCCTGAAATACCAAGTTAAGACTTTCCCAAGGGACGTTGTCTCTCATTTGCGTGAAATTGGCCGTTGTCACCTTCAGAGGTTGTTGTTGACCCCAGCAATGACTGAGAGCAGCGTACGTTCCGTACTGACTCGGCGAAGGGTGAATTCTAATTTTGTCAGTGTCCCCACTACCAATGCTGAGTACTCGCTTCGGCATCAAGCACACGTCTTGGCGAGGACATTTGATGTGATGATTGGAACACTCCTTCAGCTCTGCAGCGACGAACATTGCGCACATCTGTGGGCTGGCTCGCAGCGATAGTTCCTCATTTGAGCAGAGAATTGGCAATTTCGCGATGGAATGCTTTTTTATTCAGGTCAAAGAACTACACACGATATTCTAAGGACTCTTTGATGTGATGACTTACCTTATCTTGGATATAGAAATAGAAAGGCCAACATCTCGTCCTCTCATCAGGTATTTCATAGAAATCAACCTCGACGTGAGCTGCACAACCGCGTCCCATGTCAACGGACAAAAGCGAGTTGTCCAAATCTGCTCTTTCGGGTGCAAAAGCGTCAACCATTGTTTGCAACAGTGAACAAAAAGGACAGCTGGGTGACAACGTGGAATATTCAATCGTAATCCTAGCTTCTTCGTCCTGTGATGGTAATAGATCGAGATTACTACAGACAAGGCAGACCTGGGAACTCATTTTGGCAACCACTCGAGAAATGGATTTATTATGCGCTCGTTGTCACCAAACTTATCTAGAAGGACCACGGCATCTTCAAAAGTGGAGATAGGGAAGCGTCCTCGACCTCGACACCGTCTCTCTTTAACCTCGAGAGTCTGCAGACAAGGGGGCCGAGCGGCGGCATGTTCCCCCGGAGCTAAGGGAAATGCCAAGACTTTTTGCTGAGTCTCTCGCTACTTTGCTCACCTTCGAACAAGCCAACGGCTCTTCAATTTCGGATGGTCGGCAAGTCAGAATCTCTGGACTGGCCCTGTATCCCTCAGACTGACTGATTGCAGGGCCAATCAGTGCGTTTGCTGCGAAGAGAGCAACACATACGCCAAAGGAAACCTCCCACGTTCTGTCAGAGCAGATTGCTCCTCCTGCCCAACATGAGGTTGAAGATCCCCGAGACTCTCCTGAGCCTCCGAGAAAGAAGCGCAGAAAACAGAATCGAAGTGAGGTTCGAGATAGTATCTCTGCAGAGCAAGTGCAAGATAGCCCAATCGTGACAGCGACTCCCCCAACAGAACATGGTCTTGTCATCTATCCTACAACCAACGTGAGCCTCGAACAAGGATTTGATGCAGAAGAAGAAGAATCGCTCAGTCTGACTAGCGATGAAACCTCGTAAGAGCAAACGCCACAGTAATATACTGGGCTAATCAATAGACAGTGAATGTAGGCCTGCCATACAGGACAGGTCAATTTCAAGCTTTGTGCCGTCTGACGCGAACATCCTGGAGAACACTTCAACGCAATGGACCGTACATTTAAGCCCAAAAGATGTGCGTGATTGTTTGGACCGCAAAAGAGGTCGTAGCTGAGGAATTTTGCTAGACCTTAGGCATTCTCGGACAATATGATCTATGGGTTCGTAAAGGGGCTGTGGGTATCGCTGGAGCGGTGCTACGCGAGTCTCCAGAGCTTCGGCGCGTCTTTGCTCCTTCCACACACGCAATCCCAATCATTCGACCTATACCTGATCCTTTTGGATCCAGAAGCCAGGGAGCTGAGGTCACCATACGGTCATGCGGTACACGTCTACATTTAATTGGGCGCTTGTCACCGCTATTTAGGCGTCTTTGGAATGGAAGAGACGAAGACCCACATGCAGATCGACGATCTTTCATCAATGTGAGCAATGAGAGATTCTAAGTCTCTGCTTCCCTGACAAAATTTAGATCCAACGCACTAGGGATGACTACTACAAACGACCCCTGCGGTCGCTACAGTTGCCTCAGCCCAGCCTGTCCATAGTACGGCATATGATTGACGCCAAAGTGCAAGCCAAGCCGTTGGAAATACTCGTTTGTGGGCCGAAGGCGTCTGGTAAATCAACGATGAGTCGCTGGCTTTTGAACGCACTTCTTTCGGCATCTCAAACTCATCGCTTGGACAATAGTAGAAACTCTATGCTCTACTTCCTTGATCTAGATCCTGGGCAGCCTGAATTCAGCCCTCCTGGCGAGATATCTTTGCTCAAAGTGCATTCTCACAACTTAGGTGTTCCCTTCACTCATCCAACGCCACCTCCAAGGATGGCTCAAAGTCTTCGCTCTCACTATGTGGGATCTATGACGCCCAGAGATGATCCACGGCATTTTCAAAGATGCACCTCCAATCTTCTGCAGACATACCGAGGCTTGTCCGAGTCAGAGCCTGGAGCTACGCTACTTATCAATAGTGCTGGTTGGATCCAAGGCAGGGGCTACGATTTACTCATGGAGCTATTGTCTGATTTACGTGCGACTGATATCATTTACACAAGTACCACAGGCCCAGATGATGTGATAGAAGGCCTCGTGAAAGCCTGCGACGCCAACGGAACACAGCTTCATCAAGTTGCTTCACAACCATTTCCGGATGAAGCAAATACTGCCTCCGATCTGCGTGCGATGCAGAGTCTTTCTTATTTCCACCTCGCTGAATCTGAAGCTGGGAATTTGCGGTGGAATTCGCAATTGCTGATGGAGATGCCTCCCATGCTTGCGCCTTATTCTGGCCCCAAGCAATGCATTTTCGCTGCCATGATACTCGGCGAATATTTCAACCCAGACTTTCTTGTATCAATCTTGGACGGCTCCACCGTAGGTTTAGTCCTGATTGAGAATGACTTGGCCATCGATAGTTTACGGTCGCATCCCACCTACGGTGAAAGTGGCAGTCTGAATGACGGTATAAACAGTGAAGAAAGTCTTGCTCGGAAAGGGGGCATTCAATCCCAAATGCACTCTGCGATCCGCCGGTCACCAGATGAGATCCCATATTTACAGCCCGAGCAAAACACCGCACCACTTCTCCCGGAATGTAGCCGCTCCCTCGGACAAGCACTCATCCGCTCTATTGATTTACGAAACAAAGTCTTCCATCTCTATACACCCGTCTCGGCTTCGGAATTACAAAGATTGCACTTTGAAAACCGCAAAATTATTTTGGCAAGGGGCAGACTCGACATTCCGGCATGGGCATACAAGGAAGAACTTGAATATGAGAAATCTTTGCATGGAAAGGGACATCCCCCTTTGGGTTTCGGAAAAGGACCTAGCAAGGACAAGACATCTGAGGAGTCAGAAATCAATGGATTGATGGCAGAAATGCAGAATGTGACGAGGAAGCAGCCATGGGTAAGTGTTGTAGAGAGAGGCAGGAGTAAGGACCCAAAAGCGCGGAGAGTGCGGCGAGATATTAGGTACAAGGGCCAGGTAAAGGGTGATACATGATGACATGGTGTAGTCGACGACTCAATCAACAAGTGATATGTAATATCCTAATACCAAACCCCATATTGTAAGAAATTGATCTGCAAATATGATTGGTCAAAGGCTCTGCTGAGTCACGCAGCCTCTCAGCCCTACGAAAGCCAGATCCTTGCCAGGAATTCCTGTCCTCATTCCCTCAATCGCTGTTGATTATCCATAGTCAGTGGTAGTTCTCGGCTCGCCTCTGCTTGAACTGTGAGGCTATTCATTCACATCGAGCCTCGACGTTGTGGTGTCTGTCTCGTCGCGGATCTCCTATTCTTCACGCTTCGCGTCGATACCACTGCTCGACACGGGTCTTCCGCATACCGCTAAGGGACGAACAGAGTGCACGCTCAGCCCAAAGATACACCGCTCACGCACAACCAGTCGATGATGCTAGTTGAGATGAAGAGAATGGTCGCCTATACATGATTCCACACATCATATGATCAAAACACCGTGCGACCTCTCCCCACATTTTCTCCGTCCGTGGCTAGGCATTTAGGGCCCATGCCCGCGCTAAGTGCTTCACAAGAGCAAGAACACTCAACAACAGGCTCCATAATGAATAATAAGAGAAAACGAGAACTTGGTGATGGCGAGACTGATGGAGCGGTGCCGGCCAATGGCTCAGGCAGTGATTCATTGAACATTCATACCTGGATGAAAGATGTCCTTGACGTCCTCAAAAGGTGGGTATTCTACCTCAAAGGGGCCGATCAGCGGAAGTATTTGAGGCTAATCAAATCTGCGTAGAAATGATGGCAGCCCATCCATCCTTGATTTCCATTTCGAGTCTGCGATATCCACCAAGCCTTCTCCGAAACGCAATAAAGCCTCCGAATCGTCGATGAATTTGTGCATCGCAAAGAAAATCAAGGATGCTGCATACACCAAAACTGATGAACTGATCGCAGATTTGGACACGGCAAGTAGCAAGTACTTGAAGGAAGTGGAGGAAAAGGTCACGAATGGAAAATTGACACCTCGCCAAGCGGAAAGCGAGAAGTCGGGCGTCGCAACGTTGAAGAAAAGGTTGAACGGCCTGATAGCAGGAGAGATGTTTCAGCGACAACGTACCTTGCAGCAACATAGCCATTCCGAGAAGCATCCCAGCCAAGACTTAGGTGGGGAGGCGTTGATCTCGGCTGAAGGAGGAATCAATAACAGTATGATTCTCACACTAGTGGGAGGGGAAAGAAGTGCAAAGCAGCTCTTCTCGAGTCTAGCCAAGCCAGGTGGAGATGATACATCCCTCACGGAAAGACCCTTACCCAACGGCATAACCACCACGAGTGTGATCCCTGTTCATACTCTAGAGGAAGGTAAAGAGAAAGTCACAACGATAGGGCAAAGCTTCCCGCCGCCATCGAGCCTCAAAGCTCTTAATCCTCCAAGACCGGCATCGAAGCATACTTCCACAAGAAGTAATTCTATCAACTGGTACAGTGCTGCCGACGCTGCCGCTTCCCCAAAAGAATCGTCAACGCGCGATCCATACCCAAATCAGCCACTTCCTTCTGGTCGTTGGCTTACCTACAATGTCCCACCCACCTCCGAACAATTCAATTCCCCTGGCTCCAGACGAAAGCACCGGGAACGCGCGTTGAGCTCTGGAGAGCCACCATCTGCGATTGATAAAGAGACAAGCAAAGCACATGCCCAAGCCCAGGACGACGCTTTGTATTGCAGTGTCTACTCGAGCTTTGCGCCAAGTCGGGACGACACTGGAGCAATTGTATCAGAAGAGCAGAAAAATCGGCTTTGGTGGAGCAAGTATGGTGAAGCTCAATATAACGAAATATTGGACGCTCGAGATGATCTATTGTATGGTCCGGATGAGATGGACCAAGATATGATTGAGGAAGAATTAGATGAAAAGGTGGTTGAAGAAGCAATCGCAGAATGGAAACCGCTAAGTATCGAAGAGATATCATCATTTGATAAAAGCAAGGAAGCTTCATCAAGAGAAGCTGAGGACCTGCTACAAGAAATATCGGAGCTCTTGGAGATACTAAACTCACACCAGCGAGTCAGGAATCTTTCTCAACCTGCGACTGCTCGTCCTTTACAAGGCCAGAAAGAGCAGCTAGCCACCGCCCCTCTAGATCCGTCGACCCCATCATCGTCGGAGACAGAAGTCTATGAGGATCTGAAAAAGCAGCTTGTGGAAGTAATTTCAACTTTGCCACCTTACATGCTGTCAAAATTAAATGGAGACAGGCTTGAGGCTTTGCAGCTCAGTACCAAGCTCAAATATCCATACAAAAATCAAAAGGGAACACTAGAAGACGATTGGACTTCTCCTAAAGCAAAAGTCGCACCTAGCGGGACATATTCAACTTATGGGGCGGGTGCCGCTGTCCGTGGGGCATATGCTCCGACTCCAGTCCCACAATATCCACGGCAAGCACCTGTGCAGGCCTCTGTGCAGAGGCAAGCTCCCAGCGCTGGGTATGCTGCATCGCAATACTCAGGGCGACCAGCACCCGTACAATATGGAGGGAGCAGTATGCCACGGCCGTCGTACGGGCAGTATCCACAGCAGCGATCCTCATCATCGTCATCATACGTCGACCGTTTCGCCAATGGTCAATACACTCCCCAGCATTCGTATTCCTCCTACAGCCAATACCAAAATTCTTATAGGCCTCCCATGGGTCAACAAGCGAACTCTTACGGCCAGCAGTATGCTTCACCACAGCCAAGAGTCGCCCCAGCATCAACACCCACGGGACAAGGTTATCAGCAGCGACCCCCAGGACCTCCTACGTACAATTATGGCGCTACACCTGGGGGGCCCACTTACACGCCTCCTATGAGTCAAGGTCCCCCCTTCACTGGACAGGCAGTTGTAGCCGGGCAGCAGCGGCCACCTCTCTATCAGCAGCACTCCTCCCATTATGGGTCGCACTCCCCGGCCGCAGAACAAATGAATGGAATGGGAGTGGATGGGGCAGGAAGGATGTCACCTGCATCACTGGACGCGAGACCATCTCTGCAGGGCTCTGTCACTCCACAGCCTGCAAGTGGACAGTCACCAAGACCTAACGGAACACCTGCTCCACAGCCAAATGGAGTGACGGCTTGAGATGTGTAGAGTAGGGTTCCAATGGATGGCAGACATGGATCGGACTGATGTTTGTTGCGATGTTGTACAGCATCTTCTCCAGCTGTTCATGTCATGTTCTAATAATAGATGGCTTTAAGTGTGGGTTAACGGACGGACCCTTGCGGATCAGTAGAAATAGAACTGTATTATCCAAAGACTCTACCCAGAACTACTACCTCTTCGCTCCTCCTTGAGATAGATGAGATGTCTCTGATCTGTTCAAGCCAGGGGGTGTTGTGTGCTCAGGAAACACCCTTCATCTAAGTCTCCGCAGGCCAGTGATTGGGCTCGTCTCTCCCCAAATACCCTACATACCCGCATGTTGTGCCGCCCCTCTCTTGCAGCGCTGATGCACGGCCAACTCAGCATCCTGAAACCCACATCCATTCAGGCCAGTACAGCGCCGCCCCCATACTCGGTTCCCGATACCTCCACCAACAATCCCTCGCAAGCTTATCCATTGGATGAAGGGCCGGTTCCTGCTTACGATCTGGCCATCTGATTTGCAGCCTTACAACTGCGCTTCAATTGTGCCTTCCAATTGCCCATCCCAATGCTGGCCGTGGGCTTAACACCCATTCACTGCCGTTGACCTGAGCGTTTCGGCAAGGTCTGAAGATGTCTCATTCTTCTAGCCACCATGTACAGTTCTTATCTATGCCATTCAAGCGTCGTCGTTTCATGCCAAACACTTCTTAAATGACCCACCTGGCTGACCAGGCCTGTATTGACCCCCAACGATTACATCAGGAACGGCTGCTATTCTGGGCAGACATCTGGGCATTGAAAGACTGACACCACCGCTTCGGAGTTGTGAACATCGACAATTCAATCATGATGCCGTCCATCAATGGCTCACGACGCCGGCATGCGAAGCAGCCATCCTCGTCGAAGAAGAAAGCGCCCCCACCAGATCTCGCCCTCACCTCTCGCTACTCCTCCTCCAGCAATAATTCAGATACGCAAGCAACACCAAGATCCATCTTTCACTCAAGTCTCAGACCCTCAAAGCGGTTTTCAAAAGAGCCAAAACCAGTCCCGAGAGAAGAGCCAGTGGGAAGGAAGGCAATTGAGGGGCCGGATAAGGAGAATCTCGATGTCTTCGCCTACATGCAAAGAGATGATGAGCCATGGGACACGCCAGTCAGCGACGAGGCAGAGAAGGAGCTAGAACCCTCAGATGATGAGATCTCGCCAATTCCTCCTGTCAAAAGCCTGGAAGGGCCCCAAGCATCTCCACGATACAGTGATCTGGAGGTTAAGGCTATACAAGACGGAATTCACCGGGCATGGGGCAGAGCGAGTTTACACTCAGATTCTGGCATCTCAATGCATTCCTCGAGCCCAGAACAAGAGTCGCCGATAATGCAACACAAATACCCAATGATTCAAGAGGACGAAGCAGACACGTTGGATGCCAATGTGGAAGAGGACGAGCACCAGCACATTGAGCTGCACGACTCCCCCGAATTCCTACCTACTAACAACGGCCCACCCATGCACTCCATCGAAGCAAACGAGGGTCTCGTGCCCGAAGCTTGCCACGTCTCGCCTCCAACATTCGCACCACAATTCCTCTCCGAAGAACCTGTCTTCCCGCACCTCGAGCTCCCCGCAATCTCCCAACGCCGCCACTCCAACTTCGCCCCGCAGCGGCGCTCGCGTCGCGACAGTCCAGCACAGCTCCCCTGGAAGAAGGCAGGGTACGATCTCCTCGCTTCCAACATCTCCTCCCACCGTCACCATCATTCCCGATCGTCTTCATACGACGGCCAGCAGTCTGAAGAGCTTATTAAACCCATCTACCGCAAATTCGAGACCCTGAACAATCGCATGCTGCTCTACTTGCAAGACGAGATCTCTGAGATCGAAGAGCAATTGTCTGAGCTGGACGCAGCGATCGCGCATGAAGATGGCGGACATAACAAGGTGGATGCACCAGCGAGTAGACGGCATGAAGCGAAATTGCCAAGTCAGCTGCAATGGCACCGCTTGGATCTTCTACACCGTAGCTTTGGGAAGGTTGAGCTGTACAGTACGTCGCCATCACTCCTCCCCTCCCCGTTTCCCTTCTATATTGTCTCGCGAGCATTACACACGTTGGTGAAACGACATGCTGACCTGATGCTTCAGATAGAGCACTAACCTCCTACACCCACCTAATCCGCACCCTCGACCCCGCCTCCAGCACCGACATTGCAGCCTACAGATCCTGGATCGAGGAGCACACACCCATCGTCCCCTCTGAAAGCACCTTCCTGTCTCATCAATCCGATCTCGTCGCCATCACGGCCACTCCTCCCACCATCAATTCCAACGCGAACAACCACACAAGATCCCGCCGGCGCCACTCCTCCACTCCTTCCTGCACACCCTCTGAAAATCATCTTGTTGAAGATGGGAAGATCCGCCTCGATTCTCCGTTTATTGTTTTGGCCTTTATGTTTGTCGCGACGATTATTGTGTTCAAGGTTGTGCCGAGATTGTTGGCACGCTTGGTGATCAGTACGATGGTGGGGATGGCGACGATGTGTTTGTTGAGGCCGGAGGGGATGGGGAGTTGGAAGGGGTGGAAAGAACGGAGAATGGAGGTCGCGAGGGTGGCGTTTGTTATGCTTGTATTGGCGCTGATTGTTGATTAGTGGGTTCGTTGGTGGGGAGTTTTTGGGAGATGGGAAGGGAGGTAAGGGAAGGGGACAAAAGGGAGGATGAGGAAAGAGGAAAGCTGCATAAAGGGATTCATGTAGGTATATGGGTGGGTCTGGGTTTAGGCTTGGGCATGGGTATGGGTAAGGGTATATGTATGGATATGGCTACGGACGGATACAGGCACACGAGCAACGACTCCACGAATTTCTTTCGGCTATGTACACTGATGACGATGTTCACGAAGATACCACATATATAGCAATATCATTTCGAATTACAATCTTGATTTCGACTCTCACATTCTTACGAAGCCTGCTCGATGCTTTTTTCGCACTCTGGGACTTCTGTATCAATCCATTCACCGGGGTTCCTGAGGTGGGGCACTGAACGAGGCAATTCCTCTTAACTGCATCCTCTCTAGCTGACTGCACACATTGGACTAGGTAAGCCATTTGCCAACTCATCAGCCGTGCGTGAGTAAGCTGCTACCTTGTCAAACATCCAGGTCTTAACTGAACAAATCAATCTCCATCAACTGAAGATGATCATTCGACAGAATGGATCCTCTGTCCATAATCGCCTCAAGCGTGGCTGTCGCCCACACACTTCATGTGACACTGCGTGGTATCCAAGCGACTCGCCGGGCCCTCCCTGAGCTCATAGCTCTGCATAACGAAGTGTCTGATTTACGGCTAGTATTGCAAGAGCTCGAAGCGATTCTTGAACAGAGGGAGCAAGCAGCCAACCCTTTACCTCCTAACGCCCACTTGATACAGGCGATCAATTCTTCTAAAGGTAAATTAGTACAGCTGTCAAACGAAGTCTTGACATGGGACCTCGGACACCCACTGTTCAGCACAGTTGATGATCAAAAGCGATTCCGTCTTTTGCGAGTTGGACGTAAAGCACAAAGATACAAAGAGGAGCTGAAGGAAATCAAAGCAAACTTGACTGCACATTTATCGATTCATTCCACGTAAGCCTACCGCAACTGCAGATTTCATTTACAGTACCATCAATCCTTTCTAGTCGAAAAACTCACGTCTTCTCCTGCGCAGGTCCACTACCAGCCGCATTGAAATCGACCTCCAACAAGTCCTACTCGTTGCAAGGGCGGAGGCGGCCAAATCTGACCAGAGCCATGAAACCATTAAGCAGCAGCTGACTCGGCATGGAGAGCAACTACAAACACTTGCGAGAATGACCCAGTCTGATCAGCAAGACACCAATACCAGCCAAAGCCAAGCTTCAGCTGTTCGAGGAGAATACGCACCTGTCAACGAGGTAGTGAGCGCAGACAAATTCGACACTGAGAAAGTCAAAGCTTTCCAGCACAATGGGTCCATACTATTCGAATCCAGCCAGCTGACCGCCATAAGTGCAGTGGGCATCCGCACCGCCCAATTTCCCCGAGCAGCTTGCAGTCCATGGTGCAGCTGCATCTGTCACCACGAGCGACGCTTCCGAACACCTCAAATCCTTGAGAACGTCATCGGGTCTCTCTTCGTGGGCTACTCAGGTCTCCCCAAGTTGACGGAGCCGTGCGACGAACATGGCTGTCGCCTTCGCGCGCAGCCAACCTCATCCATCACCTATTTTTTCCCACCTTGGTTCTTGGCCCGTGCTTTATCGCTTGTGCTGTCTTCGACGCCGCTGGCGGGGCCGATTGCCACGCTGAAGTTCCAGCGCGCCATTTCTGGGGACGCTGATGTTTTCAATTTTGCGAAGTTGGGGGAGGTGGAAAATATGAAGCGGTTGTTTGAAGATGGGCTGGCCTCGCCTCATGATGTGCATTATGAGTCCGGCGTGACGCCGTTACATGGAAGCAAACGGTCCTTGTGAATATTATACCATCAATTGCTAACGATCTGCAGTTGGCTATCAGCCACCGTCAAATCCACGTCTGCAAATTCCTGCTCCAAATGAACGCCAATCCGTTCCTCGAGGATCGCACTCAGTGGTGAGAACGCCCCCGCTCGTTGTCAGCTTTAGATCTCTCTTTCTAATCATCATCATTTGACAAGGGCGGCCGCAGACAACGCATGGGACAAGATCCTCAGCCGCAGCTTCCCCTCCCCCACCGAAAAAGCCCTGCGAGAGATGTTCTCCGAGACCGAATGCATCTCGCGCCGCGACTTCACCGTCCTGCACAAGATCATCCTCCACCTGCTCCCCAACGATCTTGACGCAGTCCTCGCAGCCTCGACGGCCGAAATCAACGCCTTCGACTCCAACCAGCGCACCGCCCACTCCCTAGCAGCTGAGCGTGGCGACCTCCCCTCTTTGACTACACTCTTCCGCTACGGCGCGGATCCTGCCCCCGCTTCTACCTCCGGCAGCACGGCTCTCCATTTTGCGGCGTGCGCGCTCGATCCGTGCTGTCTTGCGCCGCTGATTGAGCATGGCGCTGTGATCGACGCGAGGACGAATTGGGATCAGACGCCGCTGATCTATGCGGCTGCGTATCGGGAGGATAAGAGACACGCGGAGATTCTGCTGCGAAAAGGGGCGGATGCTGGTGTGAGGGATCTGGATGGTATTAATGCGCTAGGCTGGACGGCGATTGTGGGGAATGTGCCTGTCGCGAAGATGATCTTGAGTTCTGGTGGTGGTGCCGATTTGATTTTTGCTGCTGATAATGGAGGTCAGACGGCTTTGACGAGGTGTGTGAGTGTGAATCGGTATGAGATTTTGGAGGCTGTGATTGAGAAGTTGAAGGGGGATGGACTGGAGTTGGTGGGTGATGAGCAGGTGCTGTTGGCTGCGGCTGAGAGTGCTGATCTGAGGACTTTGGCCTTGTTACGGGAATTCGATTTTGAAGCGTTGGATGTTACGAGCGTCGTGGATGGGAATGGGGAGTGCGTTGAGGGTGTTTTGAAGAGGCGTGCAGATTTCGATGAGAGTTTACTGGCGGCTTTTCGTGGTTTGTGGCAGCGGAATGATGAACAGGAGCGTGATGTATGGCATGATGCTTTTGAGCATTTGGGCTCTGAAGGGTGAGAGTGAGAAGGGGGCACTTTGGAAATCTATGGGGTTGGGTATGGGTAGGGTTTGGGTGAATGACTTCAGATTGGCATGATGGCTCATTTACTCGATGTAGTGGAGATACCCATTTTCGGGACCAATTACACGGTGTTAGAGTATACAATCAAGACGTACGATTTCAACATACCGAATTGATTGACTGTTGTGAAAGGAGAGCGTTGTCCTGTCCTGGCGCTTCCATTTCGTCCACAAATGACGTAATTACATGCCAAGCCTTCAACCTCGACCCCAAGTCACAGCTCTTCATCCATTCATATCAATGCCATAATGATGTCCCAGTCCGTGGTACCATTTGATCTAGGGCCATCAGGGTCGAATGAATGATCTCATGTGCTCGTCAGGCTGAGTCTGGTAGGCACAGTATGGTGGGCGATATCGCAGGCGAGATGATTGGTTAGTCTTGTCTAGCTGACTAGCTCGTTAAGGCTACGATGGAGGTGCGGGTTCTTCATGAGACTATTTAACGTTCCCTCCTTTTCTACCTCCTTCCTCTGCCAAATGGTCCTTTGAAGTGCCTACTGAAATGTCTTTTGAACGTATGGATCCTCCGAAAGCTGTCTCTAAGGGTGCCCACATCGTTAAGTTGAGTAAATCAAGGCACTGGGAGCCACAAGGCCTGTCCCCGCAAGAGAGGTCTCAACTCTTCATCGATTTTGGACGCACGCTAATCATATATGCTTGCCTCGTTCTTGGTATAATACTGACCCTATCGTCCCGTTCCTCACGTAATCTTGACTTGCCTAGCATCCAAACTCCATACTGATCACTTACAGCGATCTTAAATGCACTTGTTCAAATATCAGAATGGATGGCTTCCCTTTTAAGCTTTGCCTTAATTTTTCCAGTCATGGCATTTCTGGTGGGTTTTGGCTTAGACGTCATCGGCAATCGCGATTCTCGTCGAGTTTTCAACACAGACATACTTTCCATTAGAAACTTCGTAACGAAGAATCCACGACCAGCACGCTACATTAGGGACATGGGCAGGCCCCGACTTGCTCCAGGTAATCGAAGACTCGAATGGATTTGTGTAAGTGCGCCTCAAGACTCTTCAAAATATAGCAAGGCCTCTTGTATCAATCTGACATTGGTAGGATTGTGGGAAAAGACTGTATGGCGACTTTGACAACAGCAATCCCGCATCCATTGAGACTTTGCAAGACTCTCTGACAACACACGCAAACGAAGGAGGATCTAGCAACGCACCTCCAGGGTCCAACGTCACATCAAATCAAGAGCATTCCGTTGCCGGAGACTTAGGCGTCCGAAAACCTCAGTATCGTAGCAAGGGAAAGACTCCGGAAAGGCGCCCCGCACCACTAGGTACATCACAAAATCCGATTTCTGACTTCACAAGACCGCCTCAGTGGTTTGAATTGCTAGCATACTCGAGGAAAGGTGAGAAAACGCTTGGTGAGATTTCCTTAGTGGATATCAAAACGGACGGAGAGCTGTTCCGAACGATCAAGCAGAGGTACAACTCCATCAGGGGATCTCAAGCAAAGTATCTCTACCTACTGAAACCAGTGGACATACATTTCGTACAGGTACGTCAGAAAAGTTCGACTTTTCCAGTACTCTAATATACTCCAAGTTCTCTCTACAAGATCGCTACCGGGCCTTCATTCATGACGCTCCCAGGAGTTGGCCACCTGCTGAGGCCACACTGAAAGGCCAATGGGAATACGAGATCCCAAAGACAGGGCCACCGGTGCCACCACCGCCAATTCCACCGGACGCGTTCTTTCACCATTTCTGGAGCGATGAGAAGCTGCACCGACGCGCGATATGGCTACGTCGGATGCCAAAGAAGTTAGGTCACGATATAAGATCCGAGCCACTCGATCTGCCTGTAGGCTGGGGCATTCTCATAATCGAAGGACTCAACAAAAAGAAAGCTTCATGGATTTTGTTCTCTGCAATGGCTGTGGTGTTTATACTCGGTACATTCTGGTCTATATACAAGCAACAAGGAGTCAGTATTTCGATACTGGCGCTCATGGTCCTGAGTCTCGTGGGCTCATTATTGACGTCTGAGTTCTTTGCACAGCTTGGGGAATAGTATGGCTTTCTACGACTTCAACGGTGGAAAATGCTGATGGAGCAAGTGGCTGGTGACCCTGAATCAGTGCCTTTGTACCAACCAAGTATCCGGGATGCCTCGTGACAATGTCCAAAAAACATCAAGGCTATGAGCTACAAATATTGATGTATAAGTTTACATCTGGAAGTCAACCAAAACAGTCAAGACCACTGACGAGGCGCGTAGGCACCGCTGCACCTACAGCTACATCCTTCAAGGCGAATAATGCAAGCATACTAGCGGCTACAAGAAAAACAAACATCAATTAGCAGAAAGTGAGGTGAAAAGCTGCTTAAAAACCAAAAAGCCAATGTTGCTCTATGAAACGTAGAGACAACTCGATATCTACCCCAGTTCGCACTCCAACACAGGAATAACAGAACACTGAAGCGCTTCTTCATGCCTCAACACACAAAGCCATCATTCTCTCAGAAATCTGCATTTCTCACCACGTCTCCTCAGCATCGCGAATATCAGTCTAGACGGCGTCTTTCCACCCCGCCGCTCTTCTCCCTTCGCCACCGCGTTGATCATAAGCTCTAGAAACGGATCACCCTCATCCTCATTCTCACCATCACCATCACCATCAATGTCCGCCCTACACCCGAGCCAAGCCAATGCCGCGTACTCCTCAGGTTGTGGGCGATGATTAACCGTCTCCACACTTTCCTCATCTCCACTACCGAGACAGCCAACCTCACCGCCGCTATCGCTACCGTCGTCACTGTCTCCAGAACAAGTAGGGCTTACTTCATCCACCGCAGCCAACAGGTCCAAAATTGACATCTTGCCCATCGTCCACGGTGACGGTTCACCACCGTGGTCACTTCCCACGTCCTTCTCTCCTATCTCTCGCCCTCCATTCCCCGGCTCGATCGTGCGAGCATCAGTCCGCTCGGAGGGGGCCGATAGTAGTCTACCGTGGTAGTCTTGCAATACCTCCATTGCCGCTGAGTTGGGTGGTGCGTTCTCCGGCGGGCTAGAGGGCTGGGAGTGTGTACTGACTTCCTTTATGATTGGGATCTGCGGGTTTGGATGGTCGTGAATGGCGTTGTGGCTGAGTTGGTGACCGACTTTATTACTGATTTGGGATGGGGATAGGGGTGGAAGAGGTGGAAGTGGTTTGTTTCGAGAGTAGGGGCGAGAGAAGTTTGGTACGCCCTGAGTTCTATTGGCGATAAGGAAGTCTTTGGGAGGCGGTGTTGGTGGAGGTGGAGTAGGATGTGGAGATCGACGGGAGCAGTGAGAGTGTTGTGCGAGTGGCATAAATATACAACGTTAAATTTTGGTGCGTGGATAGTGCGTTGGAAGAGTGTAGGGGACAATTTTGTAGAGAGAATCGCGAACAAGAACATTGTGGGGGAGAGAGGGGAGAGAGAAGGCGAGTGGTGTATTTGCACCACAATGGACAAGGGCTTTGTCTAGCAGGTTGTACACAGGAAAGAACAATGAGCTGACGGCAACATCATGGGCTAGGAATCATAGAAATCGGAATATGGTTTGTATGGTCTCTTCTGATCATTCCAGTCTAGATGGTGCCGAGCCACGTCGAAGCACACGGCTTGACCAAGATGTTGTCGCCTGTCACCGTCTCGCGTCCCTCAAGTGCAGAACAATCATGTTGATGCATGGCATTTTCCCTCACCGTATGTGGTCCGATCTCTTTATGCCTGTTCCACTCTATGAATTCCAAGTCAGAGTCACAATAATGTGAGCGCCCGTCTTGGTAGATGTAATCCACTCTTGACACCAGGCCTCTCGGTCTCAACAACTCCCATCACCTGCCTGAAAAACGAATGTTTCCTGTCTGCGACGGCGCAGACTGCACTCTCAGCATTTTTCCACCGCATTTTACATGCTCTGACAGGAAGGAAGCCTCGTATCACGCCTCGGCGGGGGAGGTTGGGAACCATCGGTCATTGTCCTTAGGGCGGATGGGGCAAAGGTCTTTATAGGGAGGTCCATGATACGAGAGAATATGCAGATAGTCGAATCGAGATTTTGAAGGCGCATCAAATCCATCGAGAGGGCGCTGGAGAGGATCTGGTAAGAAGGGAGTTGGTTCGTGAGGAGGCAGTTGATGGGGTTGTATTATATCATACGCTAGACCTAGTGCTGTATTAATGAAAATATAGCCGGCCGAAATGTGCCTCTCCGACATCGAATGCCATAGTCATGAGTCTCAAAATAATACTGTGTGTCTTTTCTACCCGATAGATGTTGGGATCTGTCCCTTTTAAGAAGCCCGGCATTATTTGCTCATAAGGTGGGATCGTTATATTCGCCGCTTCGTTTCGTGATTCGTGCCTTCTCTTGACTCGCAGTCTTCGCAAGGAGCCTTATATAATGTCCATTGATCCTCGTGTTGCCGCAATTCATGACTGGCAGGTTGCCAATGGATCGCTACTCAAGCGTATCACAGGAGAGAACGCCGAGGCCTATCCTGTCAACGTTGCACTGAAACCATCTCACTTCCCCAGGGCCTGCTTCGTCCATGCGCAAGAATTACAAACCATCTTCAATCGTCTCTATGCTGCCGTCTCGTCCGACGAAGCCTGGCTCGAGAAGGCTCTTTCTAATCTACTGCAGACAGATACCCTAGCCAGAAGACTTTGGGACATCCATAAAGAGGCTAAGCGGGATGGTAAGTAACCTCTTGAGAGATCCGAGATCTACAGGAGACGCCTGCACAGGGTGACTAATCCCCCAATGGTTCCAGGCCTGGTGCAGCCAATATCTATGGGCGTCTTCCGTTCTGATTACATGGTACAAGATGCAGCTACTCCTAACGATAGGCAAATCATCAAACAGGTCGAATTCAATACCTTCTCTGTGGCTGGCGGCGTGCACGCGAACAAAATCTCTGATATGCACCGGTATTTCACACATAATGTCAGTGCAGCCGCCCCATACTTACGGTTGTAGATTATTCGAGCGGATAGGCAGCCCACCATCAACCGATTTAATGCCACTCAACGACACAAAAGACTCAATCGTAGCAGCATTTGAGAGAGCTCACCGCCTCTATGCCAGAGAGAATGGCGGTGATCGACGACTTGCCGTAATGATGGTGGTGCAGCCGAACAATTTCAACGTCTGCGATGAATGTCCGATTGTGTACGGATTATGGTATAGGGGCATCCCATGCTATCGTGTTGAATGGGGTGATCAGCTTGAAACATCTGTCAGCTATGGCTCATCATCAAAAGAACTCCTGTTGCGTCTTCTGGACGGCGAAAGCATGGAAATCTCCATTGTTTATTACCGAGCCGGGTACGAAGAGAAAGAGTATGATCAATTTGGCTGCGAAATTCGCTGCATTATCGAGCAGTCTCGAGCGATCAAGTGCCCATCGATCCTAGGTCATTTGAGCACAATGAAAGTCATCCAGCAAAAGTTGTCCGAGCGGCAACATCTTGAACACTTCCTCAACCCAGAAGATGCTGAGAAAGTCCTCGCTGTGTGTTGCGAAATGTTTCCTATGGATACCTCAGAAATGGGCATGAAAGCTCGTTCGCTGGCCCTGGACAGGTCTACAGCGCCAGCATATGTTCTGAAGCCATCTCTGGAGGGCGGAGGTAATAACGTCTATGGTAACGACATCCCTGGTTATCTGGGATTTGAAGATGAGGAATCGTGGAGCAATTACATCCTAATGGCAAAGATCCAACCACCAAAGGACGTCACTAATACCCTTCTATCATGCAAGGAGGGAGTTTATGAAGGTGGCATTGTGAGCGAGCTAGGCATATTTGGAGCGTGTGTTTGGAAAACACTCCCGCAAGACCAGGATGAGAGAGCGGGTCCGCCTGTTCAAATACTTGAAGATGAAACAATTGGTTTCTCTCTTAAGTCGAAGAGGTGGGATGTGGACGAAATGAGCGTTGTGAAAGGATATGGCTGCTTCGATAGCCCGAAATTAGTGCCATAGTTGACATTGATCTACGAACATAATTGTCTGCACTGCCTAGCATCTCAATTGGGCCGACGGTTGATGCCCCGTTCCGGCGATTGAAATTCTAGAGATGCATCAAATACAATATATAGCAGAAACAAGCCGCCCATTCTCTGATTCAGAGCGACAATCAAGCCAACCACGCATCGACACATAACCGGAACTGCCACAAACACTGGGTCTAAAGTATCGCGATTGATTGTTGCACTACTTGACTACACGAAAAGAAGGCCGTACGATACGGTAAGGAATTTCCAAACTCGGCTGGTACTCATTTTGACCCTTTTGCTTCACTCTCAGGGGCACAGACCTTAGGCCGAAATGGGCAGTCTCCAAAGGTTGTAGGGTGTGTTTTCTGTGTATGTTCCACCAAACATTGAGCCAGGGAAGTCGTCGTTGGCCTGTCTGTCCGGCGTAAGTGGGTCCATCAGTGATGACGACGTCCAGAATCAAGTGGCTGTAAAAAGAAAGCCTGCTTGTTCTTCCGCGATCGAGGTCTACTGTTTTGTTTGAGGGAGCTGCGCATGAACCTTCAGGATCAGCTGCTGTACTCGAAGTATCTGTTTTATTGAAAAGGAGGTTTAGGATAAGTTGGAAAAGTACCTCGCCTGACGGGAGAGAGGTAAATGTTCAGATCAGAGGGTCAAGAATAGACTGAGCTTCAACAAGGACGAGGTCATTCTATTTAACTGCACTCCTGCTTCCCCATGTCCGAAGATACATCCCCCTTACTCGTCGCGGTCATGAGACAACAGCGACAAGCCCAGTCCTCCAGCCCTGTACATCTGGCCGCCGCCGAGCCTCTTGCAAGGACAGTACCTTACCCTCTGAGCAAAATCTACATGCCAAGATCCGTCACCAACCTAATGATGTGTGCAGTGGTAAGCGAGCTTGGGCAACGGACCTAGAAACCTCCTGGTTTGTTCTAGTAATTCCCTGGCCGGCAGGAGTACCTGTGACCGAGGCAGCGGAAGCGTGGATCGAGATACTGATCGAAGATTCTCAGGCTTTGGATTGGGTGTGATGTGAGTATTGCAGTGGATCTGATGAGTGCAGACATGCACATGTAAGCCAGCGGGACATCATCTCAGCAGCAGGTAGTGAGCCAAACCAGCACTAGCCGGGATCAAGTAGCTTGTGCAACCTCCTTTCCTTGATCAAAAAATCGTGCATGTTTCTCGCCTTTCACAAGTCGTCAACAGAGCCTATGAGACCCCTACCGCCCTTCCCTTGGGAGGATACCAAACCAGCTCAGTCTATCAGCCACCATTGCGCGATTAACAAGAAATCGAAGAGACAACACAAACACTGTAGTGCCAGTGAGGTGAGGTGAGCACAGCTTTTCGAATATTAATGATAGTGATAAACAACAAGCATAAGTACAGATTTCCCAAGTGCAAGAAAAGACGAATCAGCACGCTCCTATCTAATGCCGTCTGCCCAGCAGTCATGAGTAGATTCGTTCGTCTATTCATTCCTACCAGTCCTGTGCCATTATTCCTTTTCCTCTCCATGCGTCGTGTGTCGTGGTCCCCCTCGCATTCTTCCTTCGTGGACCGGAACTCCGGGTGTAGCAAGCCCGCGTGACTACTGTGAACTCATTCGCTTCTTCCTATCCAGACTGCCTTTTCCTCCTTCTCTGCCTCCTTCTTGTCCTCCTCGCCACGGCACCTCAAAGGATCATCTCACATGACGAAGAGGAGGTTGGTATCTAATGTCGCAAAACCCCGCATCAATAAATACTCTTTCGTATTACCTTTGCTCGCCATACAGCACGCGAGATTCAAGAGGCCATTCAGCCAACCCCATGACATTCAACAGAAGAAGAAGAACCTTTGGAAAATGTTATTTCACGACCTGATGACCGTGGGTTGAAATTTTGGCTTTTTCTTAGAAAGGAAAACGAGACCAAGAAAAAGGCGATCAGAAAAACTATAATTGAAGGACGTCCACCAAACAGACCGAAAAAGCGACGAAGAAGGTAGTCACCAATATTGGGGTGGCGAGATGTAGAAGGAGAAGCAGTAGAATCGAATGGTAGGATGTCATGAGTAAGGAAACAGGAACGACGTACTCAGCGGATGGCTGCAGCTCAGCTGGGGCTTCTGCGTATACTTCTTTTCCAATTCCTCGCGGATGCTGTTAAGTAGCTGAACGTAGGATTGCTGTGGGTTCTTCTTAAGCGCAGTGATGAAAGCCCAAGACATAGCGCCAGTGGCTTGGCCACCGATCTGGGCATCCTGACTGTATCGCGATGAAGTTAGCAGCATTCCATCACTTTGAAGTTAAGTACTCTAGTGTTGATGGGAGACGTACGAGGTTTGGGTATCTTTGCTGCCACTCCACATCACGACGTCAGCAGGGCTGGTCTTGGTACGTTTAGATTGTTCATATGATTCGTCGCCTTTGGTCGCCTTCTTCAAGAAGCCCATTGCAGTCGACGCCATGCCTCCATAATCGCCTCTGGCGTAGGAAGAAACGATGCCAAGCAATCCTTGGCCGGCCTCCTTGGCAAGATTAGGTTCTTTCAACACGCCCTGCGTGCTGTAGATGTACGGAAGATCCAGAGCGGAGCCAGAATGGCATGAGTCGAAGATTGCAGTCAGTCGCACTCCAGGCTGCAATGACTGCACCATGATGCGGTGGAGCTCGTCGTCCACGATGTGTCCAACTTGGCGGAAGTCGACGGGATAGATGACCTCGTCATAGCCGTCGTCTTCGTCGCCGTCGAGATCTTCAGTCTGGCCACCATGTCCTACGACAGCAATTCAATAAGGTGTGACAGAATCAAGGTTCACTGGGAAGTAAAAACGTACCAGAGTAATGGAAGAAAAGGGAATCGTTCGGCCTCGCGTCCTTGACCAGCCAATGCATGCCACGAATAATATTCGCCTTTGTAGGTTGACTCATGGGAGCCTGCTGGTCATCTGTAAGGAGGACCATATCTTCCCTGGCATAGCCAAAATGCCCATTCAAATAGCCAGACATATTCTTGACGTCGTTGATACAGCCTCTTAGCTGGCCCCTTTGATTGAAATAATTTATACCAATGAGAAGAGCTTTTCGACGGCCTGTGCAATTGGAATATGCGAAGTTATAGCCCTGAGGAGCTCCGGTACCGAAGCCTTGGGCTCCTTGAGGTGGGGGAGGGGGGCGCTGTGATTGCCCTGCACGTATGAGTTGTTATTCACGGATGCAATGCCTATTGCACGTCTCTTGTCAGCCACCAAATCTAGATCATGAAGTAGCGAACGCCATACCTGGTCGGCCGTTGTACATAGGACCTCCTGATGGGGGTGGACCGTAACCTTGGCCTGCAGTCGGTGGTGGCTGTATGCAAGATCAGTCCTCCATCAATCATCTGCGTGTATATTCTCTAGTGCTTACTCCTCCATACGGTGATGGCGCACCGTAGCCTCCGCCATATCCTGGTTGGGGCGACGGCTGTTGAGGCGGATATCCTTGGTAACCTTGCTGTGGAGGCCTAGGCACGTCGTTAGTCCGGTTTGGCGCAGACTCGCTGAATTAGATACGCACGGATAGCCATTTTGAGGAGGATAGTTCTGGGGAGGCGGGCCCCCGTATCCTTGTTGCGGCGGTGGTTGGCCATAGCCATATTGAGGTTGGGGAGTTCCGTAATTCTGCTGTGGCGGATAACCCTGATGCTGCTGACCTTGGCCTGGGTAATAAGACATGACCAGCTCTTGCTGCGAAGCTAAGGTTTTGGGCTTGGTGCGACGAGAGCTGAACGGAGCTGAGTGCGGAGGAGCGTTGGACTAGCGGGGCAGCTGATGTTGACGCGAAATCGGACCTAAATCATCGAGAAAGGCCGCGACAAGCGCTGCGACTATCGGAAGATAATTGATGTGCCTTCAGCAACTGTCAGCTTGGTCTGAGGTAGTATCGGTGGCGTAGTGATAGTGATTGAGGTCTCAAAGGTCGTTCAGCGATCGTCATCCCGTTAGTGGAGATTTCCTCTCTCGGAAATTTCGGACAGGACTTGCTTACGGACGCGATGATTGCCGTTTTCGGCCAAGCCAAGCAAGCCCCCTTTGAGATAACTTCCAAGCTTGGACCAGCAGATGTCACGACATCAGAAGCATGATGACTATGACTGTGGCAACGAGATGCTATGTGTTCTGACCTTCCTGATTGGGAAGACAGGGACAGAGTCGCAGGAAAGACAAAGCTGAGGTAGGAGATGGCAAATGCGAAATGTTCAGCTCCTTCAAGCATTTATGTAAATCGTTTCTCAATTCATTCATGCTGCAGATGATGCTACCAATCCCCACAGCCCGGAAGATTCGAGGCTTCTAGTGTGCTTCCGTGCAACTTCTAACGGATTACTACTGTAAGGTCGTGCATTATCTTTCGTTCCCCGTGCTCAGCCCTGTCCCTCTTCCATCATCCTGCAGCAATAAACAGCAAGATTTGGCAGAGATGTTGGCAGAGATGCAGCGAGATAACCCTAAATGGACGTTTGACATGCGAACAGCCGTTACATCATGGGGTTCTTACTTGATGCAGGCCGGTTGGGCCGGGCCTAGCACAGAAGGTGAGATGTGACTGGACGTTGGCCGCGGCGTTCAAACGACTCTGGGACGAGCGGTGTCGCAGAAGCGCCAGCACGATGGACGAATCCTACGCACGGCAGCTCTATCCGGGTCGACCGTTTTGTGTTCAGCAGTCGTTAGTCCGTTGATCTGGTTGGATGAGCAAGCGGACGAATCTCCTTCGCTGGTGGCTGCATATGGGCCTTGGCCGTCGCATTCTAGAACTCTGGTGGCGTTTTGCGGTCCTGCAGCGATGTTACCATTTGGGTGAGCTGACCTCCGCTGGCTTCCATGCAACATGGTCGATACTTAGGCCAGAACTCCAGATCACACCTCTGGCTACCCTATCACTTTCACGCACCAATCACCATTTGCCATCATTCCAGTCCGTAATCTCCGCTACCGCTCACCGCACGGTTCTGGCACGTTTCCTTCCTTAGCTAAGGCACCGTGCCAGCACCAACGAGCGCCTTACCATGGCTACTGTCCGAGAATCGTTAACCACGCTGGCGCTGGGCAAGCCACGAGCTCGTTGGGGGGCTCTCGAATAAACTCCCACCTTTCTTTACCACGTCGCCAGCTATACAAATACATCTTCGAATTCTAACCATCCGATACAACACTTCAGATGGCTCTCCGAAAGACACAAAAGCGACAGGTCTCCTTCACAAACTCAGTCTCTTCGTCAGCTTACCCCATCGATCAACTTTACACACCCCAACGCCTCCGCTCAGTCAACATCGACCCGCTCTTCTACCACCCAGCATCACCCCGCCTTGCTCCCAAATCAACCGGATCTGACTCAGACGTCTCAACGCCGTCATCGCCAATACTTAAACCAATACTCGAATCCACTTCACACCCAAGATCATAAGTCCAACCAACAACCATGCTCTCCTTCCTCACCTCCCCACCCCCACGTACCCGCCAATCCCACCTCTCCACCATCACCACCGAGAACGGCGCCACAAAAATCGACTTCCACCCCGCCTCCGCCTCCGCCTCCTCCAACTCCAAAGTCTGCAGCACAACCACAGTGCGCGCGGGCCCAACAATCCACGCGCCCCCTACCACTGGCACCGCTACCAAACCGAGACCTTCCACATCCACAGCGGCACCTTCCGCGCCAATCTCGACGGCCGCACCGTCGACTTCGCAGCCGGCAGCACCGCCACCGTCGAGCCGGGCGTCTACCACACCTTCTCCAACCCCTCTTCCACCGAGCCGCTCGTACTGTCCACGGGTCTGGATCCGATGGAGCGGGAGCGGGACGAAGCCTTTTTCCGCAACCTCTACGGGTACTTGGACGATTGCAGGAAAGCGAATGTCGGGCCGAGCGTTTTTCAGATCATGTTGTGGTTGTGGGTTTTCGATTGCTTTGTAGCGCTGCCGGGGCCGAAGAGCGTGGGGATGCCGGTGAGCAGAGCGTTGGTGTTTTTGCTGGGGGTTGTGGTGGGGAAGTGGGTGTTGGGGTATCAGACCAGCTATCCTGAGTATTATGATGGGAAGATCCCGTCTGCGCCGACGAGGGAGCAGAGGGAGAAAATGAAGTGATGATTCTTTATGGTCGATCTGCGCGCGAGGTGTTTGGGGATTTGGCGAAAAGGCGCTGGGTATAGACCGGGGTGGGATATGGGACCGTATATATATACACCAATACAGTACTTGTACGTAATGCGACGCTTCCAAACAACTTTCACTTATTCATCCCTTCGAACTGCGTTGCTCTGCTCTGTCCCGCCTTCATCTCGTGAGCATCGACTCGCCGATTGCGTCCGTCAGGCTTCACGAGAAATGGGAGAGGAAACCTTCTCATCATAAATATTAACAACGAACACCGGGACGGAGTAGATTTCCACCTCGACGACCTCTGCCTTGAGAGCAATCCTCTTCAAATTGACAGTGAACCTTTCCCTGCACTTAGCAGTCTCCTTTCCAGTCGTCTTATACCCCAGCCATTCCTTATCGATCTCCGGGTTCGAGATCGACGGCAAGATATGCACCCACGGCGAATCCGCGTCATGAAGTCCAAAGATCGCAGTAACTTTCTCTCCAGACAGGTCGAATTGCGCAGCCCCGCACTTCCCGTCTTGTATGGATGGTTGAAACAGTTTAGTCTGCAGATTCCAGTGGACGAGAGGAAAGACGCGGACGGGGTCGGTGGGCAGATTCTTTGGATGATGCCTGATCATGCGGAAGCAGCGACCAGGTGGCGCCGAACTTGCTGGGCCTACTAGAGCAGCAGCGGGATTCTGTCTCACGTAAATGGTTCTATATCTGCCCCGGCGTTTTTCCTCGGCAGACAGTTTGTCCATACGAGCGCTTCGGATTCTGGCGAATTGCGTTTTCGGGGTGTTGGTCCAAATCCCTTCTCTGCCCGACACGCATTTCAGAAGGATCACGGGACTCAAGTCGGCACGCTCGCCGTCAAAACAGCAATCTAGGGAGGCATAGTATGTGATATCCCCTTCATCGAATGGGATAAGGAATAGCTCTACCCTTAATCCTTTGTTCGTCACAGCAAAAGCATCGCTCTGTGCCCACGCTCCAAAGGACTTTATACGGCCAGAGTTTGCAAAACTGTGGGGGGAGCCGGCAAGTAGACCGGAATACCCTTCAGGATGAGACGCTTCTTCCATCCACGCGAACAAGGACTGATCGTCGGTGCTCTTCATGATCTCTTCCTGAAGGCGAAGGAATGCGTTTTTCCGCTCACCGTAAATGAGTGGCATGTTGACGCCGAAAAGACCTAGCAGGGAGTATGACATGTCTTCGACTCTGGTTGTCTCCCTTTTCGAAGCCCAAGACATTTTCTGAGCCACAGAGAATGCATTCAAGTTCTCACCTTTGAGAGCTCTTGCTGGGATCTGGGTTATTCGACGGACACGGCCTCTGAGCGAATCCTTTGTTCCAATGGGCACCCACTCTTTCGTAAAGAAGATAGCGTTTGACGGTGCTATGAGTTCCTGTAGGGTCCATCCGCGCTTCCACCAACGACTGCTCCCAAATTTTCTCGACACTCCGAAAGGGTCAATTCGATCCACCACCGAAACATCTGAAAGATAGATATAACAAACGGCTGCGTTCTTATACCACAGAAACATCGAATTGATAGCCTCGGACAACTCTGCGCTGTTGGACTTGTCTATGCAGCAGGTGTCCACCCAAAAGTATTTCAACCCATCGGCAACAGCTTGATCCCTGCCCGAAGTGACTTTGTTGGATCCTGTTAAAGTCCTCTGGCATACGTTGTCAAACAAGATTTCCTTATCGCCCCAGGTGTGTGACAGTATTGCATATCGTGGGACGTTGTCGCCCTCGAACGTCTCGAATGCTAGCGTATCGCAGCGCAGCAAGCGCATGGCGGTCGTGATGGGAAACCCGCCAAGCGTGGAAGCAAGGCTGATGTTAGGTCCAAGTATAAGTCATGTTTCCCGTGATGGAACGTTCGGTAGTCTAGCTAAGTCATCAAACGTTGAGACAACTGACAGGCACCCTCGGGATTCCTGTATTCTTTGATAAAGACAGCTGTCAAGAGCTTCCTCTCTGCCACGAGGCATCGCTGATAAAAGGGAAAAGTTGGAGTTGTTCGTCGGTCTGAAATTTTTTCGTCGATCATAAGGCAATCGGCTTCGCTCTAGGCGCACCAGGCATACTCCTTCTGGGTAGGGGGGCTGCATGAGCTAAGAGCTGTTAGGCAAGCACCCAGGGAGTGTTCCTAGCAGATTAGCTTTGTAGTTTCCTCGATGAACCATACCCTATCAAGGCTCGGCCCCTGAATCAACCTTGGTCCGTCCAACGGCTCGCTGCCCAACATCAAGAATCTCAATTCCCAAAAAAGGCCTTCACTGGTTCTCCTCTATCCCTCTCCTCTCCCCTCCACCTACTGCCTCACCATTCAAGCGCCTCGCCACTCACATTCCGTCCTTCCTCCTATTTTCGCCCCTCTCCCCTTCATTCCGCTCCTTTAAATTGGGCAAAATCTCAATAGAGCAGACGAATGCTTCCCGACTACATTGCAAATCTTCTGGCTGTCCTAGCACTGTGCTATCTTTGCCTACCGAAAAAGGTGGGGTGACTACCACACCTTGTCCCCCAATACCCCACACTAATTTTTACCGAACAGCGTCATGCTGCATGTTTAAAGCGAAATACATCAGGCTACGAAAAGCCGTGTTGGGGGCCGCAAGGTTGAACCATGAAATCATGTTCTGTGCCTCTTAGAATATTTCCCTTTGCATCAGCGATTTGCCAAAAGTTTGCCTGAATTCCGTATTTGGCCTTTAGCGCATGGGCCATGAGTGGGACAAGAGTTGGATGAGTCTGGGACGATAACACCAGAAGCTCCTTTGACATCTTTTGGAGCTGCCTTGCTGTCATAGTAGTCTGTACATACAAGGTCGTACATCTGAACCTTCCGTCCGTGAGGGAAGCGGACGCGTTGTGGTTAGAATTGGGGTTTTGGAGGAAATGGATGCGGAAGGTCAAGTGGATGTGTTTTATGTCTTTGTCGCCGGAGATCATACTCTCAATGGCTTCGCAGGATTGGCTCTGGAGCAGGAAATCAGTCAGGGATTTTAGGTCTGCAAATGCGAAATGCGACACTGCACACGAAGTCAAGGTTTTGTCAGATGTTGTGGCTAGCACAAGGGGTAATAGCATGGTGCCATCGGTACGTACGATGCCGAGAGACGTCCCGCTGAGGTAGGCTATCGTACATTTCTCGGTAGCTGCTGAGGTCTGACCGGCAGTACAGTGAGTGGACCAAAGTGCATGCAAACTACGCAAATATGTAAGTGTCTTCATTTGGATCGCAAGCCGTATGCTGTGGAGAAGCTCACTTTGTAGGGGTGGATTTATCGTGAGGTTTCCGGGGCTGAGCCGGCGGCAAGATCCTGAGAGCTCAAAGGAACCACGGCAAAATATCTCAGAGATCGAAACGACACGGTCAGCAGAGGTTGAATGGTCACAACCACCAGTCCCCCTATTTGCAGCACAGGTCTTGATGCTGGTAGAGGACCTTTCGTTCGAAATTCCATACATTACTCCGGAGAATATTAGGGATCGGAGCAAGGCTGATGCATTCACCAAATTGTTCGCAATAGGTCAATCTCTCTGGTTGATCATCCAGTCGATTGCTCGCACTGCTCAGGGATTACGTATGGGCTGTCCCTCTGCATAGGTAGAAATAGCACTGACCTATTTCGCAGCAATCACTCAGCTTGAGCTAGCGACAATGGGCTTTGTAGGGTGCGCTCTGCTTATGTATTTGCTGTGGTGGGATAAGCCATTTGATGTTGAGCATCCTGTGTCCATAAATTGCGCCGTAGAGCACCAGGAGCAAGTGCTTGTGAAGCTGAAAGAAATGTTCGATGCGCGGAATGCATCGCGATTTATATCGCCGGGTTGGAAGGATTTCCTCGATGAGCAACGTATCAGAAATTGGGCGTACCTGGACGATTCAGCTCTTGGGCTAGGTAGGCATATCAAAGTTTGGCAATCGTTAGCTGACGTCCCGAAGGTCGAGTAATTTGGCTGGTAAACCTGATCGCGATCATGGCTCTAGGGATGGCATTTAGTGCACTGCACCTTGCGGCTTGGGACTGGCATTTCCCATCCTCTGTTGAGAAATACATTTGGCGGATCGCGGCATTGGTGGCCACGGCAGCCTGTGTTCCAGTCATGATTTTGCTACCGCTGTTGGGTGCGGGTAAGAAAATCTGGCAGCGCTTCATCGTCATTGGTGTTGTCTTTCCCCTGTGTGGTCTTTACATCATCAGCCGGACGATACTCTTGGTACAGGTATTTCTGTGTTTTCGTTCTATGCCAAGGTCTGTATATAGATCTGTCAATTGGACTCGGGTTCTTCCTCATGCAGCTTAAAACCCCGAAAATAATTGCAGCAACCTGAACTCTATTCCTAGACTCTATTCCACAATGTATTGGATGCTCCCAATTTTGCATCCCGAGATGGTCATTCTTGACGACCTTGGCGCAGATCTCGGCGGCGACGATTGCTAACGCATTCGATTGCCTCCCTTATCTCTCCGAATGCGGAGGCCTTGGTCACACTTGTGAATTCCTTGTATATGGTTGCTTTTTGCATTCGCCTAAGATCTCCTTCGCCTCATGATCCCCAAGCAATTGTATATGCAATCTTTGTCTCTTGCACCCTCATCTCGAATGTGTATTTGAGCTCTTGCATCCTAGCTACGTATCACACGAGTTCTTCTCGGCTGAAACAAAGCTTAGAGACAACGGCCCACACTGACCATGAACGGCCACGAGCGTATGCTTCGTGCTGGGAGGCAGCATTGAAAGCCTCCCAAACGCCGGAGGTCATCTTCTCATGCATGTTCATACGATTTCGGTGGTCCAAGATTCCAGTTTCTATCCATTGTGCTTCCCCCTCTTGTGGTTTCGTGTCAGAAGCAAGGTGTGGCCTGGCGTAAGTTCCACCCGTTCATGTCGCAGGGCCAGGGGCTGCTCTCGAAAGTGGGTCGATGCTGTCGGCCAAGTCGGGTGCTTCTGAGGGTAACGCCTCGAACGCTACAAGGGGGCAGCAAGAACCGTGTCTGGTAGACGCTGGAGCGTTGTTTTCCGACCACCGGCAGTAGTACCATAGAGAAACTGATCCGGTAATTCTTACGTATATTAGACAGACCCAAATGATGCGACTCCAATGGAATCAGGACGATCAGATACTACTCTCTAAGGCCTTTCCTTGGGGGATTGTTTGGGAAATGATGATATGAAGACTCATACAAAAGGCGGGGATGTGGGTATATCAAAAATGGGTAGATCTATTGAAACCGCCCCTATAAATTATTCACCCTCCAGCTGTCTCATTGCCATCTCCACATTACCACAATTACTCACGTCCCACAATATGATGCAATGTTCAACTTCACCCCCGTAACGATCGCGACTCTCTCCAGGCGCTTCATCCACCTGCAAACTCATGGGCGCGACAGCATGCAGAAGCAAGACAAACGGCGCAGACATACATACAAGCCTGAAACCGCATAGAACGCAGCAGCGAAAAAAAGGGGGGTATATTTGCTTCCTTCCTAGCGAGCGTACAGGCACCAACAGTCTACCAAACGCCTCTATTCCATCAATGATACAGAGGAAGGTCTAATGAATGGATGGATGGATGGATGGTGGTACATCTCCGACCGTTGCGCCCACTTCCCGTCGCTGAGAGCACCGCTTCCATTGCCTACCGTCCGTCCATGCATTCTCGAGCGCATTATCATTCGGTTGCGAGTGACTACTGTGCGTTGGATGTATGCAGCCTCTTCACGCTCAGTCAGTAAGTCTTCCAATCCATCATCTCAGTTTTGGTGGTAGGGGTTGGTGAACATACGCTCGCTCGGCCCAAGACGACTCTACGCCTCAAAATTCCTCTCCACCTTCGGCTGCGTGATCATGCTCCGTTTCTGCGCTTCCTTGACCTCAGGGAGATCGCGAGGTCTGCCTTTGCAATCAGCACTGTCCTTCTCGCTCCCGCGCACCCCAATCATCGGTGGCAACCACTGCAGCAAAGAGAAAGGAAGCGTACATACATAGTCAACGCACTAGCACCCAGTAGCAGCAGCGCAAAGAACGCTATCGTTTGCTGTAGCTGCATCTTTCTTCCCAATATCCAAATCTTTCGCCGTTGGGTTATCAAAGATCCAGTACTGTTGTTGTCAAATGCCACTCAGCAATTTGAACAAGCAAAGCGCAGCAGAATGGAGGGGAGGGGGATGGGGGACAAGTTGCCTTTTTGAAGCTCTCCCCTCGCCTCAACGCAAGCGGCACATGACACGCGCAACCCCAATAATTCCCCATCCTTCACCACCGCAGCAAACCCTTTGTTCCCAAAAGTAGGGTCCCCCCTCCTGTGCCGCAAACTGGACTGGTGCGCCCTGACCTCTATTATTCCGCATGCGGCTAGAGAAGCGAGCCTCAGACCTGTCATGTCTCAGGCTTATCTTGGCTTGCTGCATTTAGCAACAAAGGGATGCGGCCCACCAATTTTGGGCTTGCTGCGGCACAAACCCAAACCACTCCTCCCCTTTCCCAGGGGGTTGGTTTCACAACCTTCTGCTACAGGCCTGCAGCGGGTCTCATCATCACAGGGCGGCTAGATAAGATGATGAGGACCCGAGCATGCGAGGGCTACGTATTACGGTATGGGGATAGCGCCCCTGCAGGCGAAGGCGGGGCGGGGGTTTCGGGAGTGTTTTGGCAGCTTTGATCGGGCCTGGAGGTTGCAGTGGTGTACTGCAGTGGCTTTGGGGTCAGCGTGGATGTGGTGGGTATGGATAGTGCAGGAGGGGGTGGTTGGAGGATTCGAGTGAGATTGAAGGAAGAGAGGGATCGCGTGGGAATAGACCTGGTTGGCGACTCTAAATATGAGGATGGTCGTCTTTTTCACCGAGGTTCTATATTCTGCATCGGGTGGAAGCTGTGCCTATTTAATTCAGATTTGCTGAACGATCAGTAGAGGTGTTGGCTCATGAGACGGGTATAGATTTGCTTCTGGTGCTTGTCGCCCCGATGCAACTGACATTCGGAGTGCTATCCGAGTTGAGATCAATCCGGTCCTAAAGAATGGGCCCTCTGCGGGCGCACTTGGGTTCGTTCCCTTGCCTATGCCTTCTGCCACAGAACGCTTTATCTGAATCGACTTCAGTCACCCAATCCGCGGTATATACTTCCTGTCTGTCATACAGCAGGAGGCCCTCACAATCTTCGCTCTTTGTATGTCAGGCTAGATTTCAAAGCCATTTTGTTCGACTTGCCTTTCGCGGTGCCTTATCAATAGAGCTTTGTCGACGACTTCAGTAGACTGAAGGGTGAAGATTCTACAAAGATCTCGTCAAATGAGCCCGTTCCACTCGATCCTCCTGATTTGCCAAAAGATTCTCGAAACGCACTTGGAGCATACAGTTCAGACGAGGAAGCTAGAGCTAATTAAGAATCCCAAGGTGCAAACGGGGCAGACCCTTACGGAGCCCAAGCTGGAATGTCTGGGCTATGTTATTATCGACAGAAGATCTTTGGAACTAAAGACGAGGAGCAAAAACGCTATGATGCGCGAAATCGGGTGTATTAGGAAGGGCGTAATACAGACACTCTATCAGCTCTAAGGACTGCCTATGGCGAACATTTCAACAACTACATCGAGGGTGAGCGAGTCTCAAAGAAAGCACAAATACAGCAAGCTCGCCAGAATGTGACAGACAAGGACCGTAACAAAGACACTCTGCACCAACTTTCAGAGGCATACACTCCATTCGAGAAGGGCAACTTCAAAACAGAGCAGCTCGTCGAGCTTGACGATATCGATCGAAGGAACGCCATGTACAATGCAACATACTGGTGGGATAAAAGCACGTTCAAAAGCCCGGCTACACGGCCGACTCCATCCGCTACATGCAAGTAGAGGCCTCCTCCCACCTGGGACACAACATCCACAGACACGTTCCCGCTCGAATTGTCCGAAGACGGCGCAATCGACCTCTCAGACGAGAGCAATGCAACCAAGAACCCGAAATTTATCCAGCCGTCAAACGACGGGACCTGTCGATCCCCACTGCAAGATAACGCCGTGGTCGTCTGTCACTGGAAAGCGCATGGGCAACAACATCACCGGTTTCGGCAGGGTCGGCCACAAAAGGCTGCGCTTCGACGTCACGGAGCTTTACTACTTCCTGACTATGCCGGATTTTATTATAGGCCTGGTGCAGGCGTGATTGGGAGCGATTCCGTATTTCGGTCCCGTCATTAGCTTTGCACAATACGTCAGTGAGTGGCCCATTTCCTTTAATTATTGGCTCATACTGTCCCTCTCAGTAGGTTATATGTGTAGCGGACCCTCTGTCGCTTGTTCTATATCAACGTGTCATGTCAAAGCTAATGCGTGCCTGTTGCGAGAGGTGTCAGGACGGCTGTGGAGAGATTCTAGTCGTTATGCGGATATGAGACGATGGTGGAACGTTTGTGTAGTATCAATGAGTCTCACTGAATGCGAGCTCATAACGTGTAGAAGAAATTGCAAACGAGAGCGATTGACCTACGTGAGATGGAAGCGTTCCTCCATCTTCCTATTAGCGTGTGATGGATACAATTAAATCCTTGGCACAAAAAACAAATCCCACACCCCTAAACGAGCAGTATGCAAACAGCTTAAAAACGATATTCTGAACGTTCTAAAGTGATTTGAGCTATATAATCAATATGAAAGTAGTTTGTTGTTTTAAAATCTAGTATTTTAGGTCTTAATATTAAGGTATTAAAATAGTTTTTGAAAATCTTAAAAATCGCTAATAATTCGCTTATTGATCGCATTAAAACGCTCAATTTGATGGTTTTAAAACTTGTCTTTTTTAATTAATATTAAGGCTTTAATAATATTTTTAATATCTATTAAATAGATTTTATATTAATTATATAGCTTAAATTAGTTTGGAACGTTTAGAATATTATTTTTAAGCTATTTACATACTGCTCGTTTAAGGGTGTAGGATTTGTTTTTTGTGCCAAGGATTTAATTATATCCATCACACGCTAATAGCAGTTGCAAAACCCGCAAAACCCGCCTCGTCCTTATGACGCGACGATCCTCTACGGCCTACTCGCCTAGATCCGAATCGTATGCCAGGTGTTCTCCGAGCTTCTCACCATTAGCCCCCTGTACATCTCCATGTGAGTTGGACCGCCAAGTATAGGCATCTTGAACCTGTGATATTCCCCATGCAATGGCGGTATACTTCACTATCCAACATCCGTCTCGCAGGATCAATGCCCCTTTGACATGACATTTCCGTCTCTTATAAATCCAGAATCCGACGATGGATCTAGGGCAAAGCCTACTTGACAACAGCTCGGACCAAGTGTCCGGATAGACTCCACCTTGATAGACGCTAGGTCAGGCGAAGGATCTAGCGCTGACCGTCCGAACCTACCAAGCAATCCTTTTCCAAGTTTCAACGAGGCTGAAACAAACACAGGGGCATGAGTGGGCGCAGTCTTCCTCGCGTGCATGCAAACAACTCGAGGACTCTCCTTTAACGCCCACCTGTGTGAAGATCCATCCTTGCAAGGGCCGGTTGTCGCCGCGTGTGGTGACGTTAATTGGCCTGAATACAGCCATGTGCCAGCCGCGTACTACTGCACGTGAAGAATCCTTCGAGATGGACATTACTCATCTCAGGGAATGCTCATAAACAAGAGAATCCTTCATCTGCCAGCGATGTTGGTCATCATTTTCATATTCGCTGTTGGGTATGGCGCCGCTATGGCGATTGCTCATTCCAGCCACTGCGATATGTTTGAAAATGGTTTCTTCGTCACCCAGTGGAAGCCTTTACGCAGGTAGCCTTACGCGTCGCCAGCAAGCTCAAAATCAAGATATTGTTCCGTCACCATCGCAATTTCTCAGGAGACGCTTGGCTGCAGGTGCGCTTATCCTGTCGTTCGGAGAAGTACTTACTTCTAATTCGGTACATCAGCTGTCAGGGTTGGTGACTTCCTTTATGTCAATGGCGGTCAAGTCTCCTATACCGGGGACAATAATCAAGTTATCGTGTCCGATGGTTAGTAGTATGGTCAAAAGAGTGAGAAAAGGAGTCAAGTTTGACAATCGCTTTAGAAGATCTGACCCTGTCGCTGGACCTATCAAAGGACTGGCAGAACACCACAGTGAATTTCACCTCGACTACCAAACCAGCGGAGCTTCCTACTTTAAGCAGAGGAGTTCTTTGGTATCATCAGGCAGAAGATCGGTTGTATACAGGATTCATCGGTGATCCCTCGGACGATAATCCATCTCCTGCTGTATGGACTTTCGCGCCGGACCACAAAGGTCAAGGGTCATGGAGCCAGGCCGTAGCTGCAGACTCTTCAGCATTCACAAACATCAACAGGCGCGGAAGGGCTTCCACTGCCCAAGGGCCCGATACTGGATATGCGCTTGACGGTATGAGCGGAGGCGACTTCCAATCTGGAATTCTACAATTCAACATGGATGACAAAACCTTCCAGACACTAAGCAATGCCGAAGCATATCCCTCGCCCCAGCAAGAAGGCGCCTTGCAATACGTACCAACATACGGTGAGAAAGGCTTGTTGATCGCATTTGGGAGTATTAATGCAGCCGGCAAATTCCCGACCACTAACACCGTCCCGGTCTTCGACATCAAGAACCAGACCTGGTACAACCAAACAGTGACCGGTGACAAGCCTCGTTGGAGGAACTGGTACTGTACTGCAGGGATCCAATCCACAAACAAAACATTCGAGATCTTCTTCTATGGCGGATTCGACCAGGATGGCGAAGCTGCCCTCATCATGGACGACATCCATATCTTGACCCTCCCCGCATTCAATTGGATCAAGGTACCTTACCCAGCAGAGCATCCGCGCGGGAGCCATACCTGCACGCCAGTGGGAGGTGCCCAGATCCTCGTCATGGGCGGAGACGATTCTAGCCAGGGTGACAATAACCAGACCCAGAAAATGGCGACGCCTGATCCGTGGGCGCAGGGGCTGAATATCTTCAATCTTGAGACATTTGGGTGGCAGGACAAGTACAACGCGAGCTTAAGGACGGATGATACCTATCAGCAGTCTGATCCTGTGAAGCAATTCTATGCAGCTAATTCTCGGTATGCCATCCTGCCGAGTTGGAGGAAGTTTTGGTTTACTGACCTCTTCCATGAACAGGCTGCCTCAAAATGGCACAGATCCACACATCATGGCCCTACTCAGTGGAAGTAATTCCTGTAAGTCCCACATCTCCACTCGTTTCATCTCTCTCTTCAAAATCATGCAACAAATCTCTGACCCTGCGCCACCCAACAGCCATGACAAACACCTCCGCCCCCTTCGACCCCGGCCCAGAAAACACACCCATACCAGCACAACATCACACCAACAAAGGTGCGATAGCAGGAGGAGTTGTAGGTGGTGTCGCAGGCCTTGCACTAATACTCACCGCACTCCTCTTGCTCTACCGCCGTCGATATCGCAAGCCGGATGATAGTGCGAAAGCGACGTTGGATTCAGGGTATACTAGTCATGGATCTAGTGGCGTCGCGGAAGTGCATGGGGATTCCAAAAAGATGGAGATGGGTGGGGGCATGGGCGGGGAGGACAGGCAGGAGATGGGTGGACTGGGGAGGCTGGAGTTGGGGGGAAAGGTGGTGCATGAGGCGCCCGGGAGTAGTGGGCGGTAATACGACTCATATGTAGTGCTGATCAAGCCTTCACTGAGAGGTCGGTGGGCAACGTAGGGTAGGAAAGTTGCATAGGGTGCTTGCTTTGAAAGCAAGTTGTTGTAGAAGTTCGGCGCGGCGCACTGAAAGGAATGGGATCATAATCAACTCCGTCCGCTTAATCGCACGTAGTCGCAACCAATGAAGCTTTCATTGCCTATACGAGGATGGTTTCTTCCACCCGCGGCATTGTGAGCATTGTATGAGCATTAGTATCACGTAACATCTCTCCAAAAATTATGCCCGTAATATGAATGTCCTACATTCAAGAATTCTAGAGTATCTTTCTGATAGGACGCCGGAGCTGGGCGACATGCGAAGCAATTCGCTTCCAATCAATCCTCCTCGTGTAGGTATAAAGAAGGTTAGAAAACAGGCATGACCTCGTTCTCCACGACAAAGAGGAAGGTTGAACGCGCCACTACCGGAGTTGCACATGCGATATGCTCACGAATGGCATGAGACACCTGCATCATCCTGCGTCGCCTTCCTCCGGTGACCTTCCACATCCACATCTAGCGTCCTGCATACTCAATGTTTGTTGAATGCAGCTTCCAATCATGATCAGTATCTCGCCCATCTCCTGTCGATCAGGACATGGCCCTTGAAGGGCAGTGGGTGCCATGACGAACTTCTTTCAGCAGGTCCTTCGCAATTATGAGCTATATAGGCATGGCTCCCAGGCGTGGATACAGCACCTCACAGCCTCATCTCTCACCTCCAAGATGTCTACAGTATATCCTGCCCTTCAGAGACTGTCAAAGTATGCGCAGGTAGTGCTACTTTCCTCCGCCTGCTCGGTTCTTGGGGGCACACCTCCAAGCTGCCCCAACGCACAAGTATCGTGCCAAAACACAACGGCCGTGGCAGACACTTGCTGCTTCAACGCCCCTGGTGGGCAACTTCTACAGACACAATTCTGGGACTACAATCCACCCACTGGCCCCTCCGACTCGTGGACGGTCCATGGCCTCTGGCCTGATCACTGCGATGGCACATACGACGCAAATTGCGACCCTGCACGAGCCTACACCAATATCTCCTCCATCATCTCCGCCGCTGGAGCAACCGATCTCCTCAGCTACATGAACACATATTGGAAAGACTACCAAGGGAACGACGAGTCATTCTGGGAGCACGAGTGGGAAAAGCACGGAACCTGCATCAGCACCCTCGAGCCCGGCTGCTACGCGAACTACGTCCCGCAGCAAGAGGTGGTCGCATACTTCCAGAAAGCAGTGGACCTCTTCAAGACCCTGACGTCCTATACATTTCTCTCCAACGCAGGTATCGTGCCTAGCAGCACGGCGACCTACACGTCCGCGCAGATTCTCGCGGCGTTGAAAGCGCCTCGTGGCGTCGATGTGGCGATTCAGTGCGCGAACACGAACGAGTTTGACGAGATATGGTACTTTTTCAATGTCAAGGGCAGCGTGCAGACTGGACAGTTCATTCCCGCCAATCCAGGTATTCCTTTCCTTCCCCATTCCAAATCCTAACCACTGCGACCCTACCCTCTGGCTTTCTACATGCTTACTTTTCCCCCTCTCAGACGGTTCCAAATCCTCTTGCCCTGCTACAGGCGTCAAATATCTCCCCAAAGGAGGCACCACCCCGCCCTCAACCACAACAAGCAAACCCACCACCTCCCCCACCTCCTCGCCTGGCAACCCTTTCTCCGGCCGCGGCACCCTCCAAGTCTCCACTTCCGGTCAGGCTAAAGGCTGCATCATCAGCGGCGGTACATGGTACACCACCGGCACGTGCGCAACATTCACAGCTGCAGCGTCAGGGGCTGGGTTCACGTTGACGAGCAGTAAGGGAAAATGTGGCGTGCAGGGGAACAATCTTGTTTGTGGGACGAGCGTCACGACGGCGACGGTATTTACCGCGGGAGGTGCGGACCTTGCCAACCCGAGTGGAGGCACGACGTGGTATGCGGCTAGTGTGCCGAGTGGGAGTACGCAGGTTACGGTGAGCACGGCAAAGGCGGCGACGGGGCTGGTGATTGAGTGGCAGAGTGCTTGAGGGATGGATATTTGGATTTTTGCATATATTTTTATATTCAATTAATAAAAAGAAATTAATAATAGAAATTAAATAAGTATTAATAAAGAAAAATAATAAAGTAATTTATATAAATATTATAAAAGGACTAAAGAAGAAAGAGGATAGAATTAAAGAGTATTTAAAGTAATTATTTATAAAAGAATAAAAGACTAAAAAAAGGTATAAAAATTAATTAAAAGGGAGAATTTTAGTTCTATTAAGGGTAATAAAAAAGATATATTATAGTAGCTAAATTGGATAATATATTTAGTTATATATTATAAGAAAGTAAAAGAAGGATTTATAGAGTTTAAGGTAAGCGAAGATAGGAAAGAGGGATAAGATAAAGAATAAATAGAAAGGGTAAAGAAGAGTTTAGTAGATGCGGCGGACGCTGCCAAGGGAAGGGCATTGGTCTAGGGTTGTTTCAGGTATTGCAGGTGGATTCTTCTGCTTATAGATGACATGTTGTGAGTGGCCCATGGCACCTCCTGAACTAGCACTAGCAATTGTGGTTGCGACACTTTCGCGCGTATGAGCCGGGTAGGAAATTGGTAAGGACAATTGCGTTTTATCAACTCAGTGAGGTTGATCAGGTGCACAGATCCGCTGAAGTTTGACTCCCTTTCCTGACATTCGCGTGGGTTCTCATCTTCAAAGCGTCTTCGAGCTCACAGTCATCTCCAGTGTCGTCCGCCAACCTCTGCCCCAATCAATGCATAATAGTGATGAAGCTTTGGAACCTGCATATTATGATGCTTGTGGCTCCTCCCTAATCAGTAGCCTCGACAAGACACTTGCAGGCAAACTGTTCCTTCAGCCACTAGCTCGGAGTATCGACCTGCTGTGTTTTCATTTGTTGAACCATATATCATTCTTAAAGGATTTCTTCGCTCTGTTTTGCAAACCAATTACCAGCTATGGTGTCAGAAGGAGAATTTTGGCTCATTAGAAAAGGATGTTATCGGCGCCGTTCTCGTTCCTCCAACTCCTTTACGTTGCGACGTACGTCTGCTATATGATGCAGAAGTAAGTCAAGCTCTTTAGAGCCATCGCCCTTGCGGTTAGGAGAAGCATCTGATAATGATATAGACATAAGCGAAATGACTGAATCGTTTGCGCGGGTAGAGCAGTTTTCTACGATGAGATGACCAAAGCGCTCAGAGAAACTTAATTTCCGAAAAAGGGAAGACCAGGTGGTACGTGATCCTCTCAAACGGCATGGTGCTACTTGAACCCCTCTCATACTGAGAGACCGTAGTGTATGATAAGGTATAAGACACGTAAATTGGCGTGGGGTCAGCCTGACACAGGTCAAGTCCAAAGCCTTCAGGGCAAGTGTAGGTATTTCATCATTCGCATTAAGGCAGAGTAGGGAGTCGCTACAGATCTTCAAAGACTCCAAGTGGGAACAATGACTGAGAAGTCTGGATAGAATGTTTGCGAAGCTTGATCGCTTGTGGAGTTGATCTTCTCGTAATTGAATGCTCAGATGTTTAATATAGCTTGAGTGATGTATCATGTCTGCCCCGAAACCGGCTCTATGATTAGTTGACTTGAGTTCAAAGGCCTTGATCAGGGAGATCTATCTAGTTGGCTGCGGCATATTAACCACAATTTCGTTAAGCTTGCTACAAGGCCATTCTTAAAGCATAGCACGTATTACGCGTGAAAAGATGCGTGCCGCTACGCAATCTTATACGCCGTCTTCATCTATCCTCTTACACAAGAACGCGAAAGCATAAAGATTGTGAAAACGTTTAAATAAGCTGGGCAGCTAGGATTAAAGGTGATCTAAGTCGGCATAAAGATAATTACTCTGATTATTAAATGACTTTCGGTTGACATTTATAACGATAACCTCTACATAAATCGCAATAGACGGATTCTGTGCAAGCGCATATAAGTGCGTGAAACTAATACGTGACGCAACTTTGATCTTTCGTTATAAAAATGGTGCAATAGCATAGTAGAATGCTTTACTCGCAAGCATAAGATTTCGAAGCGACTTATCGCTCTTATGCTTCATTTAAAGCTATATATATGGTCCTACTGGATTATCAGGGACCGGTCCATCGTCGATATAGCCGGCGATCTAATGTGTCACCAAATCAGAGACTGCAAGGAAGGGCAACAATTGCAGTACTCACCGTGTTACAGATTTCCAGCGGGACATTCATATTGGGTATGTTGATGGCGAAAGTGAGATCAGAGTGATAGATCAAGGAACAGAACGATGGGCGGCTGGCCGCGGAGTATTGTAGAGCCGCTGATATGCAACCGAGATGAGTATCAGGTGATGAGTCGTCGTTGCCACCGGGTAGCTAGACCAATTCACTCACTCAAATGAAACGAAATTGATTAGAGGAAATTGCGGAGACCTGAATGTCACTCATCTCAGGACCTTCAATGCATATAAATTGGGCGTCCCCGACACTGCAATGTATCACTCTTACCAGTTCATGAACAAGAACTGTCATACAACATCCCCAAAAGTCAAATACAAGATGCTTTACATCCATCACACCCAGACGGTGAAGCCTAGCAGTCGCTTCTACGGCATGTTCGCTATTCTCGGCGTCATCTTCCTCGCATTGTCTGCCTACCAAGCCACGAAAGATAGCGATTGGACAGGTCCAAGTGTTGAATCCCAAGCAATTTCATCTGTCCCACGTCAATCTGAAAAAACTCCTGTAAACATTGGATTTCCGTTTGGTAATGCCGATGCAAATCTAACATTTTCCGAAAATGACTTGCGCAAGAGAGTCGATTTCTGGTAGGCTGTCTCACAAATCCTGACTACACTGCTGTTTACTCACTCGGATTGGATCCAGCATCGCCTTAGCAGCTATAACGATCTTGCCGCAAACGTGAGTGCACCTCACTACCTCCTAACGACCTCGCTGACGCCATGCCGCAGGGGTGGACTTATAAAGACCAGGAGGAATTGACGAGTGTCCTTGGTTATAAATATATACATAAGCAACTGGGCATCTCACCAGCCCAGGATCTTCACATAACCAATGCTCAGACTGAACCATTCTCGGATTGCGAATTTTGAAATATTGTAGGTGACAATGCAGCCTCTCATGAATCTCATCATGTCATTCGGACTGATTCGCGATGTAGCCGCCAACAGATTACCACCTTTTACATTTTTGAAAACCCTAAAGGCCGAATGTTGATGGGATCATACAATGTCAGCCCCTACTCCAACTTGCATGGTCAAGAGAACATCACCATTGGGACAAACACGAACGTCGCATGGTGGCAGCGACTTCCTGATCTACAAAAATGGTCACAGGTTGCGGGGATCGTATGGAGTCAAGTCGCGGGCAACGACGCCCGCTCCCTGAAATACACCTTCAAGTCTGACTTACTCACTCCACAAGACCCCGGAGTTTACCACATTTGAGATAAAGCTGACTTTTCCGACCGCTTCTCAGGCAAGGAATTGCGACTCCTGCAACTCAGCAGATTATGATTGAGGCTGCGAGGCGACAACCCATCACCATGCCTGATCCTCATGGCTTTGTGTTTGACCAAGCGTGGCCTGGCGACACATTCCCCGCAGGATCCGATACTTACGCAGCTCTGATGGGCACACCACGTGGAGTCGGTATCGTGTATCTCTTGATCGGCCATCCAGACCAATTTGGCAGCAAAACCGTGGAATCCGTTATGATTTTCACAATCGCAGCACAGACACCGCCATATCATCTCCTTTTCACACTCACAGACTAGAATGCCGAAAGTTTCCTAGAGTGTCAAGTCTGTACCAACCATTTTTAACCGAAGGCAAAGTATCAATTTCATATTAGAGGAAACATGCACTTAGATATGTAATTGGTTTCAATACATACGGGAAATATCGATCCACCAAGAGGACCATAATGGAGTCGACCGGGTCAGTGATGCCGAGTTGATGCCGAGGTCCATCAGGGGCCAGTCAAAGGGAATTCAATCAGTTGCCATAGACATTTACAGCGGGAATATCACACCCCAAACAAATTTGTACTCATCTCAAGCCCCTTGTCTGCTCTCTCACCTTCTGTATCTACCAATCGGTCGTCGACGTCCTAGGGTTCTCCAGCAATCAGTCTCATTGCCACAGTTCCATGTGATATGACGCCTTCACTTTGATGACGAGACCTCTGACGAGGTTGATGAGAGCTCCGAAATACCCATCAGGATCGGCTCTGGACATCATGAGCAAGATCTGCGGTCTGGCGGAAGCATTCATCTCGGTCTGACTTAGTGCAAAGTTATGCTTTACCCAACGACAGCAGCAAACCCTTCTCAAAAAGGTATCTCCACAAATGCATAGCGCGCTATCCTTTGTGATTCCGTTGATCGAGACTGTCCTTCGGCCTCGGTGTCCTTACATCATCTGGCGAAGAACACATGGTCACGAGAGAGCCATAAAGTTTGGCTTCGTACGCATATGCTCGGCTCGGCATATGGGGACCTGTGACTGAAGGAAACCATACACAAGGGAGGCGTTCAGGATGGCTGCATTGCAAGAATCTTGCCCGTATCCTCTTAAATAATCTGGGACTAATGATTTAGTGCCTCGTGGAGTCAGTTTTGGGTGATGGATCACAATCTTACCTCAGGACTTGTCTTCTCGAGTTGAACATGGTCGGAACGCGGATAAATTCTGACCAGTGAGGTCGATGAAAATGACCTTTTGGTCATGAGAGATCTCATGACCCTGTAACTCATGACCCTGTAATCAAATTTCTTAGGTGCTGTTGCTGTTTGCTGTGAGAACTCGAGCTAGAAACGGGGACGACACGGTCTTATCATTACTAAATCGGTCATGCTCGGTGATATGACACGCTAAATGGTCTCACACCATCCTGCCAAAAACTGTGTTTTGCAAAACCAATCGGGAAATAAAATTGCTTACCATCTTTCTCCTCGGTATCATGAACATGACAAATAGGAAGTAAGTCCGTTCAAGTGACTAGTCGTAACCCCACTCGGTGTCCATTATTTGAAGGTATAAGACCTCTCCAAGAACGACAAGAAACTCATTGACCTTAACTTTCCAGATCCTCGATTTTGAAAGTCAGACTGAGCCTTGGAATCCAGTGAAAATGCTTTTATCCAGCCCCAACTTTGTCTTTCTTTCAGCAACCCTTACCCTTGTGGCATTTGCAACAGCAATCCCAGCACAATTAGAACATCGAGGCCTTACGTGCCCAAGTGTCAAAGGTACCAAAATGCACTACTCTCAAATCTCCCCGGTCGTGTCAATAGGCCCATCAGCTTCGTCATATGTCCCCTCGTCTATTCCTCAACCAGCGCAGTTTCTTCTGCCCTTGAGCTAGTCTAACTAATTATTTGATATGTATAAGGGATCGGTCCTCGCTCTTATGTCTGCTGTAAGACATACGTGGAAGTCGTAGAGGAGGACGAGAATCAATGCCTCGATGGACTTGTTGAGTCTCCTGGGACGCAATGCCCAAGCGATCACGCGACCCCGATTTGCTGCGGTGATTATGTAAGTGTGGGCTTGCGCTGATAAGGTGAACGTGAGAGCAGCTACTAATGAACTGATGTGCAGTATTTGCAAACCCCGGACGGGAAGGATTCTTATATTCTTTGCGGCCCGCCTAAAGGGTCCAATTGAACTTGATCGGAGAGGCTCAGCCGAGTCCGTCGGGGGTTTTACCTTGTGAACAATCATTCGTTTGAGGATATTGTCGTAGTCAGAGGTGGACAGAGAAGATGATTGTGATTACAATGTTGATGAGGTTGTGGCAGATGAATCTTAACATGAGAGCGTCAGTATGAGCAGTGTCACACCTCTTTCGCCGCAAGGTTAATTCCAACATGCAAGCAATTTTGTCTTCTATCACATGCAACGAGTATTTGCCTCTTTGTAGTCCTATTTTCTGGCATACCTTTGCCCTCCTTGGAAATTGCTAGCCAGTAGGAGTTGCATAACGGAAGCCAATGACATCGCATGCCGATGGCCAGCAGTCGTTGGCTCGTCGGATGCCTTTTTCCGCTCCTTGTGAATCAAGTTGCAAGCCGAAGCTTCGATTAAGAGCGAGCCATGCTATTCGTGTTGACATTGCGCCACCACCATGATTTAGCATTGGGGTTGAAAAGTGCGATTCCAGGCCTAAGGTAGTACGAAGTCGGCGGAAACTTCGGTACGGTGGAGACGGGGCCGATGTACTGACAGACTGAGCCGTATTATCCGTTGAGGCTTATGCGGGCCCAGCTATCTGAGGAGTCAACTTCAACAGCCGATTTGGATACGGGACATTCGAGGTTGACTAGATCACACGATATGCAAAGTCTGGATTCCCTTTAGTCACACCAGATATGCACCTCACATCAAGGCTGACCTTGAGGCAGACTCAACCCGGCCGTAGTATTCAGCACTAGAGACCCTAGCAAATCACACGTCAGCTGTTTATGCATATACTTGGCTCAAACTACTCGTGAAACATCAATTGATACAATTCCTCCCTCAACATGGATGGACAAGCACAGGACGTTCGGTGTCGGACCTTTGTGGGCAGAGATGTCTCATATTGTATGCATGTTTGGGGTTCTGTAGCTCAATGACGAGCTAGGGAGGATTCAGCTTAAAGACTTACATCCCAAGTCCTATCGCTGACCTCAATCGACCAGCCAAGTGGCTTTAGCTCATCTCATGGTACGGACACGCTGCTGATGGCGTCAATCAAAATATCGTATTCATCACACAACCGATCACAACGAGAAATGGAGCAGCCCTGAAGTACGATCTGAAACGGAAAGTCGAAAATCGGACTCGGAAAGATGCACACTGCTAGATTGAAGCTTCACATTGTGGCGGTCAATCAGCTTATGACCCTGCGTCTTTCGAGAGCAGTCAACCGGTTACTTTTCTGCACTAAAGTGCTATTAAACGACATAGGTTGCGCGTAGCCCGGCCATAGACAAAGTATAGCTTCCATTGATGACAAGAAGCCAATCATCTAGCGGAACTCTCCCCCGCGAAGCCATCACAAACACCCACCAAGAGAGCGTCTCGTCCCCGATTTAGCTGCAACACCCTAACTCTCATCACCACAAAGATTCGCGTAGCGCCGAAAACCCAAAAAAATTCAAACTCAAACTCAAAGACTGTGACTGTGACAATTTCCCTCCAATCATCCTGAGCTTCTGTGTCTCTGATCTCTCTCAACACCCTCACTCAACCAGTCAAACCCTCCCAAAACCCAAGCAACCTTCATCAAAGCTTCCCACCACCGCCACCAGGAGTAGGACCAGGGCTCTTGTGCGCAACTGCAGGCTGCTTTACCCCACCGCCATGAGTAGCTGATCCCTTGCCTGGTTGAACCGCAGGCTTCCCGCCGCTGCTGCTTTGCCCATGATTGCCAGCTTGACCACCGCCCCATGGGAAAGCCAGAATGGGGGTGGCAGTGAACGCGAGGAGGGCGAGGTAAAGAGTGGAGGTGAGACGCATGATGGAGTTGGTTGGGTTAGAGGTGGTGGAAAATTGAACAGTCGAGGGGATGTAGATGGTGAACGTGTTTCGCGGCCAGGTGAGGTGATTACAGCTGGACGGATCGTCTTTGAAATGAGAGACGTGGAAGGTCGATCTATGGGTTTATATCACAATCTCGTCTTACACACCACTCCATCTCTATCATGTAAGTCAGTCTCCCAGAACGCCTTGCTGTTGATCACCTTCCATAACGAAGCATCAGCTGGTGCATACATAACTTGATACCATAATCCGAAATTCGACAGGAGAACTTCACCACACCTGATCAACGCCCAAGACTCAATAAGACAACCCATTATAATCGATTGTAGTGCATTTCCACGATTTCATAGACACTCTAGTGGATCAGCGTGATGCAGACCATGCATGATGCTCTAGTAGAAGCCCCTTTTCGTCTCACCAGCAACTCCTAGCTCCCTCGTACTAGCAAAGACGATGACTTTGTAGCACCATCCACAATGCAAATGCGTCGAGAAATGTACGATGGTGTGCGATCACGATCACCTTCTCTGGTCGAACGTATCTCGATGACCCCGGAGCGATGTGAATGGTATCCCCACGTTTCATGTGAGCAGCTCAGTCAGAAGTCGAGGTTAGAATGAGAAATCTCGTAAGGTCTGTCCGATGTGTTCGAGTTCAACGTTTCACTGGTTTCTATATTGCTCTGTACATGCTAATCACTCTAGGTGCATCTAACAAATTCACACACTCAGCGCACAATCTTCGGACGAGGAGCGCATCAAACCACGGACTGTTCGTCCATCAAGACCTCCTCACCACTAAGTCCCGTCAGGATATAACTGTATCCCCTTTGGCCTCTTCTTCAAATGCTTTAGCCCGTTCGTATTCGAGATGTAGACCGCATATTTAGTAATTACTTTCCCCGCCGTTAACGCCGGCGCCTAAAATAAGTATAGCTCCATTCTAATTTCATTTCCTTCAATAGTATTATAATTATCTATATACTTCTTAATCTTGTCCCTCTTAACCTTAATATATATAAAGTTACCTTTTAAATATATCTTATTAATAGTAGTAAATTAAGTTAAAATATAAGACTAGAAGATATTATTAAAAAGATAAAAGATTTTACTACTAGGAGAAGTAAGATTAAGAAATAAAGCTTCTAATATTTTAAGATTAGTAGTCTAATAAGCTTAGATATAATAATATAATAAGTTATAATCTAATATTAGCTATACTAGCCTAGAGCTTTAAAGGTTTAAAA